AAACAGAGTAACTGAAATGGAACACTCTGTAGCCAATCAGCACCTAGCATAGTCTATATAGTGAATGATCCCCAATATTCTTTCTCTTCAAATCTGCAAATCTAGAAGAAGTATCTAGTAGAGTGAACTCCAAGGATAAGAACGACAAAACTCCAAACAAGATTAGGCTGAAACATATAGATCAGGGTGGGTTAATGGGAGGGATAATACTCGCCTCCTGTCTTTAATAAAATCTATATTTTCTGATGTCAAGACTAGTAAAATCTTATTATGCATGTTATAAGCTGAATAATCATAAAAATATATATCAAATACATTAAGATCTTACAATATTATTTTTGAAACATGCATGCTAAGTCTAAAATAAAACTGTTTAAATGTAGATTCTGAAGACCAATCTGCAGTTTTTAACAGGTCTGATAAAGAGCCTCCTGCTTGAACCACTTTAGTGGTCATAGCTCCTCTTGAAGAGTGAGCTCCAAACACTGAAATATCAATGTTGTGGACAAAAATATTGACCCAATTTATACTAGTAAAATGTCTATTTACTCAACATAACTAATCAGCATTATTCAATTTCCTATGTGATTTATCTAAAATGGCAACTAGGGAGTTACTCCTTCATCATCGACTAACATCCTCATTAACAAGATGGCACTGGAATCTGGGGGAGACCTCCAAGATACCAGTGACATCACCCCCAGTAGGCAGAGCATTAAATGAATCACTTAACACCTAACCAATTATTGATGTATTATTTCATGTTATCTCTGACAATGCATATGATGTAATTTTGCTTTATAAGGGACAGGTCCTCCCCCCTGAATAAACATTCCTCAAGTTCTTCATTAACCCGAAACTTGTGTCTGGTGTGAATTACTTGAGGAGCGTGCACGCATTATTTCTTTAATTTGGCCGGGGGCAGATATGGAAGATAATCAATTTATTGATTAATATCCACATCAATCAATACCTGCAAGGGATGTGCATGGGGAAAATATTTGGTTTGGTTCAACACTTCGGGACTTTGGATGTTCTCTTGCAGCTGCTTAGTAGATAATTCCCATGGTATTAGGAAGCTATCTACTAAAAGGCTGAAAGACATCAATTGGTCTTTCAGTCAAATTTACTAATACTAAGTAAAGATTAGTATTTAAATATTAGTATTAGTAAATTCTGCCCCTACTCGCTATACTGCGAGTAGGTGCATGTGGAGCCTGTGGCTGCTCACTGTTAGAAAAAAAACAAACAAACCCATGTGTCCCTCCCACCCATGCCCTGAGTGGTGAGTAGAAAAGGGCCTATGGTCCTCCCCCCTGGTCCCCACCCCTGAGTGGCAGGGGTGGGCCCTAAATACCAATAAGGAGGGGACACCTATTGTCCTCCCCCCGGCCCCACTCCTGAGTTGCGGATGGGGTCCTAAATTAGAAGAAGGGGGGGACCTATTGTCCTGGCCCTCACCCCAATGTAATTTGTCTCATAACTCTCTGGTTGCTTTCAATCAACCAATCAGAGTGTTGTTATAAGTCAAATTACACCGCTTGGGAAAATTCCAGAGAACTTTCCCACGCTGTGTAAAATGACACAGAGGCTGGATTTCAAGCTAACCAATCAAAGTGCTGTGACAGGTTAATGTAGAGACTTACCTGTCAGTCTCTTAATTTACCTGTCAGAGCACGCTGATTGGATGGATTAAACCAACCAATCAGAGTGCTCTGAGCCTAACTGCAGGACGGGCCAAGGCTTTATAAGCCTTCCCCCGCCCTGTGGAGCTCAGTCTGCGCGGTGCCCTCCATGGATGAAGATGGATTACTTTTTCAGTTTTGGGTAGATTTCTTTTTCATCAGATTTTTTTTGCGCTCTGGTTTCTTTTTTTTTTAAAGTGCGACGGGTATTATGGTTTTTTATTTGGCCTTTTTGGGGGCTGAAAAAAGAAGATTTTAGAAAAAAGAAGACATCAAATGGTAAGTTTTAATATTTTTTTTACAGGTACTTAGGGAGGGGGGACACTTGGGGGGGGGGTTAACAGTGAGCAGCCACAGGCTGCCCACTATTCACTAGACATGCCCCTACTCGCGTATAGCGAGTAGGGGCAGAATTTACTAATACTAATTAATTTGTACTTAGTGTTAGTAAATTTGGCTGAAAGACCAATTTAGGTCTTTCAGTCTTCTGGTACATAGCTCCCTAATACATTACTCATTCCCATCCATTGACTGGCTAAGTAACTTACATTTTCTATGAACGTGTTACTTGATTGTTGTAAGTGTTGCAAATGCTTACAGCTGAATCCTGGCTATGTTTGTATACTTCGGCACTTCTGAACTTCCACACTACAGCAATTCAGTTATTCTCACATTCGGAACGAAACAAATTGCACATGTCTAATACCTGCCATAAACATAGTTTGTCTTACCCATCTGGCTAAAGATGTAGAGTAGGCAGGCAGAAAAGGTTTACGAAAAGAGATTAGCAATTGAGAGAAATTAGAATTTCTTATAGATGAGGTTTTAAGCTATGTGACAACACATAGAAGAGGATGGTCAGAAAAAGGATAGAACACAGAGCGGAGATTAGTTTTGGTACGTCTAACAATAGAAAAATTAACACCATCAGGAGTATATTGTCTTTTATTTAAGTCTTAAGCCTTAACGTCAGAAACTGTTTTAAATGAAATGAGGCATAGTAGTGTTGTAAGCTTAAACTAAAGAAATTTTAGGGATAATGAGTCATTGTCACCCCACGATTCTATTAACTGGAGTATCAGAGTAACATCCGAAGTAGAAAGATATTTAGGGCATGGAGAACACTTAAATCTGATACCCTTCATAAATCTGCAGATTAAAGGATGTTTGCCTACAGGGAAAAATTCAATAGGGTCGTGATTTGCTGAGATAGCTGATCGATAGACATTAATGGTGCGATAAGCCTTGCCTGAGTCAAACGAGGCTGACAGAAATTTAGAATGTTTGCAAAATCTGAATGTACTGGATCCACAGCCAACCTGACCTGTAATTTGCATGGGTACCTAGTGCCCATGCTTCTGAGAGAATGTCTCTAGTTGAGTTTAAAAAATCTCTACTAGATTCGTATGACCCGAGATGAGAGATGCTATTAAAGGCCTGATAGTACTAGAGGATGAAGATTTCCCTCTGGACCGCGAAGAGCATCCCGACACATCTGTATGAGTCGTGGGTAGTCTATCAGCATGCTGAGAGGCTTAGGGAACCATGGTTGTGATGGCCAGAGAGGGGTTATTACCACTAGGGTTGATTTCTGAGACCATGTTTTCAGAAGTACCTGGGATATCATTGCAAATGGGGGAAATGCATAATTGACTCTGTCTTTTCAGCATTGGAGGAATGCATCCTGATCTGCTGCCTCTGGATTCAGACGCCAACTGAAAAATGTTTCTAATTGGCGATTGATTCGCGATGCAAACAGCTCGTATTGAAATGGATCCCACAGGGAAAGTAGTCGTTGGAAGATGTTGGGATCCAAAATCCAGTCGCTGTAATCCACTAGGAAACGTGAATTCCAATCTGCTACTGTATTGGAAAGGCTGGGAAGATATTCTGCTCGTAAAACTGGGTTTTGATCGAAGCAAAAGTGCCAAAAATCTTTGCCAATGTCCGTCTGTCTTGTCAATCTTTTGCCTGGATTTTGTACCTCCTAAGCGATTTATGTTTTGGACTGCTGATATGTTCTCCATCTTGAGAAGAATACAACAATGGGATTTTTGTTTCGCAAAGTTGCATAGAGCGAAAAATCCTGCCATGAGTTCCAGGTACTTTATATGCATACTCGTCTCTTCTAGAGACCATTTGCCTCCTGTGGAATTGCCTCCACAAAGGTTTCCCATCCTACTCGACTTGCGTTGGATTCTATAATCAGATCTGGGAATGAACGTGATCTAACTACCAGAAAAATTCTGTTCTTGTATCTGGAGTCAAAAAGATCTTGTCTGAATAAAGAAGACCGCTGCATAGATGTTCCCTTTTTAATCTTTGGAGAGCCCAATAATGAAGGGGAAGGGGGGGGGGGCAGGGGCGTAAAATCGCTTAAATCGAGGCTGATAAAAGACCTACAATCTGTGCCAGAGATTTGATGGAAATTAATTCCTTGTTCAGAACTGATCTCTTTACGAATTCTTTTCAATTTCGGTGATGGAAGACTGAGAGTGGCTAAATTGGAATTCACTAGAAATCACAAAAATTCTATCTCCTGAGAGGGAGTTAAAATCGATTTCTCGTAATTTATCACAAAGCAAAGGCTTGTTAACAGATTCAGTGTCCATTGAGAATTGAGAAAGAGTTTGCACACTCTGTGACATAATCAATATGTCGTCTAGATAGATTATCATTCTCACTCCCCTGCTTCGAAGCAGGGAGTACGACTGGTTTGAGCAATTTGGTGAACCACCAAGGTGCAGAGGATAATCCAAAAGGCAATGATTTGAATTGTCATTTCTTCCCTTGCCATATGAAGTGTAAATAATTCTGATATGAATTTGTGAATAGGTAGCGTGAGGTACGCATCCTTCAAATCTATTTTGATCAACCAGTCGTTGAGTATCAATAGGTCTTTGAGATAATAAATTCCATCCATTTTGAAATTGTGGTATCTGACAAAATTGTTTAAGTATTTTAAATTTATGAATGGTCTGTGACCAGAATCTTTCTTTTTTCTTTTTGACCAAGAATAAATTGCTTATGAAGCCTGGACTGCTCATGGGCACCTGCATGATGGCATTTTTTGAGCATAAATGTAATATTTCTTGATGGAGTAGAGCTTGGTCTTGGATCGAAAATGTTATCGGGAAAGGTATATTTCTTTTGAATGGGATATGATATAAAATCCATTTTGTATCCCAACACAGTGTCTAGTATCCAAGAATCGTTTGTAATCTGACTCCAAACATGGAAATAAAGAGTGAGTCGTACTTACCGGATGAAGATCTGAAGCGAGACATTCCGTGATGGCCTCTTGATCTCCAAGGTCTGCCACATAGAGGGAAGAATGGAGTTGTTTGTTGGGTTTCATATGAGGTACTGGTGGACTGAAAGGTGTTCCTTGGAACCTGTCTATGTTGAAAGGAGCGGTTGGAGAAGCGGTTCCTTCCTCTTCCAGCCCTTCCAAAAACCTTAGGGTTGAATACTTTCCTCAGAGATGACTGAGCCTTATCAAGGAAGCTAAATAAATTGACATATTTATTAATGTCTTTAATAAAGGATTCTCCGAATAGGAGACCTTCAGCCACTGGTCCAGGTTCAGAACTGGTTATTTTCGAGAACTGAGGGTCAATTTTCATTAAAATAGACCTGCGGCATTCGCTGTTCAGAGCTGCCTTAGCATTCCCGAAAAAGCATACAATGCGTTGGGTCCAACCTCTCAAAATATCAATGCTGGGAGGAATTCCAGACGCTGCAGCTTGTTCTAAAGTCTCAAACATTTTTGCCACAGGACCAGATATGTCCATTAATTTATCTTGACAAGATTTTAGTGATCTGTCAAGTCCTTTACTTGGGTTCTGCCCTTATTTTGTTAAAAATTGCACAATAGTGGGATCTAGATCAGGTGTCTGATGCGACTTAGATAAAGTTGGTCTAGGGCATTCAGCTCTTAGCTTATTTCTAGCCGCTTGGTCAAGGGGTTTCCTCAACCAGCATTCAATATATTTGGCTACATGAGCCATAGGGACCCATTCGGTTCTTAAAGGGACACTATAGTCACCAGAACAACTACAGCTTATTGAATTTGTTCTGGTGATTAGAATCATTACCTTCAGGCTTTTTGCTGTAAACACTGTCCTTTCAGAGAAAATGCAGTGTTTACATTACAGCCTAGTGATAACTTCACTGGCCACTCCTCTGATGGCTGTTAGAGATCCTTCCTGGGTCATGGCTGCCTAAAATGCATCCAAACATTCAGTATCTCCACCCTCTGCATGCAGACACTGAACTTTCCTCATAGAGATTCATTGATTCAATTAATCTCTATGAGGAGATGATGATTGGCCAGGGCTGTGTTTGAATTGTGCTGGCTCTGCTCCTGATCTGCCTTTTTGTCAGTCTCAGCCAATCCTATGGGGAAGCATTGTGATTGGATCAGGCTACCACTTCTGATGATGTCAGCAGGCAGTGGGCAGGTCAAAAGGAAACTGGGACAAAGTAAGCAGCTCCAGATTTGAATACAAGTAGGACTTTACTATATTTAGGGAGGCATGAAGGGACCAGGATGGCTAGATGGTGGTTTTACCCCTATAGGGTCAGGAATACATGTTTGTGTTCCTGACCCTATAGTGCTCCTTTAATATGGTCTGGGTCAAATAATGATTCCCATTAACATCCATTATAATATTCTCTTCATCAGATTTAGAGAGAAGCTCAGGTGCCTCTGAAACAGATGAATAATTTGAGGCAGAATCAGATTCAGATTTTTCATCTTCTGAGTTTGAAGATGAGTCATCATTCGAGGATGTTTTATAGGAGACAGGTTTGCTCCTGTGAATGGCCTTTCGAGCTCGTCTGTCTTCCTCACGAGCAGAGGGTCTTTTGAGTGATTGATTGCACTCTTCGGTTTTGCGTGAGACACGCATTTTGTTCTTATCTTGGTCCTTCCCCATCTTATGTGACTTAGAACAGCCAGGGTATTCTAAAGGACCGTCAAAGCAGTGTTTGCGTTTCTGGGTGGCCTTCCCAGACCTCCTGAATCCCTGAGCTAAATTCCGTTCTGAGTCCACAGGTGACCCTCTGAAGGAGTATTAAGTGAGTCTTATCAGTAGGTTTTAAATTGCTTATGGTCTGAGCCACAGACTTTGCAATTGTTTCTTGCATGGAAGACACTGCAGTATAAATTGCAGATGAAATTGATTTGTGAACGGATAAGTCTAAAATATTTTGTAAAGAATCCTCAGTGAGGATTTCAGTCATGAGAAGCACCAGGTTTTGGTGACTGAGAAGGAGTTTGTCTAATTTCTTTAGAATTCATCGTTCAATATTGCAACAAATTGTAATTTGTAATTACTATTAGTAAATCGTAAAATAATGTTGCAAAAGATTAGGTAAAATCCTGACAGGAAAGTCAAATAATTTCAAACTTATAATAATTACCAACATAGAGCAAAAAAGTTGTGGAGAAACACTGTGCTGAGGTAAAGTGGGCAGGAAAGTTAGCTGAGAACCAACTGGAATTCCCACCTATAATAACGTCATCGTTCTATGAGGGAATAACTGAAATCGCACATGCAGCGATTCGCATGAAAAACTGTCAAAATAAACTGTCGAAATAAAACCTGTGAACGCGAGTATAATAAACTAAGACAAAAAAAACGAATGGCCACGATTTACAAGAAAACTACCAGACATAAGTCAATCGAAATAACTGAAAAGTAACAATTCGTATAAAAACTACCGAACGTGGACAAACCACAACTCACTTCGGATGAAAAGCCGTGAATGCCAGTGTGTATGAACTATATAAATATATATATATATATATATATATATATATATATAAAATTATTTTTGTAATTCTTTAATTTTTGTAGTGCATAGGTTAGTTCACAAGCTTACAGTGATATGAAAAAGTACAATTAGGTTGAAAGTAAGATCTTCATAAAAAATTTCAGAGATATAGCACTTTTTTTTTTTTTTTTTACAGAAAATAAACAAGTCTGGGTCAGTATACAAGAAATGGGTTAGGAGATACTCATGTGGAATCAACTGAGAGCACAAGAAAGCAAATGCAAGCTAAACATGTCTAGAAACAAAACTTAAAGGTTTGCAAGATATTCTAGGCATGTGCTGCGTTTTGACAAAAATCATGCTAGTTATGCATTGCTTGAGGTACTAGTAAAGGTTTGTTATTATATCAGGAGAAAACGCAAAGCAAGGAAATTAAAATAGAAACAGGTAACAGGAGTCCACCGCGTGGTAGTTAAACTTAGAGAAAGCCCATACAGGCCGAGTTTCCAGGATGTGCTTCAGACTTCATCTGATGCCCAGCTTGCTAGTAGATTGTTTGGCTCTGTGAGGAGGATTCCATATGGGTGAGTGTAAGTGGCGCGGGGGCATCAAGGAGAGGTCTGCGGTCGGGTACCATATCTCCCTTCTGGTGCAGCAGCCGCCATCTTGAGGGGTCATGGGGTGTAATGCCCCAGGCCTACGAATTGTAGCTAGAGTCAGGACTGCCGCAGGCTCCGTTCCAGGTCCCGAGGGGCAAGTGATGCTGTGCTGCCTTGGCATCCGCTGTGTGGGATCAGACTGACCAGGTGATCTTGAGGTTGATGCAGAACGAGCAGGTAGGAGGGCTGAGTTGGGGTGTCAGGGCAGACTGCTTCCTTTCCTCGATAGTAGTCCAGAATTTCGTGAAGATATGATTCAGTTTAGCCTAGGTTGTGGCATTATGAGTCTCTGCATCGTTTCTGGTTGCGATTGCCGGCATTTTAGAAGCCTCATGGTGCCCCTTTACCCTGCAGGCTGAGGTGTTGGGAGTAGCCATGGGAAATCTCCTGTGGACCGGGATAACCTCTGCCGGTTCAAAAGGGGTGAGGGGAGAGCCGAAGTCCGCTCAATGAAGTAGGACGTGGTGTCTGGAGAGCGGCCGTCCCTACGACGCCTGTCCAGCTTGCAAGCCACAAATAGCAAGATGTTAGTTTCCCAAGACAGTACAGCACCGACTTTTGGTACCGCACGAACCAGCAGGATCCCCACTTGCGGTGTGTCGCATTTTGCGTGGTGAATAGCAGGTTGGCAGGTGTATAGGGTAGATTAGGCAGTTTATGCTCAGGTGCTTGTCAAACCTGCATAAGAGAATATATATATATGATACTTATCTCTACTGAAGCAGCAAAGAAAGAGGAAGAATATTGGGGATCATTCACTATATAGACTATGCCTAATGCTGATTGGCTAACGAGTGTTCCATTTCAGTTACTCTGTTATTTTTTGTCTTTTATTCACTAAACTTTATTGAAAAAATGTCTTTGCTGCTGGAGTTAAGTAAAGAAAGTTAAAGGACCACTATAGTGCCTTTAGGTCCCCCCCCACCCTTAGGGTCCCACTCTCGCTGGGCTCAAGGGGACTGAAGGGGTTAAACACTTACCTTTCTGACGTCAGCGCTGAATGCGCATGCGTGGCAAGAGCCGCGCACCCATTCAGACAGTCGATAGGAAATAATTTCTAGTGGCTTTCAGTGAGACAGCTACGAGAGGCTGGATTAACCCTCAGTGTGAACATAGCAGTTTGTTTACAGCTGCAGGGTTAAAACCTGGGGGACCTGTCACCCAGACCGGGGCCTACAGTGGTCCTTTAATGCATAATACAAGCCTCCTGTCTTGCTATAAAATTTACAGTTTTAAATCAAGGTAGGTGTTTATTACCACGTTATTGTTAGAAGAGAGTTATGGTTGTACACCTGTGCAAAGAGATAGGCCTTTAGTGTCTATTTATCTTTATTTATTTTATAGAAGATGCTTCTCTGACACTGACAGGGAAAAACTATCATGGAGACTTACCAGAGTTTTAAAAAGTGCCCTCTATAGACATTTGTTCTTCTTGTAAGAAGAGGGCCTAAAGTACAGATGTAAATTTACCATAAATAATTTCATGTTATTTCTTTGTTTACAGAAGCTGTAATGTTGAGCCAATCCATTTTGAACATGTAGTATAATTTGTCAAAATATGTAGATGACAATTCCTCCTTAAGGTAGGTAACATGCAATGTGTACACAAAACTCTCAACGTTTCCTGCAAATGCAGAGCTTGAAGACACATTTCCAGAATATTGTTCTCTCCACTTCTAAAATGGTGACTGGAAATGGACAACGCAGTCTCACCAGTGCAAAAATTACACATTTGGAATTAAGAAATAAGTTAACGTATAATGCACATTAGGAGTTGCCATGTCTGTAGTCTTTACCACTATACGGAATTAGACTATGAATTTTTTTTCATTAATGAAAGTGAGTCTTGGTGGGATGAAACACTTGGTTGGACTTTTAATTTAAATGGATATACATTATTTAAAAAGGATAGAAAAGGGAGCTGGATATGTCTTTATATTAAACTCCTTCATGGTCATCACTTTATAATAAAAAACTTTGCCATAGATGGTCACGAGGATATAAGATCACCAAATATGGAAATTAATTTGGTCAGAAATCATTAGTGACCGCGGATGTACAGGGTATGTCAGCCAAAAAACTGTTATTAACGACCACTGATGTACCCTGTATGTCCGTGGCCAAAATGAGTGCTGCAAGCAATCGTGATCACTTCCAGCCGCTCTAAGGTATTACATGTAACACCCTCCCACACTGCCGGGCACCTAAGTGATGGCCCCCCAGTATCGATCACTTTTGCCGCACGTGGCGCCCGGCAGTGTAGACCAGAGCATCTGAAGCCATCAGGCAGACTTCCGATGCTCTGCCTGTACTGAGTGCCTCGAGGGGTCGAGGCACTCAGTAATAGTTTAAAAAAATAAAACAAAAAAAATTAAATTAAATTAAAAAATTAACCCTCTACCCTCCCTCCCCATGCACTTACCGATCGCCACCGTTTCCCCAATCAGTATTCTTCTGAGGAGGACTTTCTGGGCTGAGACCAGACAGTACCCCCTCTGCACTGTAGGACCCCCTGGGGCCATGTGACTGCTCTAAAAGAGCGGTCATATGGCCACAATAGATGTCCACAGAGCTGCCAGCAGGGGGACTGCCTAAACTGACAGGCAGTTCCCCTGCTGGTGAAAAAATAATAAATTAAAATATATATATATATAATTATAAGTAGAGATTGTAGCCGTATTAGTCCAGTGATGTAGATGTAAAAAACAGATAAAATTCTTATCTTGTAATACCTTTTTTATTGGACTAACAGAATTTTTTTTATATATATATATATATATATATATAACATCATATTAAGTGTATTTTTTATTAATATATACATATATTAATATAAAAATACACAGAGTAAGATTACACACATTTATATATAATATATATAATACTTATATATATTGTGTATACATATATTCTAAAAATTAAATAATAATTAATTAAAAATAAATAAAAGAAAATGTAAACAATTTATATATATATATATATATATATATGTATAGGTAATTTTATTCCAACTGTATTTTATATTAATATATACTTATAAAAGATTTAAACGTGTTAGCGCTATATTGGAGAAGTCATATGCTGATCTTGAAAAAGCCTGAGTGTTTGGGCGAAACGCGTTGAAGTTCTAAGAGCTTCTATCCTAGAAGGGTGAGTGCAGAGTGATTACCGATACCGGCTTTTGAAACTTGGCGTCTTTCCAAGATAAGCAGTCAGCTGCACGGCAGAGAGATTCAGCCACAACCGATAATATCAGAAGGATGGTCGGTAACAACTTTTTACTCTAACAAAACCCGTGCTTGTTTGTTGTGTCTTGGAAACAAGTACCACCATTTGTCTATGTAAGGGTTCCTTTTGGGGGAGAGGGTTTGAAACTTTTAAGCCAATAAATAAAGTGTTACACTATGAGGATTTCTTTTGTATCTTTTTAAGGTACTACTGTTTGCTGTGGTATACCTTGTATCCCCAGTCTGTGGATCCTACCTGTGTGGCAAGATTAACCCCTTCAACACCCAAGGACTCTGGGACAGTATAATATTTTTTAATGTGTGGAAGAATACATATTGACCAATATTTGATGTGGATATTCTTAAGTTTGTTTTTTTTATAACCAACTGATAATTCAAACGTATAAAGTGGTTGTTTTTTCTTTCATAAGATTATTTACGGAGTGCTCAGCACATAACTGAGGGCTTCTCTAATATAGCGCCAACACGTTTAAATCTTTTATGCATTGTATATTGTGAAATCGTAAGGAAATTTCTAGTGTGTTTTTAGCAGCTTTCGTAAATTTTATATGTATATTATTATTTATATTGTTTAGCTTTTTCCCATACATTGCACTCTCTTATTAGTTTTTACACAATATATTTATATCAAAATAAACTTAGATATATATATAATTTCATTCTATGTATATCTCCTTTAAAAAAACGGTTGTTAAGGACCGCAGATGTACTTAGTATGTCCGCGGCAAATAGGAGCCCTGGACTTACCTGGATCGGCGATCCGTGTCGATCACAGTCAGGGAGGGAATGCTGGAGACCCCTGCAGTCCCCCTGCAGCCGCTCTGGCCACCCCGGCCCTCCAGTGCCATGTGATCACCATGATCACATCGCCGCAGTAGGACTCTAGGAGCTGCCAGCAGGGGGACTGTCTGAGCACCATTTAATTGCGAGAAAAACATTATATAATACGTGTGGGTACAGTAAACGAGTAAAAGGAAAATTACAGCTAAACACAAACACCGCAGAAATTTAAAATCAGCCCTGGTCCCAAATGGTAACAAAATTGAAAAGTGGTCTGGTCACTAAAGTGTTAAATAGAGTCTAATGAAAAAAAATCTAACTAATGCTAATGGTTCTTGTTTGGCTGTGGTTATAGCCTGCCTTGCTTGAGTACTAATATATAATAGGACATATAGATATATATATATATATATGCACAGCACTGGGGCATCACAATCTTTTAGTAACTCATACGTTGCCTAGCAATGCCGACGCCATCGTTTGCGTCATCATGTTTGGTCACGTGTCCCGTCTGTGCACTTCCGGGTTCGGTCAGGTGTTGGATCTCTCCTCACACTTCATTGGTAAGTAATTACTTTACATTTCTTATTTATTTGTACTAACTGCACTATATTGTTGATCTTGAAAAAGACCCTTTCTGGGACGAAATGTTGATCGGGACAATGTACCGTATATGTAACCAGTAATAAAAGATATACTTTGGAGAAAAGACCTGTGAGTGCACCCACTCATTCCTGAATATATGTGTATGCAAAGGTTGCACCAAGGCAAGATTTTAATTGAGCAGCATTAAAGGTGTGAGTGCCAAGGTCACATATTGTGTGTGTGTGTATATATATATATATATATATATATATATACACACAAAAATACGCAAAAGATAAAAATTACAACAGACATGTTTTCAGTGTTATATACAGGTTTATAAAGGGAAAAGCGAATCTCTACCGTATAACACCTATCAGAGTTGGCGTTCCCAGTAGAGACAAGCCCTCCCTGTACCAAAAAGGAGACTCCAGGGGCTTAACCCCAATAACTTAGAAAAGAGCAAAGAAGGTATACACAGTCTATTGCTTCTGTTTCTTTAACAGGTGTATATTCTGTGTGTTTTTTCTTCTTTGCTCTTATATACAGGTTTGTCTATTATTATTATTGCCATTTATAAAGAGCCAACAAATTCCGTAGCGCTTTACAATATTTATGTACACTCTTATGTAGGTAGGCCATCACATACCCTGCAGAAGAATGTCAAGGGGCAAATTAGAAATACTGTATGTTCAATATTATTTGTACACCATCACAATCGAATTTGCTCAAATGATGCTGGAGTGTCGCCTGTTTTCATAATGATATATCCAAAGGTGACACGTGGATGTTATCTGTATTTGCTACCCTTTAAATGACACCTGGGGCTCCATCTGAAAATCATTTGTCTACACTACAGGTTTAATATGGCAGTAGTATTCTAGTCACAACAGCCTTCATGATTTGTGGATTGTATTTACTTGGTAATATGGTATTCTGACCTTTGGTCTGGTTTTCTTTTATGCTGCCTGCAACAAACTTGTCTTGTCTCTGACATGCGTAACTCGGCTAGTTTCTGGTTATCCTCTCTTCGCTCCTGGCGTTCTCTGTGTTCAAGCACCTTAAGAAACAGTATTACACTTTTTGCAGCTTCTCTTTGTTGTTAACCTGTGTACGTCTGGTTCCACCTGTTTTACAAATTTTTTCACGGATATTATTTAATAAAGTGTGAATTGTCAGAAATGTAAAGTAAATTTTACATTTAAGGCCAAAATAGCTGAATTGGAAAAACATGTTCAAGGCGGTTTTAATCAGCCATTGATGGCCTCTTCATTCAGGAGGTGAGGTTGATATCTCAGCCAGTCCTTGGTTTCTTATTCACAATGATGCGAACATATTTGCCTATTCAACGATATTCCTCATTCCTTTCTATATGAAAACAATGTGCATGCAGATTAGCGAATTACAAAACTGTACTCTCAATGCAATGTTAATAAGACAGAGAAAGACATGAAATCCGTCTTTAACTTGTGTATTCTCATGCAGAATCATCTTTACATGCTTGCATAAGTGCTTTTCCCCTCCTCCATTCCTTTTATGGCTATCAGTACCAAATGGAGATAAACATGTTCTCAAATCCAGTGGAAATTTACTAAAATGGCAGCACTGATCTGTGTGAGAAGTGGCATAATATAAACATCGCTGATTACATTTATTTTTTACAGTATGTGGGTTTGTGTCCAGACTATGTTTTTCCTGATGTAACTATGCACATACATTTTATATTTATTTACATTTAAGTTTCACATATTTACACAAAGCAACTCAAAATGGACAAAGGCCCGTGCTAGACTATTCCCAATAATCCTTTGATTTTAATGCTGGGCAGCTATAGTATTTTATAGCACTGATCTTAAACCATTTAGTAAGCACTTCCACAGGATGTTAGCACATGCAGATCCACCCATTTTAGTTATTCTAAGGTGCCTTTCATTTGGATTTCATTCAATCTGCATTTAGAAAATAGTACACCCTATTGTAGTTTCTCTCATGGCCCGCCTTTGCAGTTTGTGGGGGCATTGTTTGCACAGATGATCATTGGGTCGTTGCATTGAATTACACTTTATTCCATCCACAGTTCTACAGATCTCTGTAGTAAATACATCCGAACATACATTATTCTCTCTTTACTCTTTAGATACATTTGAAATTAACACTCTACCATGTTATAATCTGCAACATCAAAAAGAACATATTTTTAATTGATTATGTTTGTTTCTTCTTTGTTCTTGCTACTGTTTTGATATTTTATACTCCTTTTCTTTTTTGCTTTGGTTTTATTTTGTTTTTGAAAAAATGTTTATACACCATTATACTGAAGCATTCTAGGACTTTCTTTCATGCATTGGAGATATTTTGCTTTCATTCATGTTATAATTCCATTTGCTAGCCCTGCTGGCACTGCAGCAGTTAATGTGAGAGAGCAATGAGCTAATCTCGCCCTCAGCGCCTGCCATCTCCTGGTTACTCACACATCCATGACATCAGCTTATTCAGCTGCCTTTTGTCCAAGTTCAAGGCTCCAGCTATTCATCCTAACACATTCAGACTCCAGCAATGTGCTCAATTCAAGTGAATCAATCTTTATTGGTGTGTTAACAAATTCAACGTACAATAGAGCATTACAGAATATAGCGTACAGCATTATGCAGGTTCACACACACTTTAGAATTAAAAGGGCTTTTATTGTTTGTATATTTTTCTATATTTGAAATGAATGTATCAGGATCATATATATCTAAAGAGGAGATAGGGTGAGGAGAAATCAGAGAATCTCCTTTTTGTGAACATATGAGCAAGGCACTGTGAGGTGTAGTTTTTACCAGGCCTCACACACAGGCAGGGGACTGAAGGTGCAAACATGTATTATTTGTGTTAAACACTCTCCACTTTGGTTCATACCTTTCCTCTGTAGCAGTCGTGAGACATCTGCACGTTAAACGTGACAGCCGTTCCATTGGAAAGATTAAATGTGTATTTACAGTGCTTAGGAGAGGACTGGCTTTTTAAACTGTATTCTGGAGGAGAGAATTTGGCATGCACTAAGAAAGAGGCTTTGCCCATTAAATGCACAAATGCATCAGCATAACTGTACTCTGTTCCTGATTGTCCCCCTGGAGAATTCTCCAGACTGGAATAATTCATGTCAACACGATAAGCCAAACCCTTGTCTCCCTCCCCAGAGCAGATCATGAGGAAAGCTGTTCTGCTCTCTCACAGAAGGGGCCTAGAGAAAGGAGGGGTTGATTGGTTGTTACAGTCCTTAAGACCAGAAGAACAAAAGACGTATCCATTTACTTATATAGAGCAAGAAACCCTTCTGTAAACAGAAAGAGGAGAGCTTTGACAATATCTAGAGATGCAAGGGAGATTTCAAGATCTTTACTTAAGGGAAAAGATACATAGAAAAAAAATCAACATATTGATGAGATGGCTTAGGAGGGCAGAGTGTGCAGGGAAAGCAGAATGAATGCAGTGTTTTACGAGAGAGCAAAAGGCTGATAGAGGGAATTCACAATGTAAGTTCCTGGTAAAGGTGTGTATTTACAAAAGAGCAATGTTTGATTAAATAGAAAAGTCTGCTTACAAATATATGGCCGAGCTTGTTTAGATAGAGTGCGGGGTAAAAGAACAGAGAGCAGATTTTGCTGTTGCCAGGAGACTGCAAAAAAGAGAAAGTGGTAGAGTCAAGGCAGATTTTTTGGAAATCAATGCTATCTGGGAGAGCAATAATGAAGCAGAGCTTGCTTGGAGAGAATATAGAGCAGAGCTTGCTGCTAAATCACACTGATAGAGCAGAGCTTACTGAGAGCCTGCTGAAATGACATACAGGGAGCAGAGCTTGCTGGGAGAAAACACAGACAACAGAGCTAATTGGCAGAACAAAAAGATAATATCTGTGTGTGACAGCACAGATATGTATCAGCATTATGGGAGTCTACAGAGCTTAGCTTGCTTAAAGGGCAAAAGAGAAGCTGAGCTTAATTAAAAAGCATAGAGGCAGTGCGGATTTCTAAAAGAAACCACAGCTTACTTCGAAATCACAGAGAAGAGAGCAGGTTAAAGCAGAGCTTTGATTTCAGAATGTCAGGAAGCATTAAAAACATAGATTGCAGGCAGAGCTGAGAGAGAGTGAAAGGTGCAGAAATTAGAGCTCACTGAAGGAGCATAGAATAGAGCTTCCAGTGGGAGAGGCGAAAAAGGTTATTCATTTAAGAATGTCAGTTTAAATATTCTACATGTCATTATAGCACATTTGCATAAGACAAGGCATCATCAATGCCCTATACATAAAAGTGCCCTTTTAATGGCGCTGTTAGGTCTTCCTTACCATTACGGGTTATGATAACACCCAACCATAGCATCTCAGTTTAAGATTAGAACACTATCCATGGCAATTTTGTGATAGCAAGCTCATAGGGTTAGGTGGGTGCATAGCACTAGCCGCTAAGTTACCTACTGCTCTCAAGATATCATGCATTGTAACTGCCATCCTTCTCAGCCAAAGCTATAGCATAGGCCTTTCCATGTTAGGTTTAGGGACTATCCATGGCACTGTAGCATGAAATATAATGAATGCAATACCATCAGAGTGTTGTTATAATAACAATTAAATTGTTTCTCACTTTTTTGCCAAAACCAAAACCAGTTAGAGAGCACAAATAGGGCAACACTTGGCAGCACAGAGAGAACAGATCATTCTAAAAGGAAGATCAGAGCTTGCCAGGAGTGCACAGAGAAAGCTGGTCTTGCTAAATGGGCACAGAGAAAGCAGAGGTTGCCAAGGGATCACTGAGAGGATTTCTAGAGCACAATAAAACTGAATTGCAACTTTCTCCTATGTATATGTATTCTAAAAAGAATAAAGGATGTCAAGGTTTATACACCTTAACAAAATCTCAGATTTTCGAAAATTAAAAAAAATTCTCTCAGGCTGTGGGAAACATTACTCCAAAGCACTGCACTCTTATGGCGAAGTAAATTATTAAAGTAGCATAGCTTCCAAGCCCATGTAGAGCTAGCACATTTCAAATATCTAACATGGAATGCGTCGGTGATAATCGGCAGGACGTTTTTTTACAGCTTTGTATTTGTTTCACATCCATGCACACACTGCTTCTTGACTTTTTTTGAATTGATATTTTATATTGGGTTATAACCACTAAACTTAGCAAATAAACGAACCTCTGTGTTGTATTACAGATAACGGATAAAGCCAGCTAATAGAAACGGCGGTATTTTTTGAACCCATATAAATATAGAATACTATCCTGTAGTCTGGGAAGATAGAAGGTCAATGATCTGTAACAACCCCAAACTGTTGGCATTAAAAGGAAACTGTAATTTTATTCAGCCTAAAAGTGAATTACAGAAATGAATTCCACTCCCCTCCCTTTCTTGATAAGCATATACAGGTATTTGTAAAGGTTACACTTTGGACATTGATTTGTTTCTGAACAGCAAATTTGAGGCATTTTTAAAAGTGGAGCAATCACTATGGAAACCAATATGTTCCTGCTCGTAGGTTCTAAATGTAGAACTTTGCCTCAAAAGCTCTTTTAATAAAAAACCCATTTCATTATGGCTTTGAACCAGTGAATTCTGTGACAGTAATTTGAAAGGACCATTATGCTAGCTAAGCCAGATACATTGGAATAATTGCGCTTTGCGTTCTACTCATAATGCAATACAAAGAAGCTGGAATTATTACAAATCATTACGTTGAAAGAACTCTGAATAACTCCTTAACATTGCAAAATCTGTACGTTAAGTTTTACACATATATATATAGTGAAAATCGAAACCCAGCTAATGGTATACACTAGCTTGGTAGAAAATTGTCAGATAATAAAATAAATTATGAGATTAATATGTGTTACAGTATTTCATGTGTGATCCCTACTTGGCACATGTATGCTATATGTTTACATGTGTTTGATCATTTTTTTTGCAAAATTACTATATCTGTCTGTTTTCACTCACCTATACTGTGGTTTTGGGTATCTGCACAACATGACTCCAGTTGTATCAAAACATAACAAAGTGGGCTGCAACCTTAAGAACTGTTTATCATATTAAACAGCTGCAAGATCATTTGGGTGTCTGAACATCTATGGTACTTCCACTAACAGGTCCAATTTTCTCAAGAACCTTGTGCGTTTAAATTCATTCTGCCTTAGCCTGCCTGACCACTGTATCTTATTCTTATTAAGAAGGGCCTCTTTACCTCCTGGTTTGAAATCAAACAAGTCACAGCTCACCACGTAGACTACAATCAAAATGTAAATATATATATTTAATTCAGGATCAGTAGAGGAACAGAGTGACCAGGAAAGGACCACTGGGTTGAGAAAAAATGCATGCTATTAGAACAATAAGTCCTATAGACCTATTATGATTGCAGGTTACCTAAGTATGGACAGATGGGAAATCGGTCTTTTAAAGACTGATCAGACTGTTTACTTGCTTGTGATCCAAAAAGCTCCCCAGCAAAATAAAACCCCCTTTTAATGTGAAGACTGTACATCTTTACTTATTTTATAATTCATCCACATTCGTATAATTAATTGAGTTGGTGATAATCAGATTATCTCTACCAATCAATTTCCTGTGTGTGAGCTAAACTTCTCCTGAGATGAACAGTTTATTGAACACATCTTACCTCTGTCTTGACCATAAGAATATCATTGGATACCTGGCATTTACATGGTATTTGAGGAGACAAACAGAAATCATAACAGGAATAAGTGAAATATTTTCAGTCGGCTGTAAACATGCAAACAAGTTATTATTGTAGGAATTGATATTTAACAAGTTGTGTTAGTACATTTTTGAGAGTTAGCGTGTCCTGTAAGGACCGACTGCCTAAGAAAATTTGATCTACCACTAAAACGAGGTTAACACCTTTAGTATTGGGCCAACCTTCAACGCAATCATTTAAAGGTGCCTTAGTCACTGGAGGGAGTTATACAAGGTTACACAAAAATGGATATCTTCCTGCCAATTTGGCTCCATCATTCTTTTCCACCTTATTGACCTGTATCTATCTCTTCCACCCATCTTATATGCCCCCACTTTCACTAGACGCAGAACCTAGTACTCGCTCAGACTGTGCCATTTGGCAATCAGCTTCCTGGGATTGTCGCAAACCTCCTGCCAATGTTCAATGCCGTTGGCTGTGACACTGTGCGCCCCTAAAATTATCCTACCCACCACCTGGTTCTTGGTGGTGCGGTCAAAGTCGATGACAAGGAATTCAATGCTGATGTCAGGCAGTAGTTCAGTGGGGATGTCATAGATGAAGGACTCGTTGAAGACAGGATTCAAAGTACACTTCTTGACGTGAGTCTTCTTCTTTGCGATGCGCTTCCTGCCATAATAGACATTCACCTTGACGTATGGATCTGTCAGGAGGGAGAGAACATCACCAATTACTAAGTTCATGTGGCTACCACAGATCTGTGGTAAAAGGTACAGGTATGCATTTTTAAAATCTATTTTTAAGAATATAGCTTTACTATAGTGCCATGTTAAATATCATCTCTAGGGTTACAAAAACTTGCACTTGCGGCTAACAGACATCCCGAGCGGGCGGGCGGCTGGCGAGGGAGCACTTCCTCTGAGCTGACTGCTCAGCTCCCTCGCGCGCCGCAGAGTGAGGCTGGGAGCCAGAAGATGACGTCATATTCCGGCTCCCAGCCTCACTCTGCGGCGAGCGAGGGAGCTGAGCAGTCAGCTCAGGGGAAGAGCTCCCTCGCCAGCCGCCTGCACAGCAGCCAGCGCCGCCCAGCCCGACCGCCAGCCACTGGACCACCAGGGAGAGAGAGACCCCCCCAGCACTCCCAAAGGTAAGGAGGCTGGGGGAGGGAATTAAAAAAAAAGTTAATGTGAGTGATTGATTGTGTGTGTGTTTGTGTCTGACTGTGTGTGTGTGTCTGACTGTGTGTGTTTGTGTCTGACTGTGTGTGTTTGTGTATGACTGTGTGTGTGTTTATGTCTGACTGTGTGTGTGTGTGTCTGACTGTGTGTGTGTGTGTCTGACTCTGTGTGTTTGATTGTGTGTGTGTTTGTGTCTGACTGTGTTTGTGTCTGTGAATGTGTCTGACTGTGTGTGTGTGTGTGTATGTGTCTGACTGTGTGTGTTTGTGTCTGACTGTGTGTTTGTGTGTCTGACTGTGTGTGTGTATTTAGAAGGTGGGGCGGGGGGGAGGGTTGGGTGGGGGTGGCGCGGGGGGAGGGGGGCACCTGAGTTTTGTCCTGCCTAGGGCAGCACAAAACCAGGATACACCACTGAGTGCAATGTGTACCTTTACTTGCTCTGCATTGATGCACATCATTATCAATGGCACCCTTGTAGTGCTGTTTCATTTGAAATTCAGAATTATTGTAATTTTGGTTGTGTTTAATGTTTTAGTCTACATTTTAAAATCAACATTTGTAAAAAGTTGAATATATTAGGGCGACATCTCAACTCTTTCCACAAAACCATAGATTGTACACAGATAAATTATTTCTACAGAACCAGATGCACTGCTTGTGCTATATAAGAATTGTTCTTTTATATGATTTAATTTCTCTGTTTTGTGTAATTTTCTAAAATGTAGTATGCTGTTCTAAGGGACACAGGGCAATAGTCTGACTATTAGGAGACATACTATATATAATCTCCAATGAATTTCGGAGCATCTTCTGAGCATCCTCATATAACATAATTTTGTGTTTACCCCAAGCAACTTGTAAACGTGTTCCTATTCGGACCTCTGAGTACTACTGTTCCACAACATGTTACAACCTCAGTATTATTGTGGAGCAGGATTTCCTTATATTGGATCATACTACAATGACAAGATGGATAAATAGCTGCTACCTGAGAGACCAGTGATGTCCATTCGTGGTAGATGCTTAGCTTTTAATACCACCACGGTCATTCTTTGGGCCACAGGCTGGTAGGAGAGTGAGACTTGCAGCTCCCCACGACTGATGCATTTCTGTGGAGAAATCAGAGTTTTCATTTATATTAATATGATATTTCAATTTAAATGCAGGTTTCATTCTGACCACAAAGATCTCCTGCCTTGATTCTCTCTTGCTTTCATATAAAAATAAATGTAATAATCAACAAGGAGTTAAACACTTCCTCTGACACACAACAGATGATCTATTTTGGGCTATGAAGTTACTACTCAATGACCTGTTCATTCTGTTTTTCCTAAGCTGACTGAGTACTGAACTTTAGTGAGGGTTGATAAAGCAACCTCGGGGCCTTACTAAAAATTAGACTTTTTACTTAATGTGATTAGAGGGCTGGAGAATATCTATAAATATATCTTTCTCTCTGTAGCCGTAGGCATGTAGACCATGCACACACTAACGTGGAGAGAGGTCCTTAGGCTGACCACTTATTTCCAATCTCTGATGTCTAGGCTTATGCACAATTTTTAATGAGCTGGTGCTGACTGTTATAACAAGCTTTCTGTAAAGGAAATGTAATCCAGCGGAAAGAAATCAAAGGTCCACCCAACAGGAAGAAGGTTACTGTCCAAAGCCAGACATTGTATTATTTGGACAGAGCCACCAATAATAGTGGGGGGGGGGAAGGGAACTGACCTTTAGGGAGTTCTTTTTAACATTACAGATATAATTGCGAGTCACTGTTTGTTTTTAAACCACAGTCAATGAGCCTAAATTTAAACTCTAGTCTCTCCTTTTCCCAAGGCTGATATGAAAAGGAGTACATAAACTATACAAAAAAAAAAAAAAAAATACAACTGGGATATACTAATTCAAAAGTGGCTTATTGTAGTATAATGATAAGAGGCTCACTTGCAAGCCCGGGAATCGTCAATCCCACCTTTCTGCTTACCAAAAAAGGTATTAATAGGAGACATATTTGTAAGTTGCCGATATGTAAAAAATCTTGAATAGTTTTATTGGAAATTCATTTTTGTTTTTTTTAAATTTTAATCCAGAAAACTTTGTTGTAAAAGTGTTCTCCAGATTATAAAGCATTAGAAGGATCTAATTTAAGTATGCCATACTTTTTGAGATGATTTGATATTGCAATATTCAAGATTTTTATGCATCAAATGACTCACAAGTAAAATTTCATAAATATATATGCTTTTGTAGCTGAAGACTGAACTATTGAATTGTGGATTTCTAATTCGTCAGCTTTAATTTTAAATGCCCATCTACTCATACAGCCAGAAAAAAAAAACAGATTGAGACTTATCTGAAGCCTTTACTTTCAATATGAATAAAATCTACTGTAAAACTAAATATAAATGCCATATTATCACACAGATTTCTTTCTATGGTAAGAAAAGTTGATGAGCGAGTGTCTTGAGCTTGATAATATTGTCCATTTTTGTTTAATTTACCTGAATATTTCTTTTGATTATGTCTCTGGTTAACTGAACTTTGCCAGTGCTGGGGTCAACTCCTGCCAATGGAACCATGACTTCTCCAATGACATCATCCCTGGAGAAACGGTCAAAACTCAACACTAGAAAGTGAAGTACCAAATCCTGGAGTTGACTGTATGGAATGCCATAGAATGTGAAAGTCTCATCAAACACCGGATCAAGAGTCTTTCTTAAGACTCGTGTCTTTACTCTGTGTTTCTTGTCTGGAAGGATGGTCATTTTAATGTAAGGGTCAGAAGCCTGAGCTTGTTCGTCCATCACGGGAAGTCCATGGGCCTCTTGTATTGTCACCACCAAAGCTTTTTTGGGAAAGTTGTAATCCACAGAAAGAGTCAGTGATCCAAGCATGATATCATCTTCTGGAGATGAAAGGGATGAGGTTTTACTGCCACTAGATATAAGGCTCTGAACTGGACTTACTTCATCCCCGTAGTCCCCTTTGACCGATAGTTGGTCTACACATGTGGCAGTAGCCAGTCCATTTGGACCTTTCTCGTGATCTATTAAACCAGCCTCCGCTTTGTCTGCCAGGAGGTTCCCTCGAGTAGTGTCATTGCTAGACAGGTTCTTGTCCTTGCGGATGCGAATTGTTTTCTTTTTGTTGCTAAGTGTCTCAGGGTAGATACTGATGCCCTTCAGCATATGTATAAACTTATACGGTGGGTTTTTGTTTTTCTTCTCAGCTCGGTTGTGGCAGCAGGTCCAGATAAAGACTGTCAAAGACACAGACACTACCAAAACGGTGGCACCAATGAAACCTGCTGCTATTGGTGACATATCTGTGAGAGAGAGGGAGAGAGACTTATCGATAAATAACCACATGACATTGTCAAAGAATAAGCTACAAATACGGACTATTCTAAACGATTTTCTAACCCGTCTCTAGAATTGGTCACTCTTTTAGTAGTCTTTTTAATGATCTAGAGAACGGCCCATGATTAACAGAATCCCTTTCTGGTTAGATCTGCATTAGAATCAATAATGATCTGAAGCACATTTTATCAGTACTTGCAATGGCTACAAAACTACCATAATACCACGTTGAGTGACATTTAATAAAGCATCAAGATAACAGATATGTATGTATGCTGAGTTTGTAACTGCTTCAAGATGTACCGGTAATATCTAGAGTACTGATATCCTCTGCTTGCCTTCAGTATATTTGATAGCACAGAGAAAATTGACTATAGCTTGAATATACGGAGAAAAGACCAATTTCATTTAATGGAAAAATGTGACAATCTCTGCCTTAAGGGGTCTTATCTAACCAGACCAGCACCAAAAACAACTACACAAGTGCCAACTAGACTCAGCAAGTAACTGTAAGACATTTACATTTAAATATATCTTTATACATGTTGTGTATAAATAATCTGCAGAAAAAATGGTTTTAATTGTTTTATGGGCTGAGCATCAATGGCGTAGAACCAAGGTTTCTGGTTTCTGATTAAACACATGTTACGGTACTGGAATAAATCTGCCCGCTAAGTGCTTTTTTTTTCTTCTCGCCAATCTCTTTTTATTGTGGTACAAACAATATGCACAATATATGCAATGACATTATACAGTGTGAAGCACGTAAATCACAAACATGAGCAGTATAGTCGCCTAAGTGTGCGTGAAAGGCATTGTTTGTTTTTTATTAAACGCTAAGTGCTTTTTTAAGGAGCTGCTAAGTACTGAAAATTTGAATTCTACTTTAAGTCTCTTTTTTGAGTCTCTTTATTTCTGAGTGGTGTAAATTATGTTTAAAAAAAAATAAAAAATAAAATATATATATATATATATATATATATATATATTAAAAAGACAATGACAAGTTTGATAAGGTGTCACATTGTCAATTGATTTGGCATATGGAACACCTGTATATCTATAATAGACAATGACAAAACCTAAACTTCCAATTTATGGGTTTTTCTGGTCACTGAACATGGCTTGAATTAGAGCGGTTTTGTATTAAATTATATTGTAGCTATAATTTTATTTTTAATTGTGTCTCCATGCAGATCTCATTGTCTATGTTTTTGAATGTTTGGCTTATTACAACATTAAAATATACACTAGGCCCCGGATACAATACTGGTCATTTTAATATATAGAATGCTTGTTTACTAATATACCATAACTATAAGATTTGTGCAATTGCGCTGAATGCCATGTTATACTCTAGCACTGTATGTTTTCCTTTTGCTTGTCCTGCTGTCGTGGCATCACAAGCGTGTATGTATTCATCTGCACAACAAAATAAAGAATATATAAATAAAGAATATATATATACACTCGATTCAAATGGGTCCTCCTGGAGTCCCAATGGATTCTGACAGGAAACTTGATTACCATGTTGTGGCTTCCAGCGAAATCTAGATCAAAAGTGTCAAACATGCTACCATCGACCCTTCTAAGTCTGGGATATGATTAAGGGTAAACCAACCAATTACACCCATTTACCCTAGCAAGCCCGTTGAAGTTGATTTCCTATCTAATTCCAAACTATCCATATAGCCTTTGCGAAAAACATGGGATATCCCACTTACGCCGGCTATGCAAATGAACTGTTCTGATGTCCTTTCAAAACATACTTAAACAACATGAGCTCCCTAACAACTTCCTGTTCTCATACCTACAACTGAGATCATACCTGTCCCAGGCGAACTAAGGAGAAGTCACTCTGAGAACAGAGAACCCCTATCACAGTTCGAACACAACTTTTTGTGTTTACAACTAAAACCACAACAAAAAGTCATTTTGTAGTACTATTTACTTTGGGAATTGGGGACAGCAATGAGGCCTATTATGGATTATTGGCACAAAGAATTGGGTTACTGTATAGAGAAAGGGAAATGGGATAAAGCCATTTCACTACACAAGGGCATAATATCCTGTCTAGGCCATTTAGAGCTGCAACGCAAACTTATGTACAAATGGAATATGGTACCGGCGAGACTACACCAAATATGGCCCACTGTAACTAACTCCTATTGGAGGTGCCAAGCAGAGGTAGGCACCATGCTGCACTATGGTGGGCATGTAAGATCCTTAAAGGACCACTATAGTGCCAGGAAAACATACTCGCCCGGCTCTGGGGAGAGGAAAGGGGTTAAAACGTACCTTTTCCAAGCGCTGGGCGGAGAGCTCTCCTCCTCCGATCCTCCTCTTCTCCTCCCCGTCGGCTGAATGCGCACGCGTGGCAAGTGCTGCGCGCGCATTCAGCCGGTCACATGGGAAAGCATTCATAATGCTTTCCTATGGACGCTTGCGTGCTCTCACTGTGAAAATCACAGTGAGAAGCACACAAGCGCCTCTAGTGGCTGTCAATGAGACAGCCACTAGAGGATTAGGGGGAAGGCTTAACCCATTCATAAACATAGCAGTTTCTCTGAAACGGCTATGTTTATGAAAAAATAGGTTAACCCTAGCTGGACCTGGCACCCAGACCACTTCATTAAGCTGAAGTGGTCTGGGTGCCTAGAGTGGTCCTTTAAGCTATTCAGGGAGGCGGTCTTCAAGATGACACGCTTGATATTGAAACACCAGATTACTCTAAAACCAGACATACGGCTCCTATTCATGTTTCCATGGACATTATCAAAACATGCATAAGCTGTATTATACGACATCAAAATATCAGCAAACATGGTAATTTCCAGATTGTGGAAACGATCTTCTGCACCTGACATTGTAGCAATGTAAAACAAGATCAACATGAATTGATCAGATGAAAAAATGAGAATGCAGCAATTGGTATTCAGGTTCTCTTTTGACAAACCCCGAATACTGTGGTAAACTCACAATTTTAGCGACGTGAAAATCCAACCACCTCATCCCCCTTAATATTAAAAAATAATAATAATTTTTTTTTAAAAAAGAGAGAAAATGTTGCAACACTCCCAAGAATGGAATAACACCTTGATACACGTATTTCCAAACAGCAACTAAGAATAAAGTCTTATCTCCCAATGGAACACTATTTAATCACCAATTAATGACCTCAACCGTTTCTTCCCTCCGTCATCTATCCCTCCTTATCCAGAACATTTAGGTTGATTATTTGTTTGTATTATTATATTGTCAAAATGCATGTTGATGGGTTACAACATTGATATCACCAAGAATTTATAACTAACAGTCTATTATAATATAAGTCCATGTAGGACCTGTTTTTCTACACGTGTGCTCTTTACCACTTTTAATATATTTTTATATGCCAATAAATAAAATATCTCTGGATTGTTCATAGGATAATAGAAATGGATAATATAGTGAAATTCCGTTTGTGTACCTAACGGAATTTCACTATATTATCTATTTCTATTATCCTGAGAAAACTCTGGAGATTGAAAATCTACCCGACTGAAGAAGACATGGGTCGCCCATAACGGAACCCGCAAGTTTTCCACACCAGAGCTAGGTTTCCATAGCTCGGGAATATGTGAGTGTTCCATTAATACTATTAAAGTCACATAATTATTTGTGGTCTCACACTATATATATTTTACTTTTGTTAAAGGTGTAAAGAAAGTAATTGTTCAAGTTGGAACACTTGAAGTGAAGTTAAGTGACATTGTATTTTTCACAGGTTTTTTCCTTTATAAATTAACTTGAGGAATAGATAAACGCTCCACTGTTTTTGGTTTAGTTACAGGGTTGTGTGTTTTGTGAGAGTTTCACATTCAGTGTTGTAGCTGCTACATTGGTAAAATATAATTAAGTGTATATACATATTAAGTAAGGAGTTAGAACGTACAATAACCCATACATTTAAACAATATATTGGATAGAGTTTTAACTGTTGAACCGCAGCATGTACAGGTCCACATCTCACGAGTGCTTTGTACGATGGAGGTGCCGGCACATGTACCCCATATGAGTCTGGCAACTTGTAAGACCAGACGGTCTATATCTATCTCTCGGTATGCGAACTGCGTACCATTTTCTTTTTCTTTCCTCCTTTCCTTCTTCTTCCTTCAGGGACCGGGACACGCGGGTAGGTTGGGGGTTAGAGGGCGAAGATCAATCTTGGACTGGTTGAGGGTTGGCTACCGGGTAGGAACCTCCTGAGAGCAGAGGTGGGCGTATACATCAGCATAACGAATCTACCAGGGCCATGGCTATAAACATTTCCTCCCTGAATGTGAAGGGTCTCAATACCCCTAACAAGCGACGTCTTCTGTTCCGCAAACTGAAGAGGTTGAAGTCTAATAACGCCTTTTTGCAAGAGACACATATCCCTAAACAGGCCAACTTTAGATTGAGAGACCATACCTATAATGTGACTTACGAGGCTAGATCACACAGCGAACGCAACAGCCTTGTGATCCTGGTCCGCAATAGCTGCCCTTTACAAATCACGTCCTCCGAAATAGATTCGGAAGGGCGCTATATTATACTCACTGGCACTTTATTCTCCCATACGATACATCTGATTAATATATAGGCACCGAATCAGCCAGACCCCGAATTAAACAACGCCAACTGACATAGCCTCGGTTTTCACTGACTTCTACAAGGCACTATTTAATCACTCCCCAGTGGCTCAGCAACTGAGGGGGCGGGACAAAGGCCAAACGCGTAGTTTTTTGAATAACCTGGAGCTTCCCCAGTTACCCCGATAGAAAAGCTGGACTCTAAAATTACGTGTGAGAAAATAGATATAGCTATATCGGAATTAAAGGAAATAAAGGCACAGGACCGGATGGATTCGACGGGGGCTACTATACTTCTTTCCGAGAAGAGCTCACACCTCTGAGAAGAGTTTTTTTTTTTTTTCATTAATAGTTTTTATTGGATTTTTTTTTTTGTTTCATAAACATAATCAGATATACATCCATTTCAATTGACACAGTTGACAATACGGATCGTTACATCAATACACATTAATACATCATTACTATGCACCTAACCTGCAATGGGTATTAACGAGTTCAGCTTCGTTATTTTGCAAAAGGACTTTCCACAATGTTAACTCCTTAAGGACCAAACTTCTGGAATAAAAGGGAATCATGACATGTCACACAAGTCATGTGTCCTTAAGGGGTTAAGCGTGAAAGCACATTTCTTGTGCTGTTCCAGCCTCGATCTATGTTAGTCTAGCATTGTAACTTGTGCACATAAGAAAAGATGTACAAAGAAACATATATGCCAATTATACAGATTAGGTAACTCATATTAAAGGATTACTATAGGGTCAGGAACACAAACATGTATTCCTGACCCTATAGTGTTAAAACCACCATCTAGCCCCCCTGGGCCCCTCATGCCTGCATAAATATAGCAAAATCTTACTGTATTCAAGCCTGAAGCTGTAAATCTGCATGCTGTTTGCCTCAGAAAAACAAGCTGTCTGCTGACATCATCAAAAGTGGTGGCCTGATCCAATCACAATGCTTCCCTATAGGATTGGCTAAGACTGACAAAGAGGCAGATCAGGGGCAGAGCCAGCATGATTCAAACACAGCCCTGACCAATCAGCATCTCCTCATAGAGATGAATTGAATTAATTAATCTCTATGAGGAAAGTTCAGTGTCTGCATGCAGAGGGAGGAGATACTGAATGTTTGGATGCATTTTAGGCAGCCATGACCCAGGAAGGATATCTAACAGCCATCTAAGGAGTGGCCAGTGAAGTTATCACTAGGCTGTAATGTAAACACTGCATTTTCTCTGAAAAGACAGTTTTTACAGCAAAAAGCCTGAAGGTAATGATTCTACTCACCAGAACAAATTCAATAAGCTGTAGTTGTTCTCGTGAGTATAGTGTCCCTTTAACTATAAAAGAACATATGAACAAAAAATGTCATGTACCTCACTAAAGGTAATCTATCTAGTGTACTCATGCACTGGTGTAGAAGCTTGGTCAGGGTCCATTAGTATATGCTCATCATCTGTGGTTGAGTATCTCCATGGGTATCTGTACTATGTGAGTTTTTTATGTCGTGTACTTATAGGTTGGAGCCGACCACTGTAGTATGGAGCTGGTTAACCTTATGCCAATTGGCCCATATGCAATTAAAGCTTTCAGTTGTGCCCTGTAGTCTACGCCGGTACATTTCTTCATGGAGTCTGTTGGAGGTCAACCTCTCCATCACCATCACAATCCTTTGGATTTCCAATTCTTTGCTACGCCGCTTTTAGCAGCAATAAGCACCTGAATAATGCTTGCCCTCTTAAGTTTAGTTAAGTCATCAGGCAGTATGTGTAAAAGGTATGTTTCATTTTCCAATGGCAATGATATTCCGACCAGGTCGTGTATTAAGGCCTTTATTGCCTCCCAGAAGTTTTTAAGTTTATTACAGTGCCAAAACACGTGCCCCATGGTTCCTACCTGCCTCTCACATCTCCAACACTGAGAAGATATATTAGCAAACATGTGAGCGAACCTGTGCACGGTCAACTCCCATTTAATCCAAACTTTATAGGATGCTTCTAGGTGGTTGACGCAGTGCGTTGCCTGTTTTGTGTGTTTCAAGGCCTTTTGCCATTGAATGTTTGTTAATTGTGTGTTTAACTCATTATCCCAGTTGACCATATAGGAGAACTTTACTGGCTTTACGGTGTTCTGAAGTGCCCTGTAGCATATCACCAGAGGCTTTAAGCCTTTATCTGTACCTTTGCACAGTTTATTAAAGTCCCCTTTTATCAATGGCTTTGAGGGAGCATTTGTGATTTTGGACAGAATATGTTTGATCCTTAAGTATGTGAATATTTCTCTTGGTGATAATTTGTATTTATTTTGTATATCTGGGAAACGCAGCAACCTCGATTCGTGGTATAACTCTGCCACTTTCTCTATCCCCGCCTGATCCCAGGCAGTAAGTGAGATGTCAGGTGTGAACTATTGTAAGCTTTGTATCGGGGCATATAAAGTGAGGGGGTCTGGTTCCAGGTGTTTTTCTGCCCATTCATGCCATATACCACAAGTGCATTTGGTCGTTTGGAAAGGTTTTATGTTAGGGGGTGGAGATGTGTCGGGACCCACATTAAAGTCAGAAAGCTTGTTCAGAGACATTAAGTAATGCCCCCGGTTGGGCTAGGGACATTGCTATATAGTATCTGTGTACGTCTGGGACTCCCAATCCGCCCTCGTGTGTGATATAATAAAGGTTTGAGACTAGTGATGTCTCGAACTGTTCGCGAACGGTTCGCCACGAACTCCGGTCAGCAGACACATTCCAGCCAATAAGCAGAAGACCCTCGGCGAACAGTTCGGGACATCACTATTTGAGACAGCTATTCGGGGTGGCTTGCACTTCCATATATGTGCATTAATTAGTTTCTGGAATCTGCTTAGGATTGATTTCAAGAGATCTAAGGGTAGAGTTCAGAATAGGAACAGGATTTGTGGCAGCACCATCATTTTAATGGGATTGACTCGACTGAGCCAGGAGACCGACTTTCCCTCCCAAGCATGTAGTGTTTGCTGTAGTTTGGCTAACATTTTCAAATGATTCTCCTTGATCATAGTGTGCCTATTAGTTGCCAATTGGATTCCTAGGTATGTTAAGGTTCTATCTATCCAGTCAAACTGGAATTGGGACGAAATTAGATTTTTGTCTTCCTTCGTCATACTGATAGCTAACGCTTGTGTCTTTGAGCGATTCGTTTTGTAGCAGGATACTGCCCCGTATGTCTGTAGGAGGTCCATCAGAGTCGGCAATGAGGCTTGTGGTTTAGTGAGGATGAGTAGTATATCGTCTGGGAACAATGCTAGTTTCTGTTCTCCTATGTGAGTATGTACCCCTTTGATACCGTCATGTAATTTACTATGTTTTACTAGGGGTTTTAGGGCCAGGATAAAAATGAGCGGCGATAATGGGCATCCCTGACCAGTGCCATTGGTCAGGCGGCAAGGAACCCTGTATTTAGTACTTTGGCCGTAAGGATTGGTGTATAATGCTAACATGGCTTTTACGAATTTGGGTGGAAAGCCGAATTTGTGGAGAACTTCCGTCATATACCCCAATGTAGACGGTCAAAGGCCTTTTCGGCGTCCAGCGCTACCAAAAACCCCGCTTCTCCCCGCCTATTGAGTAGCTCCATGAGATCCATAAAGCATCTGGTATTGTCTCCTGCTTGGCTGCCGGGCACGAACTCCGCTTGCTCCCTTGCTACCAGTGAGGGCAACAATTGTTTTATGCGAGTGGCCAGAAGTTTGGCAAAAAATGTTGTGTCCGCGTTCAGTAACGAAATCGGACAGAAGTTTTCACATTTAGTGGGTGGTTTGCCTGGCTTTGGTAGCGTGATGATATGTGCCTTCAGCATTTTGGGCGGCATTTTGCCCGATGCCATGCAAAGGTCAGGTAATATATGTTAGAGAGGTCATTTGGGCCCGAGGCCTTATGTTTGGGCAATGAGTTGATAGTCTCATGAATCTCCTCAGGGGTGAAGGGCGCGTCTAATGCTGTCACATTATCAACAGTCAAGCTTGGAAGGTCAATGTGTTGTAGGAATTTTGTTATATTTACATCTGTGGGCTGTAATACGTCCTTGTTATCTTTCAGGTTGTACAGAGTTTCATTAAAGTTCGCAAATTCATTGAGAATATGCATTGGGTTGGAAACTTTAGTGCCTTCTTTGTTATAAATGGACGCTATTTTTGGTTTGTGCGTATTTGGCTTTAAGTTGGGAGGCAAGTAGCTTGCCTACCCTATTACCCTGGGAATAATATGTGTGCTTTAATTTATGCATATGTCTCTTGGTGATATGCAATTGCTTTATGTCACTAGTGTGAGTTTGTGTCCTAATTTCTATGTTGGGTTTTGTTTATGTAACCTTTCCAATTCCTCTATTTGTTGTTTAAGGGGGTCCGTCTCCTGCTCACATGCCCTCTTTGCCCGGGCACCCGACTGTATGTACAGACCTCTCATGACATCCTTATGGCCAAGCCATCTTGTACTTGATGTGATTTGGGATTGTGAATTTTCCTCAAAATAGCTTCCCAATTCTGTCCTAAATTTGTGTAAGGATTGGATTGAACAGAGCCAATCCTTCATTCAGTCGCCACATATCTTTGCCCCTAGCCGCATATAATGAGCGGAACGTAACCTCTACCGGTGCGTGGACAGACCACGTTATTTTATCTATTTTGCTTGTCTGCAGGTTGTGTAAATTTGTTCTGTGCCAATACATACAGTAAAAAACAAAGAAAATAAGTTACCTGCGCACTTCCCAAATCCCTATGCATATTTAAACAAATGGAGGTTATTTAGTAACTCCAATGGCAATGAGAGGCAATGCCCACCTGCCACGTCAAGGCAGACCTCTTAGGTGGGTCCTACACTGACTATTCACATAGCTTTCTTAAGCTTCAGGCACAGATATCTCTAATGAGACAGAAAGGGGTATTTTTCGAAACCCTTTTCATTTCTTCTTTACATGAAAAAAACAAAAACGTGCACACATATAGGATTATTCACTAAACCTCCTATTGAGGAGAATTGATAGGGAGTTGCAAATGTCAATTAAAAAATTCTCCAACTCGGTTATATCACCAGCTCAACTACTTTGGTCTAAAATTCTAAATTCGCTGGTCTGACTATTTATAATCATTCATGATTAAAGGGACACTATAGTCACCAGAACAACTACAGCTTATTGAATTTGTTCTGGTGAGTAGAATAATTTCCTTCAGGCTTTTTGCTGTAAACACTGTCTTTTCAGAGAAAATGCAGTGTTTACATTACAGCCTAGTGATAACTTCACTGGCCACTCCTCAGATAGCTGTTAGAGATCCTTCCTGGGTCATGGCTGCCTAAAATGCATCCAAACATTCAGTGTCTCCTCCCTCTGCATGCAGACACTGAACTTTCCTCATAGAGATCCATTGATCCAATTCATCTCTATGAGGAGATGCTGATTATCCAGGGCTGTGTTTGAATCATGCTGGCTCTGCCCCTGATCTGCCTCTTTGTCAGTCTTAGCCAATCCTATGGGGAAGCATTGTGATTGGATCAGGCCACCACTTCTGATTATGTCAGCAGACAGGTTTTGACTATTGACTATTCTGAGGCAAACAGCATGCAGAGCTACAGCCTCAGGCTTGAATAAAAATAAGATTTTGCTATTTTTAGGGAGGCATGACCGGCCCCAAGGGGCTAGATGGTGGTTTTAACACTATAGGGTCAGGAATACATGTTTGTGTTCCTGACCCTATAGTGATCCTTTAAGGCCCAGTGGCCAAAAAGGCAGTGTTTACATTGCTTCCTACAGCTACCTCTAGTAATTGTCACTCAGAAAGCCAGTAGAGGCACTTTCTGGATGCAGTCCTGCAAGACTCTACTCTCTGCGGACTGAAGTCTTTGAGGTTAAACCATTCGATAATGGTCTCACCCCTAAAGGTAAGCCACCACTCGGGACCTATTTGCACCATAACAATTTTATTCCGATGATGTTGTTATGGTGTCCTGCATTGTCCTTTTAAGGAACTATAGTGTCAAAAATACAAACCTGTATCCCTGACAAAGTAGTGCTGAAATACTGAATTAGTCTCCTACACTCCCCCTCACCCCACCCCCCCCAATCCCAGAGATTACAGGTGATTTTACTCACCTTTTCTCCCACGCTGCTCCAATCTCACTGCGGCTGGCCCTGCCTGGCTCAACCTTTATGGCCGAGATCATCAATTTTGCTGATCTCAGCCATTCCAGTACTTTCCCATAGGACAGCTGTGCCAATCAGCATCTCCTTATAGAGATGCTTTGAATCAATGCATCTCAATGGGGAACATTCAGTGCCTTCATGCAGAGTGTGGAGACGCTCAACGCCAGTGCTGCACACTGTGCAGCATTGACACAGGAAGTATTGTCATTGTTACATTGCCTTTTCTCTGAAGGGTCTAAGGTTCTCTTGAAGGTTCTAAATGTTAAGGCTCCAGGCACATGTTAGACACCAGAACCACTACATTAAGCTGTCCCTTTAATGTGTTTCATGGAGTTTTACAAATATTGCCTCCCAACCTTTTAAAACAAACTTCTACTCCTCTTTTAACTAACATCTATTATTGCAACAATATATTTATTGTTAATGTGTTTATTTTGGATCATGGCGTACCACCCTATGAATATAGAAAACAAAGATTTTACTCATTTTTTTTTACCAGCGTTGAGCTGTCTCCCACGGGCAACCACTGCTCCGTCCATCTCGATGATCTCTGGTCCAATCTAATGCTTCTTGGACAGAAGCACTGGAGACTTTCTGGGCATGAGTGGCAATCACTGCTGTCAGCCATTGTGTGCGTCTCACAGAGAAGCACTGAAGCCAATGCTTGTCTCTAACAAGCACTCACTGCATTTGTTGGGATTATGCTATGCATGATGTCACCGTATGTGAAGACTTCCAGTAACTGAAAGTCTTTAGAGAGGAAGTTCTGGCTTGTTGTTGGCAAAATGTAAACATTGCTCTTTCTCACAAACAGCAATGTTTCACATTACAACACAAAAGAGAAATGATCTATTCAACAACATCACTTTATTAAAATGAAGTAGTTTTGGTACTCAGAGTGTCCTTATATTATAACTATTCTTTAATTCACTTAATTTTGTCTTTATTAATCAGATATTTTATAAAGTCATATTGAATAACACATTCTCTCTCGCTCTCATCTCTGTGACACTGTTTCTGGTCCATTAGCCGTAATGTGCTCAGTCTTTGCCTATAACCTACAAGCAGCCATATTATATTACTGGGGCAAATGCTTTTGTTCCAAACAAAAGGCCATAACAATCATTCATGCTGGACAAATAGCTGACTTGGAGAATGTTCCCAAATGGGCTATTTTGGCCTACATTTGCAATTCTCTTGTCGATTCTCAACAATTCTTGATGAAGTAAATAGACCCCCACAGTATGTTATAAGCAGATAGAAAATAGGCCACTAAATGACCCGATATTGACCAGGTTGGGATAATGAGTTCTGGGCTGCTCCTTCCTTTACACACATGAATTTCCTATGAATAGTAAGTATTCACCGGGGATGCATGTAGACAATGAATAATGTGCTGACTTGGAAAAATCCCAGGGGTCCATCACTACTTGCCCCCAGACCTGTAAGGAGTAGATTTCCTCTCTCCGTAGATGTATTTATTTAACACATCAACATATGACTGCAGTCATTCCCATTTCGATTATCTTTCATGCAGATGTATTCTATCGGAAGACTTTTAAAGTAAAAAGTGGAACTGCATGATGCCTGGCCTGCATTAGCAATTATAATCCGCCCATGGATACAGGTAAATCATTTATTTTAAACTCTTTCTTGGGTTCAACATCAGCCTCTGGATACAGTTTCTATTTATAATCAATAGTGTCAAAAGCATACATCTGGCTTTAACCCCCTAAGGACACATGACGTGTGACATGTCATGATTCCCTTTTATTCCAGAAGTTTGGCCCTTAAGGGGTTAAAAAATGTATAACCCTTCCCTGGGTATTGTATCCCTCTCTGGGCACAACATTACTGTACATTCGATCCTGTGTACAACATTAACCCCAGAGTACTGCATTTATTTATAACCAATCCCAGAGTGCAGTATTTATACATGACTGGCTTCACTGGGTACATCATGGCTGCTGGGTATATCATTTATTCATAACCTTTACAATACAGTATATATACTGTGTATAAAGATATATATTTATTTATTATACAGCATCATATTTTAACTCTTTCTTAGGTACCGCAGTGTTCACCAGGTATAGCATTAATATTCCCTTGGTAAATCACAGGTCCCGGGTGCAACATTACACCTGAGTATTGCATCGATTTACAGACATCAAGCCACATGTCAATCGCCGCCTTCTAACACACAGATATCAGGAGGCCCAGACCACATATCCCCTGAAAACACCTCCTCTGAAACACAGGTATGAGGATACCTCTAACCTCATCTGCCTCATAATACATACAGATCAAAACATGTACTTCTCATTCCCTCCTAATGGCGTGGTATATATCTCTCAGCTCCCCTCAAGGCAAATAAAGCAGTACTTCCCACTTCCATTAACCCCTTAAGGACACATGACATGTGTGACATGTCATGATTCCCTTTTATTCCAAAAGTTTGGTCCTTAAGGGGTTAAATACACAGACAACAGGACATGTACCTCTCACTTCTTCTACCAAATACACTGACATTAGATCATGTACCTCTAACTTTCACCCAAATACACAGACAGCAGGACATGTACCTCTCACTTTCATCAAATGCACAGACATCAGGATGTGTACCTCTCACATCACTCAAATACATAGACATCAGGACATGTACCTCTCACTTCACCAAATACACTGACATTAGATCACGTGCCTCTTACTTCACCCAAATATAGACATCAGGACATGTACCTCTCACTTCACCCAAATACACAGACTTTAGATCATGTACCTCTCACTTCTACCAAATACACAGACATCAGGACATGTACCTCTCACTTTCTCTGAATGCACAGGCAAACGGGACATGTACCTCTCACTTTCTCTGAATGCACAGACATCGGGACATGTACCTCTCACTTTCTTTTAATGCACAGACATCGGGACACGTACCTCTCACTTTCTCTGAATGCACAGACATCAGGACATGTACTTCTCTCACTTCACCCAAATACAGACATAAGTATGCATATATCATGTGAAGCTCTAGTACACAAGTAGTAGGACACAAACTTCTAACCCCCTCTGCCTCCAATTAGCACAGACATCAGGACGCATTATCCCAGTAAAAATACATGAAGACGTATGCCTCTCACCCTTACCTAATACACTATACCAAAGAACATTTTCCCAACAAGAATACATCAGGACACTTCTCAGCTTCATTATAGACAGACAGAAGTACATATACCTCTGTCCACCTGCTAATACACAGGCATCAAGACATATACTTCTCACCTCCTCTACCATCTTATATACAGACATCAGGACACATACCTCTGCCCCCTTCCTAATATGCAGACATTAAGACATGTGACTATTTACTCATATACGGTTATTAGGACATGTGTCACTCGCCTCCTCCTAATACGCAGTAATTAAAACATGTGTCACTTGCCTCCTCATAATACAGACGTCAGGACATGGTCCTCTCACTTCTTGTAAAAGACATAATAACATGCACTTCTGTTCTCTAATACACAGTCATCATGCCATGCATCTCTGTCCCACCCTAATACACAATCCCCATGACATGTACCTCTCATACAAAATCATTAAAACATGTACATCCCCCTAATACACACACAGTCATTGTGACATGTACCTCTCACCAACTCCTACATATACCCAACTCAACAGTACACTAGCCTTCACTACCCTGTCTCAGAGACTTTTCCCCTCTCCAAGTCACGGGGCTCAACATGATCCCTTCAATTATTCTGAAATTGAGAAAGCCTTGTAGGAGTCTTCTCTCATAAATGAGGAAGCTTTTCCTGAACAACTTCTATACTAATTTAGTCTTAATCTTGCCCATCTGCTCCTTACTTGGAGCCTTACCCTCTCCTCTTTGAGGATCTCACTCAAATCTTACTATTTCCAAAATTAGAGAGCTTCTCCCATGAACTAACTTCAACCAAAGCTGAAGACCAAATTTCAGGCAAAACCTCTCCAATATGCATAAAAATAAATGTTCTCTTAAATAACTTAAATGCAATAAGCTCCCCATCTCCCAGTGAATATATTGCTTAGACAGCCACGGGGGAATACGCAAGCCTTCATAATGTCCTGGTAACAGACATGACGTCATGTGAAGATGCAGAAGCCACTGTCTTGGGGCCCAGCATTACATGGCAAATACTCAAAGGACAGTCTTCCATAATCCATTACTGGGACACACCTTTCATGTACTATTTATGTATACTAGGTTAGCTCAGACAGGGATTGTGGGAGAAAGGACCTGTGTGCACTAGTATTTGCAATAAGGGAGGTAGCAGATGAGTGGCAGCATGGGTGATCCTAAATAGAATGGCACATTTCCTGTAGGCAGACTCTCTTGGTAAAACCAATTGTCAGCCATCAATCAACACATACCAAATTAAGATCCTGCAATAACAGTAAATAGAATTAGGGACATAATATCTACATCATGGAAGGATCCAACTCTATGAAACTTCCAAAATAGAACACTGCCGATACCCAGATACCTCACAACACTTTCTCGGAATATTGTCATGAGATTATACAACAATTCTTCCATCACATTGTCCACCCACAGTACAGTTATCTCACAGCCCCAGCATACCCCATCACACTGTCCCACAAAAAAATGAATCCCCTCCAAACCTAAAATCCACATTGTATATGTCTCAGACTTCAGTCGACAACACCCAGATTCTGAACCCTTAACATCATAAGTGCATATACCATAGGGCTTATTATGAGCAACAACAAACCCCCTAACTGTAACATGATATGGAATATGCCAAAAACCACACCACCAGTACACAGTCTCTGAACCTCAAGATTTAAATCATATATTATTTAAACCTTCATATCAACAAAACCAATCATCCACTTCATATATCATCCAAAGCACACCACCACTCAGAGTCTGAAATCCTAATAAGCACATGATTTATCCCCCTAGCATCATATATCAACACCCAGTCTCAAAAGTCAAATATCCATACCTAATGCCCTAAACCTGAATATCAACATCCAAGCCATGAACCCATATCAACGATAATCCAAATCTCAATATCAACAGCACCTAGCCATTAAACCCTAATAATAGCCACATCAACTATAGCCCAGGCCCCAATAACAACAGCCCCTAGCCTTTGAACCTTAACAATATCCACATCAACTACAGCTCAAACCTCAAAATAAATAGCACCTAGTCTTGGAACCAAAACCTCAGTATTGATCGCACCTAGCCCCCGAAACCTAATAGCCACACCATCTATACCCCAAACTTTAATATCATCAACACCCCATATCTAAATCAAAAATTACTCTTAACCTTACAATGCACAAACAAAGTACCCTGAACCCCAATATAAAATTGAAAAAAAAAAAACCTTATATCTACTCCACAATTATATTGAACCCCAATATCCACATCACACTCTGATTAATCTCCAATATCCATATGACAATCCTTATTGATCCCCAACCAGCCATGTCAGAATCCTCCCCCGGTTTCTGATATTTCAGACACCCCCCAACATTCCAATAAAAAAACAACAGGAATTAAACCCCTATTATTCACATAACAAATAGCAGGAACCCCTGTATTATCTGCATCCAGATCCCCAACACTAAATTGTACATCAGTAATTTCCGGATCCCCCAAAAAAACAATACCCATATTTAAAGAGAACGTGTGCCCAATTATCCTTATCACACTATTCCCCTCCCATGACCTAAATTCCTAAGACAGAAAGCCTCTTACCGAAGCTGGGGGTGAGATTGGTGATCTCCGCCATCCTGGCTGTCTGTGTGGGTGCAGGGAGGGGCCCCTAGCTCATGTCCTGCCCGGTCCTGGCTGCTCTCCTGCCCCAAATGATGATGCTCTATTCCCGCAGATACAGGAGTAGCAGCTGGTCCTGATGCAAGTCGTGACCACGCCCATTACACGGAAACAGCCGAACGCCAGCCGACCCCGAGCCGAAGGGAGGATCGCTCGCCTCCATCTTGGTACACCCAGCCAACGCCTTAATGGGCCGAGCTGAAAACTAATAAATACGCATGGCACGACTGGTATCATGAGCAGAGTGGAACGGGATTACTCAGGACAATGCTTATATTTGCATCTAGTTTCTGATTCCCCACGTTATACAGTGATGGGCAGCGTCACAGAGATGGGTGTACCAAAATGGCGTTTTTTCAGCCATTGTGTGTTTATAAATCCAGGTCGTTTTTTAACAAAATTATTATTTTTTTAAATTCAAAATTTATAAGAAGGAGTGTTGTTACGATATCACAATGAATGGTTCAGATTTTGTAAGTATAAATAGGCAGAGTCCACAAGGTATCCACACAAATTCATAATGATTTAAAAAAAAATAATAATAACACTGGAGGAAGGTTCTGGGCACAAAAATTACTTTTTTTTTTTTTTTACCCTTGGAGAATGCAATATATAAAACTTATACAATTTGTTTCATAGAATAGATGAATGCATTTGCATATCAAAAATAATATGAATGGTGTCCCTTTGTATGTCTCTGCAGATATAAAGGGATGCCACCCTCTTGGTGCACCTTTCAATACTAACATGATTTGCAGGATTATTTATTAAAGGGACATATCATAATGAACTTTCATGGGGCCCTGAGTGTTCCCTTAAAGAGTAATTGGTCACTCATTACAGCAATTTACAGGATCATTCACTAAACTGATAATTCAGAGTGAATTTCAAATTTAAAAGGACACTATATTCACCCCCATGGCAGCCCATTTCCAGAAATTGTACCCCTCATATTAGCAAAATGGTTTGTTATTAATATAGTTACTTTTATTTTAAATGTATAAATTTTTCTATGCCCCATCTCGCTTTGGGGGTTGCAGATACACAGATATACACACTGACCCACATGCAGGTACACAGACATACACACACTGACACATGCAGATACAGAGACACACACTGAAACACATGATAATGCACAGATACGTAGCACACGACCGGGAACCTTATGGCACATGTCCATTGGGTGGTCCCTTAGTGCATGGATACCCCCAGCCTGTGGACCGACATTTTGTGTGCGTACTCCTGGGGGAACTGGTTCGTACTCCTAAGGTTCACGTACTAGAGATACGGCAGAACCCCTGATCTTGATGATTTTAGCTGATCCAATTCTGCCCCATAGGAAAGCATTGGGAGTCTATTGCCCATGTGTAGCAAAACGTAGCGCTACACCATGGGTGTCAAACTCAGGGCACGCGGCCCACAATGAATAACTTTGCGGCCCGGCAAAGATATTCATTGGTCCGGTCACCTGGAGGCGGGCAGCGAGGAAATAAAGCAGACGGAGGCGGTCCAGAGGCTGGCGGGTGGTCCATGACAGAATGGAGGCGGGTGGAGGCGCGCAGAGGTGCACAACGGCACGTCCTGATGTGACGTGTACAGGCTCCGCCTTCAAGGAGTTTCGGCTGTCACATGCTGCGGATGGCGCCAGTGGGGGTACAGACGCAGGACACTAGATACTCAAGGTTAGTAAAGTATATGTCTTAATGCTAATATTGTTTTTTTTTTTTTTTCTTTAACAGGGAATGGGGTCTTGTACAGGGGGGTTGAGGTCTTGTTCAGGGGGTTGGGGGTCTTGTGGGGCTGTGGTCTTGTACAGGGGCTGGGGTCTTGTACAGGGGGCTTGGGGTCTTGCACGGGGCTGGGGTTATGTATAGAAGGTTGGGGGTCTTGTAATGGGGCTGGGGGGTACAAGGGGTTGAGGTCATGTACGGGGGTTGGGGTCTTGTGCAGGGCGGAAGTTATGTACAGGGGGGCTGGGGTCTTGTGCAGGGGGGCGAAGGTAATGTACAGGGGGGCTGGGGTCTTGTTCACGGGGGTTGGGGTCTTGTACATAGAACAACAATGTCTTGTACAGGTCTTGTACATAGAACAACAGTGTTGTTCTATGAAAATGTAAGTTGTTTTCTTTTGTGTGGCCCACATAAACGTAAACTTTGTTTATGTTGCCCATGCTAGACTTTGAGTTTGACATGCTTGCACTACACCAATCAGTATCTCCTTAGAGAGATGCATAGAGTATTTCCTAATAGAGATTCACCCTCACAGTGTCACTTTAAAGAACATATAAATGCTAGTGAATGTATAGATGAAGAGTTATGCTAAATGTTTTTGGACTTTTGTGTTGCAGTAACCATACTATCACCATATCAGTAAAGATATCATCTGAGGGTCTTGTGAGCCAGCCCACCTCTAAATAATGAGATCTCACCCTCCAAATTCTAGCATGACTCTAGGAATCGATAAATGCACATCCAATCGTTTGGGGCTAGGGTTGCTGAGTGTGCAGTTGTTCATCCAGTCCAAGGCACCATGTGGTGTGTGGAGGAAGACTGAAAGTAAGTATATCTTTTAATCTATACACTTGCTGATTTAGCTTTCTTGCACCCTTTACCCTTCTATTAAATGGACAGTCTACGCACAGTAACTGCTACAGCTTATTACATAAAATGCTTAATTAACACTGACAAAAAAATAAAATTAAAAGACTTAGCGCTTTATCTTTTGTATACATTTTGGTTAGTCGTCCATGTATAATTGGGGTACTCTGGAGTTAGTGGTAGGCTCAAAGCGGTATATGCAACACAATACCCAATATTTTGAATCTGAAATAGATGTATTATTCCTTTTTATTGTTCTATTTTTACTGTATAATGATGTAATATTGTGATGGAATTCCAGTAAAATACAAGTTTAGCAGGCCAAGATTGCCACAAGGCATATGTAGGTACATGTGTTTGTAGTATCAGTTAGTTAGTTACACGTAGCTAAGATACTGTCATCACTGTACTGAACATGTGCAGGAATGCAGGAACTGGAATTACGCGTTCCTCTCCTTTGTTTCAGATGAGCCACGTGGTTAGATCGGATGGATGAGTTTAGACTCTATTCATTGATTAGGTTAAGGGTATGTGTGGGTGTAGCTAATTATGGGAGGAGCTACAGTGCTATATAAGGAATGTACTCTATGTATTCAGTACTCAGATCTTTGCTGTTTTTGGTGACATAAGTCCCTCTGAGTCCCGGTCGGTGAATCGAATAAAGATCTCTTCCTTCCTGAAGAAACCTGTGTCCATCTCTCTGTGCTTGGCCTCCGTCAGTTTCCCAGTAACATCTTTGGTGCATTGGCCGGGAAGCTCGTCGTTAACGGTGGCTAGGAAGCAGAGGCGTGAGACGGTCTATCTTTGCCCACGTTCTCTACGGCTGCACCCCTGAACTTCTGCGTGGACCTCCCTTCGTCTCGGCGCCACTGGTCTGTTGTCCAGGAGATCATCGGCCACTACGTAGTAAGTGCTGGGGTGTCCCCGTCGATGAGTGTGAACTCAGGTTCAGGAACGAGGAGGTAAGACGACTACTGTTTTAGACGGTGGACCCACTAGGGGTATTGGATACCGATTGTGCGGTAGGCCGATAAGGGGTTTGAATTGGAATTGTGTATGGAATTGGCCCCCTCCAGAGAGGGAAGGAGCGAAGGCGCACCGCTCATAATTAGACGCCCTGTAGTCAGCCCGTCTAATCTTGGTATGGAGTCAGGCTGGGCCTTGGTTGAATGTATATAGCCCAAGCCGGACACCGGTGTCTTGTCTAGACTAGCGTATCTAGGGTGTACATTTCGTTCGCTAGGTCGGAGGGACCGGGAGACTAAGCAGACTCTGGTGTACATTGTCGTTTGCTAGTTCTCAACCTATCTTGGCTAAGTGGGAAGGTGTGTAAATTTGGAACCCACTAGACTATTGATAGAGTAGATAGACTAAAAGGGTATTGTTGTAAATTCCGCCCTCTAGTTCGCTATATGTGGTGCTTGGGCAGCGACGGCTAACCAAAACGGATGTAAATAGTTTTAGGTAGTCCCTCGAGGTACTGTCCAATAGATTAGTTGGGAAACTGTAAATGTGTTAAAATTTATTATAGTAGAGTGTATATCTTGCTGGGTAGCGTGAGCTCTGCCGTCTAGCGAGAGTGTGAATAGTGTGTAACTGTATCATAGCGCACGGTACCATAACCATGTATTATAATCACTGATACTGTAAATAATCACTAATAACTGTCGTTTATGTTGTATGTTTAACACCATAACTACTATTAACTGACCTGTGACTTTAAAATTGTATTCTAACCAATGCTAACCGTACTATAACTACTGTTTGTAAAGACGATGTTACTAGGGTGTGTTATAGACGGGTAATTTAAATACTGAGAATTATAGCGTGGGTAATTGTATAATTTCGCCAAAAAAGGTACAGTAATAGTTATTTAGTGTGTGGTGTAACAGCTGTGTGTGTACGGGAATTCCCTGTATGATTTGTTGTGTGCGTTTGGCCTAGTAACTGTGCCACGTGGTGCTGTTGCCAAGGGAAACGGGTGTGACTGTTGGAAGTGTATTTTGTTTTGTTTCTATTGGAGACGACGCTCCATTGTTAAGTATGGGTGCGTTGGATTCAAAGATCGTTGATCCCTTAGATTGCATGTTAAAGAATTTTAAAAAGGGATATAATGTATGTGATTTTGGGGTAAAGATGTCTCCAACACGTTTGACTACTTTATGTAGCAGGGAATGGCCTGCCTTAGTGGTTGCATGGCCTCCACGTGGTAGTCTTGATCCTAATCTAGTGCAGCGTGTACACGTAGCTGTATCTAGTAGGCCGGAACTTTACGACCAGTTTCCATATATTGATTGTTGGAAACAGGTCGTGGATGACTTGCCAAAATGGATCAGGGTGTGCCAAGAGGAGCAATGCCGCCTCCTGTTGGCCAGAACTCGTTTGTCCACCAAGGCCGTGATCACGCCCATTCTGGACATGCCCCCTGAGTCAGAGATTCCTTTACCGCCCCCTTACTCCTCCTCTACAGGAAGAGGAAGAGGAGGTGCGGCTAGTAATGCCACTCCCCTTGCCCCATTGTCTCCTCCTACCCCATCCTCTAGCTCAGAGCCTAGCCCACTTGTTCTAAACCCTCCCCTTCCGGTACCTACCCCCACTAACTCCACCTATCCGGATTTGACGTCATTTCTGGTTCCTGGTCAGGCTCCTCCCAGCCCGGCCCGGAATATTCTGCTTACCAACCTCCCCTTCAGTAAAGAAAAAGCATCCCCCTCCCCTCGTCTTACTATCCCTCGACCGGAACCCATAACTGACCTTCCTCAACGAAGCCCCATACTAACCCGACAATTGACCAGTACCCTCCAACCTTGACATTATCAAATGCCTCTCCGATTGACACCGGGCCCGACACACATTAATGGTGAAGGCCAGTTACAACATGCCGACCCCGTATTTGTTTATGTTCCCTTTACCACTACGGATTTGTTCAACTGGAAAACCCATAACTCCTCTTACACAGACAAACCTCAAGCCATGACAGATTTGATTACCTCCATAATCCAAACGCACAATCCCATTTGGGCTGATTGCCAGCAATTGCTTATGATATTGTTTAATAACGAGGAAAGGACTCGGATTAATCAGGCAGCAATTAAAGCGCTTGAAGAAGTGGCCCGTGCACAGAATCAGGCCAACCCGGTAGCATGGGCCGCAGCTCATTACCCAAACGTAGATCCGAATTGGAATGTTAATGGTGCTGATATGGCTCACCTAAAAGCTTATAGGGAAGCCATTATTACTGGCATGAAAGCCGGAGGGAAAAAAGCGATCAATATGTCAAAGACGGCTGAGGTATTGCAGAAATGTGATGAGTCGCCCAGTGCCTTTTATGACCGATTATTGGAGGCATACCGATTGTATACCCCCTTTAGTCCAGAGGCTCCTGAGAATTCCCGGATGGTTAACTCTGCCTTTGTCAGCCAGGCTTACGGAGATATTAAAAGAAAATTGCAAAAGCTAGAAGGGTTTGTAGGGATGTCTATAACTCAACTAATGGAAATAGCAAATAAGGTTTATATGAATAGGGAGACAGAGACGAAGAAGGAAGAAGAGCGTAAGATGAGAAGGAAGGCAGATATGTTAGCGGTAGCTATCGCTGGTGTAGATAGAAGGGAAAAGGAAGTGTACAGGGGAACCGAGAAAAGCGAGAATAAGTGGAATAGGGAGCCTTTAAGTAGGAACCAATGCGCATATTGTAGGGAAGAAGGGCATTGGAGGAGTGAGTGTCCATTGAGGGAACAACATGAGAGAGACAGAACAAGGGGAGGATATAGTAATAACTATAGAGGTAGAGTGAGAGGAAGAGGAGGCCCTGGAGGAAATGGTGGGAATAGTAGAGGAAGCGTTCAAGGGGATAGGTATTACCCAGCAGCGCAGAGACCGCGAGAAAGAGAAGATAGGGACTTTGTGGGTTTGGCTGACACTGTCATGGAGGACTATTGATACCGACCGGGCTCCATCCCCCTTGGTCGAGTGGAGCCTATGGTCGATGTAGCAATAGGGGGAAAAAGGAGTTCTTTCATGATCGACACTGGTGCTGAACATTCTGTGGTAACCGACCTAGTTGCTCCTCCTTCAGGAAGAACTATCACTGTAATAGGAGCAACTGGGAGGAGTGCTGCTAAACCGGTTCTCAAAAGTCGACTCTGTACACTGGGAGGCCACGTAGTGAAACATCAGTTCCTTTACATGCCTGAATGTCCAGTCCAACTTCTAGGACGGGATTTGTTGTCGAAGTTACAAGCACAGATAACATTTCTGCCTAACGGAACGACATCCTTGAAGTTTAATGGACCCTCAGGTATAATGACACTATCAGTACCAAAGGAAGAAGAGTGGCGACTTTATACAGTGATGACAAGTCAAAACCCTAAGAGTGATGAATCCTTGTATAATATACCAGGAGTGTGGGCAGAAAATAACCCACCAGGACTTGCTCGCAATATCCCACCTATACGCATCGAACTAAAGCTTGGGGTTTATCCAGTAAGCCTGCGACAATACCATATACCTCAAAAGGCGAAGAAGAACATACAGTCTTATTTGGATAAGTTCATAAGGTATGGTATCCTAAAATTCTGTACTTCCCCCTGGAATACTCCATTGTTGCCTGTTCAGAAGCCTGGGTCAGATGAGTATCGTCCTGTGCAGGATTTGAGAGCAGTCAGTGATGCGGTAGTAAGTATACATCCAGTTGTGCCCAATCCTTATAACCTGCTTGCCTTGATTCCGGGTGGGGCTACTTACTTTACAGTCTTGGACCTTAAAGATGCCTTCTTTTGCCTACGAATTGCTACAGAAAGCCAGTGTATCTTTGCATTCCAATGGGAAGATGCTGTAACAGGCTCGAAACGTCAGATGACCTGGACAAGATTGCCCCAAGGGTTTAAAAATTCACCTACCCTATTTGGATCAGCATTAAGTCAGGACTTATTAGATTTCAAGTCCATCCCAGGAGAATGTGTACTACTACAATACGTGGATGATTTGTTGATAGCGGCAGTTACTAAAGAGATATGCCAGCCAGCAACTTATGATTTACTGCACATTCTTTGGAAGGCAGGATACAAGGTGTCCAGGAAGAAAGCTCAGTTGTGTCAGCCAACTGTCAAGTATCTGGGATGCCATATCTCTGAAGGTCAAAGGATAATGGGGCCTGAAAGAAAAGAGGCTGTATGCCAAATACCAACACCTAAGAATAGAAGACAAGTGCGAGAATTCTTAGGGGCAGCAGGCTTCTGTAGGATATGGATTCCCAGTTATGCGATACTGGCGAAACCCCTCTATGCCGCTATTAAAGGCACGGAACATGATTCCTTCCTGTGGACCATCGAACAGCAGAAGGCATTTGAGGATGTTAAGAAGGCATTGATGAGCGCCCCCGCATTAGGTCTACCTGATCATACACGTCCATTCTACTTATATGTACACGAGCAAAGAAGGATGGCTGTGGGAGTACTGACACAGTATCTGGGATCATGGCAACGACCTGTTGCGTATATGTCCAAACAACTGGATGTAGTAGCCAGTGGTCTTCCTCCTTGTCTAAGGGCCAAAGCTGCCGCCGCCCTGTTGGTAGCAGAAGCTGACAAGCTCACTCTGGGTCAGGAACTCTATGTGCGAGTTCAGCACGCAGTACAGACGTTGCTAGACTATAAAGGTAATCATTGGTTTAGCAATAGCTTAAACCAAAACAGAGAAGATTCGGGATATGGCTGTGTAAATCTACAGAGAAAGCATAAAACAAAACATAGTGTGATATTGTTATAAAACACAATATTTCATGCGCAGTAATCTTGTGCACTCACAGGATGTAGGCAGTAAAAGCGCTCTTAGGGTGCCTTCCCCAATGAAATGGGGGGCTAGCTGGTGTTCCTTATCACCTCTGGATCCTTGTTCCACCAAAAGACATCCACAGGTCAGGGTTCAGTAATAAAAAATTTATTTATATAAAAAGTGTAGTCACCAATTCAGCATAGGATACAAATAACAAAAGGTTGTCCTACGCGTTTCGTTCTATAAGAACTTCCTCAGGGACCACAATTAAAAACAATAATAACAATGTATCAATGTACAATACATGAACATATCCTATACAAATCCCCCCTCCCTGTGTCGTTAAATAGGGCTAATCCCTAAAGTCTATTGGTGGATCCAGTAGGTGTGTAAATCCTCCTTGGTTCTAATTGGAGGACTGGTCTTCCTGTGGCAGCTGTTTTTCATCCATTCATTTTCTATAATTTATAATTCGCGCCTTTTTCGGTAAATACCGGAAGTAGTCATAATTTGCCGAAACCGGAAGTGACGTCGCGGGAACGTCCGCGTTCCACATGCGTTCCACCAGCAACGTCTCCATGGCAACCGGATGCGATCAGGTAATTCAAAGGTCAAATGGAACACAGGACAAATAAAAGAGCCCCATTCTGCTTTAGAAAAAAACTGTTAACCATGTTTAACACATTTAGCCATTATTTATATATATATCTGTTGAGTATCACCCTCCTCATTAATCCCATCACACAACATAATGTTAATCCTCATATTATACCCAGTAATCATAATACCTCAATATATTATAAGCCTAAGGCTTCATATTACAAAGTGATCATATTTCCTATGTCTGTTATTTAAGAGTTTTCTTTTTTTTTTTTTATAAAACTTTATACATTGTTAATCAAAGTGAACACCGTAATCAATTCATCACTGTATCAGTTTAAACTTCAATTTGTCGTGTTATTATTTGTGCTCCCCATAAAAATCTTTGAGATAAGCCTATTAAACACATTAAGGTAATCCATTGCTATGGTTACAAAAAAAGGGGATACTACAAAATGACTACTTCCCATATAAACTTTATTTAGTGAATCTACCACATTCAATTTATACCAGCTCTAAAAATCCTTAGAGCAAACCCATTATTTATATTAGAATAATCGGTTATTGTGTTTTTATTATAGTCTTTTGTGATTTTTGGTCATATAGGACAATAGATCACAAATTGTACAAAAAGAAATAAAATAAAATATAAGGGGTATGAAATAACTACTTGGTATTTGATATATATATAAATCCTCTTTTTTTTAGAGCTGGTATAAATTGAATGTGGTAGATTCACTAAATAAAGTTTATATGGGAAGTAGTCATTTTGTAGTATCCCCTTTTTTTGTAACCATAGCAATGGATTACCTTAATGTGTTTAATAGGCTTATCTCAAAGATTTTTATGGGGAGCACAAATAATAACACGACAAATTGAAGTTTAAACTGATACAGTGATGAATTGATTACGGTGTTCACTTTGATTAACAATGTATAAAGTTTTATAAAAAAAAAAAAAAAAAGAAAACTCTTAAATAACAGACATAGGAAATATGATCACTTTGTAATATGAAGCCTTAGGCTTATAATATATTGAGGTATTATGATTACTGGGTATAATATGAGGATTAACATTATGTTGTGTGATGGGATTAATGAGGAGGGTGATACTCAACAGATATATATATATAAATAATGGCTAAATGTGTTAAACATGGTTAACAGTTTTTTTCTCAAGCAGAATGGGGCTCTTTTATTTGTCCTGTGTTCCATTTGACCTTGAATTACCTGATCGCATCCGGTTGCCATGGAGACGTTGCTGGTGGAACGCATGTGGAACGCGGACGTTCCCGCGACGTCACTTCCGGTTTCGGCAAATTATGACTACTTCCGGTATTTACCGAAAAAGGCGCGAATTATAAATTATAGAAAATGAATGGATGAAAAACAGCTGCCACAGGAAGACCAGTCCTCCAATTAGAACCAAGGAGGATTTACACACCTACTGGATCCACCAATAGACTTTAGGGATTAGCCCTATTTAAGGACACAGGGAGGGGGGATTTGTATAGGATATGTTCATGTATTGTACATTGATACATTGTTATTATTGTTTTTAATTGTGGTCCCTGAGGAAGTTCTTATAGAACGAAACGCGTAGGACAACCTTTTGTTATTTGTATCCTATGCTGAATTGGTGACTACACTTTTTATCTAAATAAATTTTTTATTACTGAACCCTGACCTGTGGATGTCTTTTGGTGGAACAAGGATCCAGAGGTGATAAGGAACACCAGCTAGCCCCCCATTTCATTGGGGAAGGCACCCTAAGAGCGCTTTTACTGCCTACATCCTGTGAGTGCACAAGATTACTGCGCATGAAATATTGTGTTTTATAACAATATCACACTATGTTTTGTTTTATGCTTTCTCTGTAGATTTACACAGCCATATCCCGAATCTTCTCTGTTTTGGTTTATACTATATATGATATAGGTCGCTTGTTTGGGTAACGACCTAGGGAGGCTGTCATACATCTTTATAAGCTAAGTACTATCGCTTTTTATATTATTTATCGATTGTATATTGTTTGGGATATACTCATAAGCTATTGTTTAGCAATAGCTGCATGACTAAGTATCAAGCCATGTTATGCGAGAACCCGAGAGTGCATCTTGAGACTGTAAATACCTTGAACCCAGCTACCCTCTTGCTGCAACCTACTGAGAGTCGACATGATTGCCTGGAGGTAATTGATGAAGTGTTCTCAAGTAGACCGGACCTTCATGATTTTCCCATCCAGAACCCCGATGTTCAGTATTACACGGACGGCAGTAGTTACGTGAAAGAAGGGATTCGCTATGCCGGATATGCAGTGACAACTATAGACAAGGTGATAGAAGCGCGGCCATTGTCAAAAGGAACGTCAGCACAGAAGGCAGAATTAATCGCACTTACACGGGCTTTGCAATTGGCTGAAGGGTTGAAAGTAAATATCTACACAGACTCAAAGTATGCGTTTTTAACCACTCATGCCCATGGAGCTTTGTATAAAGAAAGAGGATTACTGTCCTCAGAAGGAAAAGAAATCAAGTACGCAGCTGAGATATTACAACTATTGGAAGCTGTATGGGAGCCGAAGGAAGTTGGTATCATACATTGTCGAGCACATCTGAAAGGTGATGGTGATGTGGTGAAAGGAAATCGGATGGCAGATAGTGCAGCTAAGCGTGCCGCTGAATCCGGACAAAAAGAATATGTGGAGTGTGTAGCAGCTCTTATACCGACCCCTCTGTCCCAGTGGACTCCAGTTTATACAGCTCAAGAAGTAGAGTGGTTAAAGACTGAAGCTGGGAAATATTTGGAGAATAATTGGTATCAGTTAGAAGATGGAAGAATAGTTATTCCAGCATCGCTAGCTGTAGAAATTGTCCAGAATTATCATAATGGGACACATTCTGGAAGAGATAGTATGGAAGAATCTCTTAGGAAGCATTTCTACATACCAAGATTGTCCAACTTGACTCAAGCCATTGTTCGAAGATGCGTGTCATGTGCCAAGAACAACGCAAGGCAAGGTCCAGTGAAACCACCGGGAGTCCAGTACATGGGAGGGCTTCCTATGTCCGATCTCCAAATAGACTACACGGTAATGCCCAAATCCGGCGGACATCGTTACCTACTAGTAGCTGTGTGTACCTACTCAGGATGGGTAGAGGCGTGTCCAACTCGTACAGAGAAAGCAGGAGAAGTTGTGCGATTTCTGTTGCGAGAAATAATACCCCGATATGGACTACCGTGTTCTATAGGATCAGATAATGGTCCAGCTTTTGTCCATCAGTGCCTACAACAACTGACTCATATGCTTGGTATTAAGTGGAAACTTCATACAGCATATAGGCCTCAGAGTTCTGGGAAAGTGGAAAGGATGAACAGAACCATTAAGACCCAGTTGGCAAAAATGTGTCAAGAAACCCAACTCAAGTGGAATGTTCTTTTGCCAATAGCTCTGTTGCGCATTCGTAGTACACCTACCAGAAAGTTAGGTCTATCACCCTTTGAAATTATGTATGGGCGTCCACCTCCCATACTTAGTAACTTAAGGGGGGACTTGAGTCAGTTGGGAGAAGGAATTACCTGGCGGCAGGTTGTAGAGTTGGGTAAAACTATGGAGGAGGTACAGAAATGGGTACAAGATAGGTTACCTGTAAATATTTATCCACCTGTCCATTCTTACCATCCAGGAGACCAAGTTTGGATAAAGGAGTGGAACAGTGTACCGTTGGGGCCAAAGTGGAGGGGTCTTTATGCTGTTCTTTTGTCTACTCCAACAGCTATAAAGGTGGCAGAGGTGACTCCGTGGATTCATCACTCCAGGGTTAAACCAGCAGCAGATTCTTGGCAAGCTACTCAAGATCCTGAGAATCCCTGCAAGATCCGGTTGAAGCGAGTGACCCAGTTAGATTAAAAGTGTTTTTTGCGAAGAGTATTGTTACAAGGGAACATCAACAAAGATCTACAAGTAGGTGTTTTGACGGCCACAATAAAGCCTGACCACCTACCAACGTTTAAGCCAGAGGAATCCTCTGTGAAGAACAGTGAGGATCAGAAGGACTCCATTCCCTGCAGCCCTCACACGCCTGGAAGCTGAGGTGCCGTCGCACGGTCGAAGAATTAGGAAGAAGATGTCAGGAGTAATGTGTTTGATGATGTATATATGTGTGTTTTTAATTATTCAGGAAGGTAGAGGTACCGACACACCAGGCTGCAAGGTTTGCATTAAGACTACGAAAACAGGCAGTTGTATTTCCCAGACCCTTATTTGGCATTCGCAATATGAGTGCACAGGACATGTATCAAAGTGTAGATACCTAGGTACAGATTATAGTGTATGCCATATAGGAGCAGGAGAACCTAGGTGTTTTAATCCTGAGTATCAGCCCCGTACAATTTGGTTGACTATTCGGAATGAGAACGCACAGGGGAACCTGATAAATAAGACTGTACTAGAAAGCGTACATTCTCCAGGTGTTTTGCTATTTGATGCATGTAAGGCGATATCAGGTAGTAGGAAGCCATGGAATGTATGTGGTGGTCTTAAATGGGAAAGAACGTATGGGTCTAATGATAAGTATATTTGTCCTAGTAATAAGCATAAGTATATAGATCCAAACTGCCTAAATAAAGACTACAATTATTGTCCGTATTGGTCCTGTGTGGGATGGGCAACCTGGGGACAGACAGTAGATAAGGATATGATTATCACTAGATTGCCTAATAATCCCAATAGACAACATATATAGGAGTGACACTCCTATATATGTTGTCTATTGGGATTATCATCATTATTATTATTTCTTTGTTGGCTTCCTGCCTCGGGGTGGGCTATGGATACCTTATAACCTCATTGCGATAGAAGACTGCATACCAGCAAGCACTCAGTTGATAGTTAACATAGTTGGATTTTGATAACATATTCTATTCAAATAGTTACGATTACTTCAACTGGCTAGTGTTCACTTCTATTGCTTATTTATTTGTACTCTGCACAGGTCTTTTTGTAGCAACAGTAATTGGATACAATTATTAGAGGGATCGTTCTGACCCTTATCACTCTTGCTACTTAGAAGTACAACAATTCCTCTAGCCATAATTAAAGTCTGTTTTGACTTGATTTATTCCACCTTTTAGACCACAGGAGTTTATTATAAGGCTCTTTGAAGATCATGCATACGTTTTAGACATGGACAACCTCGGTTGATCACATTAAAGTCCTGAGTCTAAACACAATATTTATGTCCAAGAGTTTTGCAGACAGGAGAATAGCCATTAGGCTATGTTAATTCACTTTAGTTCCATGTATGAACACTCTATATATTTCTATGATCCATCTTTTCATTGTTTATATTTATTTATTTGACTCCTGATTTTCCAGTTGACATTCCTGTCTCTGGTCTCAGCAACCAGTCACAGGAAGGTTGTTGTTTAGATCGCAAAGTCTAGTCTGGTTTATGGCAACTTGAGGTGTAAGCAAACTATGATTGGTGATGCATCTGGAATTATTTTAAATCAGAAGCATCAAAGGGGGGAATGTGATGGAATTCAAGTAAAATACAAGTTTAGCAGGCCAAGCTTGCCACAAGGCATATGTAGGTACATGTGTTTGTAGTATCAGTTAGTTAGTTAGTTACACGTAGCTAAGATACTGTCATCACTGTACTGAGCATGTGCAGGAATGCAGGAACTGGAATTACGCGTCCCTCTCCTTTGTTTCAGATGAGCCACGTGGTTAGACCGGATGGATGAGTTTAGACTCTATTCATTGATTAGGTTAAGGGTATGTGTGGGCGTAGCTAATTATGGGAGGAGCTACAGTGCTATATAAGGAATGTACTCTATGTATTCAGTACTCAGATCTTTGCTGTTTTTGGTGACATAAGTCCCTCTGAGTCCCGGTCGGTGAATCGAATAAAGATCTCTTCCTTCCTGAAGAAACCTGTGTCCATCTCTCTGTGCTTGACCTCCGTCAGTTTCCCAGTAACAGCACCAGAAGCACTTTCCTGCTGGCTTCTCTCTCTTTCCAATTCACAGGACTTCTGAGTTGGGATGTATGCAACAGTCCTCCTGACCCCGGGTGACAGAGATGGTATGTTGGGTGATTGGTAGGACTCAAGTCACACAATCAAATCACATGACTTGTAGATCTGCCAACTATGGCTGGTCTGCTAACGGGAAATTATTTATATATTGATAGGCAGGCATAGCATCACGTACAGAGTCATCACATCTTATTGTTCATGTGCCCCATGATTACAGGCTAAAGAAGAGAGCAGCAATTCAGAGCATCCCATACACAGTGCTTGCGTTTGGACTTGAATTGCTATAGAATTGTAGCTTGAGCACAATTAAAGGAACACACCAGGCACCATAACAACTTAATATCAATGAACTTGTTATGGCGCGTGTAGGTTCTGGGTGTCATTTGTCCTTATGGTGATCAACTGTTTATGAACAATTTAACCCCAAAGTGATGTAGATGGTGCCCATCCGCTCTGTCGCTCTTCTTCCAGTGTAGTCAAGACATTAATGAGAAAGCCTCACACCGGGAGTCAGCGATATGATGAGAACGTCAGGCCAAGATTGTCGCTAACTTCTCACTGAGAAAGTAATGCACCTATCAGCCTATCACCGGCTCCCAGTCCAAGGCTTTCTCACTGACGTTTCGGACTTTACCGGAGAAGAGGGGCAGAACGGATGTTCTATATATAATTGGGGTTAAACCTTTTGTAAATAAGATAAGATGGCACTCAGGCCGTCCAAGCACTATAACAACTTCATTGAGAGGAGCTGGTATATTTTTCCGAGTGGTCTTTTAAAGAAGATTTCACGCGCCAAGGGTGTCGAAAATACTGAAAGCCAATCACATCATGTGACAAAATATCTGATTTTAAAGAAATCCTACAAGTGTGAGGATGTTCCTCCATGATGCCCTGTTCACACTGCATTCCTGAATCAAGAAATTAATATAAAGTTTATCTTCATCTGAGGTGTTAGAGCTTTATAAACGTTTAGTTCTGACAGATAGCTAAGGGCAGTGAGGCCACTGCGAAAAGGATTTGCCAGGTGCAAAGATGGCTGACGGGGCTTCATCCTACGTCACGCCACGTCACGTGGGCGGCGCTCCAGCTCAGCCCGCAGCTCTGTGGTCACAGCAGCTGGCGCGTCACGCGCGGGAAGGGGTTCCGGTGCGCGCGGAAGGTCACGTGTCGGTCTCGGTCTGGTGACGCGGCGACACCGAGAGCCGCCATCTTGCGTGACCGGCTAAAGGTGGGAGGAGCACCCCGAAACCCGGTGAGTGTGGTTTCCCAACATGCTCCACGCGGGGCCTGGCCCACAGAGTGCGCACTCTGTTTATATCTGTCTGCATCGCTTTCTTTATAGTGACTGACACCGTGCGGGGTATGGGGGGGGCTGTATGTATCGGTCAGTGACTGGGTATGGGGGGGGCTGTATGTATCGGTCAGTGATGTATCGGTCAGTGACTGGGCATGGGGGGAGCTGGGTCAACTGGTATGGGCTAATGATCGGTCGACTGGCAGCTGGCCTACGGTCAGTGACTGCGCTGGGTGTGAGTAGGGCTGTATTCGTCAGTATCATTCTTGGTAGCAGCACAGGTGCTGTATGTATGTCAGTCTGGGGGGGCCGTATGTACGGTCAGTGACTGGTATGGGGGGGGCTATGACCAGTCGGTCAGTGACTGGGCGTATGGGGTACTGTATGTAGAGGCATGGGGCATGTACATATATCCCATGGGGGGGGGGCTGAAGTCAGTGCTATGGGGGCGTATGTATGGTCAGAGACTGCAGTGGGGTATGGGGGGCTGTAAGTCAGTGACTGGTATGGGGGGGGGGCTGTATGTAGTCAGTGACTGGTATTGTATGTATCGGCCAGTGACTGGGGGTTGTATGTCATGACTATGGGGGGCTGAATGTCAGTGACGGCTGGGGGGGCTGTATGTATCAGTGACTGGGATGGGGGGCTGTATGTATCGGTCAGTGACTGGGTATGGGCTGGGCTTATCAGTGACTGGGTATGGGCTGTATGCATCAGTCATGGGGGCTGTGGGCAGGGCTGTATGGTGGCTGGGGGGCTGCATGTATCGTCAGTGACTGGTATGGGCTGTATTTGTCAGTGACTGGCTGTATCGGTCAGTGACTTATGGGAGGCTGTACTGTATGGCCAGTAACTGGGTAAGGGGGGCTGTGGCGTATCGGGTCATGACTGGGTACTGGGTATGGGGGCTGTATGTGTCCTTATATCACTGGGGGCTGTATGTAGGTCATGAGATGGGGCTGTATGTCAGTGACTGGCATGGGGGGCTGTATGTATCGGCTCAGACTGACTAGGGGGTGTATGTATCGGTCAAGTGACTGGGTAATGGGGTCAGTACTGGGTAAGGCATACTCAGTGACTGGCATGCGGGGGCTGTATACTGCTATCGCAGTCATTGACTGCAAGGGTGGCTGTCCAGTATCGGTCAGTGACTGCAGTAGGGGCTGTGCCGCAGTGCTGCAATGGGCTGTAGTGACTATCGGTCAGTCAGTGACTGGGTATGGGGCCATCCATCGGCGTGACAGCTGCATGCCGCCAGTGTACTGGCGGGTCAGTGACTGTATGTCGGTCCAGTGACTGGGTATGGGGGCTGTACTGTATGTCAGTCCACTGCGGGGCTGGGGCGTATCGGTTAGTGACTGCATGGGGGCTGTATGTATCGGACTGCATGTATGACTGCGCTGGTATCGGGTGCATGCTGTACCGGCCAGTGTGCACTGGTGGGCTGGTCAGTAGAAACTGTATGCATCGGCCAGGACTGGCATGGGTGGCGTAATGGGTCAGTGACTGGTATGGGGGCTGTATGTATCGGTCAGTGACTGGGGGGAGCTGCAGTGTATCGTCAGTGATCAGTATGGCTGTATGGTATGGGGCTAAGGGGGCTGTATGTACGTCAGTGATTGGTATGGGGGTTGTACTGTTGTCAGTGACTGGGCATGGGGGGCTGTGGTAGAGGCTGTATACCGGGTCAGTGACTGGGTATGGGGAGGCTTGCATCGTCGGTCAGCGTAACTGCTGCCGGACTGGCATCGGGTGGGGGCTGTATATGTATCGTATCGTCAGTGACTGGGTATGGGGCTGTATGGGTGATGCGCTGTATGCCTGTATGTCAGTGACTGGGTGATGGGGGGTCTGTGACTGTATCTGGTCAGTGACTGCGTATGGTGTGCATGGGGCTGTATGTATCGTCAGTATGTATCTGTGTATCAGTGACTGGGTATGGGGCTAGTGACTGGGTATGGGGGCGGGTCAGTGACTGGGTATGGGGCTGTATGTGTCGGTTAGTGACTGGGACTCGGTCAGTGACTGGGGGGCTGTATGCCGGTCATGTATGGTCCAGTACTGGGTATGGCTGGTATCGGTCAGTGACTGGGTATGGGGGGGGCTGTATGTATCGGTCAGTGACTGGGTATTGGGTTTACAGGTGAAGACCAAATATGTCTTCTCTGCTGCAATCATAGCTTGGCTTTTGCTGCCTGTATTTTGCTGTTTGAATTAACATTCACTAAAGCAGGGGAACGCAACCTTCGGCACTCCAGATGTTATGGACTACATCTCCCTAAATACTCTTAAAGACGTCCACAGCATCTGGAGTGCCAAAGGTTGCCTAACCCTTCATTGTGACTAAAATATATACCAATTTGCCCTAAGTTGTGGTAGAGTAGTATGTTTTTATTATGATGCAATGGGTGGAACTCAGAATACGGCCTGTGACACGTAATTGAAGGACATTGTAACTATCTTATGATCGGCAGATTGATGACTCTGTGAAAAGTTCCTGGATGTGTTGGGTATAGTCTTTCTGTACTGTACCTTGCGCGTTTTAGGTATGGGCTGCTAGAAAGATCTACGGTGACTGTGTAACATACAGGTGTGCCATTTGGTCTTGTTTAATATACTTGGATTGTGTTACACTGGTTTACGTTTTCAATGAACAGAGATTTATGCAGAATCAGTCAAGAACATTGCAAATTTTAGGAAAAAATAGCCTGGCTAGAAATGCATATTTCAGTAATTCTGGAAATGAAATTCTTAAAGGTTGTACTCTTGGTCTTGGTTCTGGACTTGACACAAATCATTAGCAACTTTACGAGATCCATTTGTGATTGTGAAATAAAGTTGTTGCCAAGTTACTACAGTTATTTAGCTACAAATGTGGCTGATTTAGAGAATTGTTTCCAGTTCAGCCATCTTGGCCGGTAGTCCTTCTACCATTTCTTTATAATTCCTGGATTAGAGAATAACCTTCTAAATCATTCTGCATATATTACTTGTATATAGTTCATGTGTTGTACAGGTTTATACAGGTATAAAGTGTATTGGTGCTAAACACCGTGCATGTGTTTTTACTAGTGTATATTGTGTTATTCTGTTGGGGTTCTACTTGGTCAGCATTCAGGATTACCAAAACAAGCTAAAATTTAATTGAAAATTTCATGGATTTGTGTATTCGATATTTAGCAAAGGCAAAGCTGGGACATCGATGGAGGAGCAATCTGGTATCCATTAACAATTAGCAGAGAATCCAACTTATCTCTGTACTAGATCTATATGAATTTGCTATGTCGAATTGTAATGAAATATTGGATCTATTTGTATTTTATTTTTTCTGTTTTTGGCAATAAAAATGAATATAGCTTAGCAGAGGATTGTGCCAATCCCATACCAAGTATAGGAATTGTGTGTGTGTGTGTGTGTGTGTGTGTGTGTATATATCTCTATCTCTTTCTTTCTCTCACACCAAAAAATTACCAAATTTGATCATATGTTTCAGTAGGAGACACATTATCTAAATAAGCTCACCTGTTTTTGCATACGAAACCATTGTTATCCACTATATTTATCTTCTGATCACGCAAGCAGTCAGCAAATATTAAAAGAAACAAACAACTAGTTGTTTTCCCAATATTAGATTGTATATGAGCAACTAGAAATGTGTGCAAGAATATTTTTCTAACATTTTTAAATGTAATGTATGAGTATTCGAATCAATAGAACTTGCAAATTACTTATGGAATATTATTTATAAAGCGTCAACAAATTCCATAGCGCTGTACAATAGGTGGTTGACAAACAAGGATGTACAACAAGACAAGATAGACGCAGAGGAACAGTGTGGGGAGCCCTGCTCAAACAAGTTTACATTCTAGTGGGAGTGGGGCAAAGTAAAACAAAAGGTAAGGGTAGGATGTATTTCATATATGGGAAAAGGTAGCTTACACTGAAGCGTTAGGTTTTTGGGGTTTTTGGATGATGCAGGAGAGGAAGCAAGTTGGGTTACCAAGGTGCGGGGAGGGAAAGCTATTAACAGTTTTATTGATATTGAGTTATTAATGATCCTTTGAAAGAATTGAATATGTGATACTTGTCAGTTCTACTCCCACCATGCATGAGCGACAAGGTAACTAGCATCTAATATGTTGAGTGATGAAATTTTAGGTAGTAAATAGATATTAACAAGCCCATTAGAAAATTGCTAGGGCGGAGATGGTGAAAAGATATGAAAGAGAAGCCACAGGCACAGATAGTACAACTATGCATCAGAAGTCATCCCTCTTTTGTCTGATGAATTGCACACAGCAAAGCCACTCATGCAATTGTGTTTATGCTAACACTTGTTTAGAGGCATGGGCTTGTCTCTTGTCATTTTTACTACGATACCCTTTTTAATTTGTTTATTTTGATTATAATTCTATCTCTCAACATTAATCTAATTTTCTCTTTCTTTTTAATGTACCCTTTCTTCTTTCTTTCATCTTTTTGATTCTTCCACTTTCATGGATTTCATCTTCCTTCGCTTCATCAGTACATTATCACACACTACCTTTCTCTCTCTTCTTTAATAAAACCATCCTCAAACCACCTGCACTTCCTCTTTCTCACGGTCTTATCCAACGTGTATTTGACAAGTGACCGGTTTGTATTAAGCTACCTGTAGATGCCCGTTGGGCACAGCAATTCAGTATCCATTGTGCCTGTCAGTAGGCAGCGCATGGATGTGATATCACATATTTTCACAGATGCTGATGCTGCATATATACCATGTACACCATTGCCCACCACAATTCCAGTATGGGATCCTTTTATTGCTTAGGATCTTCATCATCAGGAGGGAGAACAAGCTGCAGTGTGAAACTGCTGGTCACTGGCTCCATAAGAAAAAATATCACAAGTGTCCACTTTCTTCGTGGCCACTGAACGTCCACACTTGGCTCCCTTTAAATTGCTTTCTGGACTCTGTGCTATAGCTACTTGGTTCCCCTTGCTTTCCCAATATAAAATAAAGCCAGCGTACTCTAAAAGTGCTTGGAAGTGAGCACTATATCTGCTGCTGCTGGGCACACAGAGAAACTGCACTGTAACAAAAAGTATAGTTTCATAAAATATGAAATGCTTCTATTGATCTTGGAATTTCCTTGACATTCCTATGCAATCATAAAGTATCCTAAGAGAAAGGTGGGACTTAATTTTAGGGTGGAAGTTGGCAGAAGGTGACTCTTCTAATGGCAAGGTGTTCTATGGAATGTCTCACAGTATTCTTCATAAGTCTCCCTTCTTGTGCATCGATTCACCTCACAAAGAACGGGGATGTCCTCTTCAGGGGAATTTTGCTTAATATGCAGAAATGCTTTAAATTTTAGCCAATAGGGAGTGAGATCTTTTAGTCTTTAGTCCTAATCTACAGTATAAGTAGACAAACTTATGTCAGGTCCCATTTCTATATTGTGTAACGTTAGAGCATATTGGATCCATTCGATTTGTTTTTCGAGTGTTTATTGTATTAGCACTTTTCTGTGTATGGTCCTCATGTATATTGGAACCACAGCCACATCCATGACGTGCTCCATTTCAAGAGCAGTATTTATAGTAATTGACATCCATATATTATATCCTACATCATCCATGTGCGCCCAAAACATACAAGTACATTTACGCAGGACACAATGTATACTTATTTTGACGAAGGTGAGACACATTCTAATCTAAAACCACAACGTGCGTCTAAAGTGGAGTGGTGGTCATACTATTTAACCTATGTAGAGGATGCACACAAGCTTACTAACAAGCGTTAAAGGGACTCCACTTCCCAAATCAAGCTTATACAGCTGCTTGCCTCAAGCCTGTGCAAGCTCTTCCCAACTCTCCCCTCTTCCCGATCCAGATTTTCTTTGGTTCTCCAAATACAGACTTCCCAATGCAGCTCAATGAAAATTCTTTGCAATGCAGGATCTCTTAGCAATTACTGCTTCTTGAGTTTTAGCTCGACTGAGCCAAGCTACCAGGAAGTAACCTATTTTCTGATTGACAGCCAAAGCAAGTTTATAAAAGTGCCATTTTCTTTTGATATCTACAGTTTGTGTAAAACGAAAAAAAGACACGTTCTTAACACTTAAAGGACTCTGGTCACCATAACAACTTGATGTAAATTAAGTTGTTAAGGCGCCAGGACAACCCCGGGTGTACTCTTACCATAGGGGGTTAAAGGACTGGAGGCAACCTTTGCAGTTTAACCCCAAAGGTTGCCTCCAAAACCAATCTCCATGTCCCCGAGGCACATTTGAGTTACAAGAAGCGAGGTGCGCTGCTGAGCAGGAGCACCAATGATTGGCTTAAGTGGTCAGCTGAATAGTTAATTATTCATAGTAGTTTAGTTTTCACTCCCTATATTCTTCAGGATGTGAGTTAAATTAAAAATAACTGGAATCTTCAGGAACCTAATGTAATGTATTTTTTTTGCTAATTTTAAAACCGCCCCCCTCTGACGTGGACACATGTAAACATTATGTCGGTTACATGTAGCACTCGCTTTATTACATTAAATGTGTGTATTAAAATTTCTATTACTGGGAATACAGCCCAGCTCATGGAAATGCTCCTGGCCAACCAAAGAGCAAAATAACCCCTGCATATTACTCCCATTTATATTGGGCAGAATGGTGACTCTCTGGTCACATATAATTGCCTGTTATATCGCTTGGTAACTCTTGCCAAACAACTGGGCGATCTTATGTTCACCTTTACGATACACACACCACCATACCACTGCCACACTCAAAGCTCCAGAACAAAAACAATTAAATGTACTTCCTCCGATTCATTACAGAAGAATTTATTTGTACAGAGAAAAAAAAAAAAAAACAACTTGCATGGGATGGGCAGAAAAGTCTGTGTTTTGCTTTTAAACAGGCTTTTCTCGACAGCTAGTTGGGGAAAATATAGAAACACAGTGTAAGTGTGAAATATGTCCAGCTGATCTGTTTTTGCACAAATGTAATTTCTTTCTTTTTTTTTTTTTTAAGAAATGTGCTTAGTGGATTTTCATTATTGCTGTTCTTGAAGTAATATTGCATCATTGGTCCCATAGTGTCTGTGTATCGTAGTGGCAAGTTTCTTTCTAGGAATCAGCAGACAATTCCAGCCCACATCAGTGACTTCAGAATGTTTTCATACGCCTACCTCTCCTTCAACCCGTTGTCACCCGTATTGTGGTGGAATCTCGGTAAAAATAAATTTAGTAGGCCGAGATTACCACGTGGCATGTGTACGTGCATATGCTGACGTATCGATCAGTTGGTTGCACGAGGCAAGATACGATCAGTAGTGTACGGAGCATGTGCAAGAATACAGGATGTAGTATTCCCCTCCTCCATTGTGCTGGACAAGCCATGCGGTCAAGCAGGAAGTTAATTCTTATTTGTAATGATTGGTCAAGAGAATGTGCGGGTGGAGCTTAATATGGGAGGAGTTATGTGCCTATATAGGGAGCCTGCACTATTGTTCAGGGCTCAGAACTTGCTGTATTTTTGGTGACATTAGTCCCTCTGAGTCCCGATCGGTGATCCAATAAAGAATCTCTTCCTTCCTGAAGAAACCTGTGTCCATCTCTCTGTGCTTTGCTTCCGTCAGTTTCTCCGGTATCAGTATAATGTATAATGCATTTGGATCAGTCAGTTATGTTCTCATTAGTAGCATGCACATCCTTTTTCTCCTAATTGTTTTCACTGTTCTGTGTCAGTACAAGCCCCAATGTTTAGGTAGTTCTCACCATTTTAGGCCCATTGTTCCCATATCCCGCCATGAGGTCTTTATAATGTTCTTCCCCCATCCTGTACATTGGGGGTCTTCCTCTTTGCCTGGTAAATGTTGCTAAGTGTGCTATGTATCTTTGTGGTAAACATAGGTCTACTAGTCTCTTTTTGGACCCACTGAAAAGTAGAAACCTAGAATGTGACGGTAGATAAGAACCATTCGGCCCATCTAGTCTGCCCAATTTTCTAAATGCTTTCATTAGTCACTGGCCTTATCTTATAGTTAGGATAGCCTTATGCCTATTCCACGCATGCTTAAGCTCATTTACTGTGTTAACCTCTACAGAGGACTTACACTTCAGATGGAAGGCTATTCCATGCAACCACTACCCTCTCAGTAAAGTAATATTTCCTGATATTATTTTTAATCCTTTGCCACCTAAGACTGTCCTCTTGCTGTGGTCGTTTTTCTTCTTTTAAATATAGCCTCCTCCTTTACTGTGTTGATTCCTTTTATGTGTTTAAAGTGACACTATAGTCACCAGAACTACAGCTTATTAAATTTGTTCTGGTGAGTAGAATCATTACCTTCAGGCTTTTTGCTGTAAACACTGTCTTTTCAGAGAAAATGCAGTGTTTACATTACAGCCTAGTGATAACTTCACTGGTCACTCCTTAGATGGCTGTTAGAGATCCTTCCTGGGTCATGGCTGCCTAAAATGCATCCAAACATCCAGTGTCTCCTCCCTCTGCATGCAGACACTGAACTTTCCTCATAGAGACTCATTGATTCAATTCATCTCTATGAGGAGATGCTGATTGGCCAGGGCTGTGTTTGAATCATGCTGGCTCTGCCCCTGATCTGCCTCTTTGTCAGTCTCAGCCAATCCTATGGAGAAGCACTGTGATTGGATCAAGCTTCCACTTCTGATGATGTCAGCAGACTGCTTGTTTTTTGTAGGCAAACAGAATGCAGATCTACAACTTCAGGCTTGAATACAGTAAGATTTTGCTATATTTATGGAGACATGAGGGGCCCAGGGGGACTAGATGGTGGTGTTATAGGGCCTATAGGGTCAGGAATACATGTTTGTGTTCCTGATCCTATAGTGATCCTTTAAATGTTTCTATCATATCCCCCCTGTCTCGTCTCTCCTCCACGGTATACATTTAAGATCCTTTAACCTTTCCTTGTAAGTTTTATCCTGCAATCCATGAACCAGTTTAGTAGCCCTTCTCTGAACTCTCTCTAAACTATCTATCCTTCTGAAGATACGGTCTCCAATACTGCATACAATACTCCAAGTGAGGTCTCACCAGTGTTCTATACAATGGCATGAGCACTTCCCTCCTTCTACTGCTAATACCTCTCCCTAAGCATTCTGCTAACATTTCCTGCTGCTCTATCACATTGTCTGACTACCTTTTAAAGGACCTCTGTAGGCATCCAGACCACTTCAGCTTAATGAAGTGGTCTGGGTGCCAGGTCCAGCTAGGGTTAACCATTTTTTTGTTTTTTTTTTATAAACAGCAATTTCAGAGAAACTGCTATGTTTATAATAGGGTTAATTCAGCCTCCAGTGGCTGTCTCTTGACAACCGCTAGAGGCGCTTGCGTGCTTCTCACTGTGATTTTCACAGTGTGAAGACGCCAGCGTCCATAGGAAAGCATTGTGAATGCTTTCCTATGGACTGGCTGAATGCGTGCGCATTCAGCCGAAGAGGAGGAGGAGGAGAGCTCCCCGCCCGGCGCTGGAGAAAGAGGCAATTTTAACCCCTTCCTCTCCCCAGAGCCTGAGGATGGGGGCACCCTCAGGGCACTATAGTGGTCCTTTAAGTCATCAGACATAATAACCCTTAAATTCCTTTCCTCAGATGTTAAAGTTAGGACTCTATCAAATATTCTGTACTCTGCCCTTGGGTTTTTACTTCCAAAATGCATTATCTTGCACTCATCCACATTAAATGTCAGTTGCTACAACTCTGATCATTTTTCTAGTTTACCTAAATCATTTGCCGTTTGGCTTATCCCTCCTGGAACATCAGCCCTGTTACATATCTTAGTATCATACTTTACCATCAAGACCTTCTGCAATATCACTAATACAAATTATTAAATAGAATGGGTTCAAGTACAAATCCCTGAGGTACCCCACTGGTGACAAGCCCATGCTTCGAATGTACTCTATTAACTTCAATCCTCTGTTGCCTGTCACTCGGCTACTGCTTTACCCATTCTACAATATCGGTATCCAAACTTAAAGATTGCAGTTTACTGATAAGCCTTCTATGTGCAACAGTGTCAAAAGCCTTACTGAAATATTGGTAAGCAATGTCTACTGCACCACCCTGATCTATTATTTTAGTTACCCAATCAAAGAATCAATAAGATCTAGTTTGGCATGATCTCCCTGAAGTAAACCCATGTTGTCTCTGATCTTGAAATCCATGTGATTTTAGATGTTCAACAATCCTACCCTTTAACATGGTTTCCATCACTTTCCCCACTACCGAAGTAAGGTGTAACGACTGCTAGTGAGGTCCAGCACACAGAACGAAGTAATATCTACATAGACAGAACAGAAAATTAAAGAACGTAAACCGGTCCTTAGAATGCCGGACTAATGCATTAAAGGACCACTATGGTGCCAGGAAAACATACTTGTTTTCCTGGCACTATAGTGTCCTGAGGGTGCCCCCATCCTCAGGGACCCCTCCGCCGGGCTCTGGGGAGAGGAAGGGGTTAAACTTATCTTTCTCCAGCGCCGGGCAGGGAGCTCTCCTCCTCCTCCTCTCCGCTTCCTCTTCGGCTGAATGCGCATGCGCGGCAGGAGCTGTGCTTGTATTCAGCCAGTCTCATAGGAAAGCATTCATAATGCTTTCCTATGGACGCTTGCGTCTTCTCACTGTGATTTTCTCTGTGAAAAGCACGCAAGCGCCTCTAGCGGCTGTCAAGAGACAGCCACTAGAGACTGGATTAACTCTATTATAAACATAGCAGTTTCTCTGAAACTACTATGTTTATAAAAAAAAAGGTTAGCCCTAGCTGGACCTGGCACCCAGACCACTTCATTAAGCTGAAGTGGTATGGGTGTCTATAGTGGTCCTTTAAAGACAGAGAATTGTCAAGAAATAGTCTGGGTCAAGGATGCCAGTAATATACAATAACATATAACAAGCCAAGTCAGGGAAACCAGAAATCAGAATAGTCAGGAATAACGAAAACCGGACAAGAAATCGCACTCTCAGGAACCAGGAACGAAACCACGACAGGGCAAAGAAACAAGAACTTAAGAAATTTAAATATACCACCTTTGACTCTGATTGGTCAGAGGGTGACCTCTGACCCCAGAACTTGAGTGTGCTTCGACGTCGAAGGCATGTTCGTGTAACCCTGGGGGGGCGGAGCTATTTATGGTGCCATTTTTAATCCGGGCAGGCGGCCAGGAGAGCCTGGCGGAGCGGCTCCCGACTCGCCGTTGAGCAGGTAAGCTCAGTCCGTTGGCGTGGCCGCACTGGTGGGTGTGATCGCGGTGAGCCGGGGGCTGTGACATAAGGCTTACTGGCCTATAGTTGCCCGACTCCTCCCTACTAACTTTCTTGTGAATGGGCACAACATTCGCTAACTTCCAATCTCCTTTGACTACTCCTGTTAACAATGGTTGATTAAATAAATCTGTTAATGGTTTTGCTAGTACACTACTAAGCTCTTTTAATAATTTTGGGTGTATTCCATCATGCCCCATTGACTTATTTGTCTTTACTTTTGATAGTTGAAATAGAACCTCTTCCTCTGTAAACTCACATGTAACAATCTACTCTGTCATTTTTCCTGAGGCCCCTTTCCTTCGTTTTCATCTGTAAATACTGAACAAAAATATTCATTGAGGCTATACCTTTATCCTCTTCTACATATCTTCCTTCTTTTGTTTTTAATCTAACTAAAACTTGTTTTACTTCTATTTTCCCATTTATATATCTAAAAAATGTTTTGTCCCCACCCCCCCCTTTTTTTTTTTTACTGACTGGGCAATTTTCCCTTCTGTGTGTGATTTGAAAGTTCATAACTTGCTCAGCCTCTTTCTGCCTAATCTTATAGATCTGTCTATCTATCTATTTCTCCAGTCTGATAATGACTCCTTTACACATATTCTAATTTTAGAAAAGTCTGTTTTTCTAAGGTCTATAACTTTTGTTATTGTATGGTGCGACTCAGTCGCTGTTATTATATTAAACCACACAGACTGATGATCACAGGATCCTAAACTTTCACCTACAGTAATATCTGATACCAAATCTCCATTTGTTAACAATAAATCTAGTATGGCCTCTTTACGAGTTGGCTGCTCAACGACTTGTTTTAGAGACAATCCCAGTAGGGAGTTTAGAATATGTGTGCTCCTGGCACAGGCAGCTATTTTTGTTTTCCAATTCACATCAGGAAGATTAAAGTCACCCATGATGATAACTTCCCCCGTCATTGTCATTTTAGCTATTTCCTCAACTACTAGTTTATCTAACTGTTCTATTTGTCCTCGGGGCCTATAAATCACACCTACACAAGTTACTGTGTGATTACCAAATTCTAACGTAACCCAAACAGACTCTATGTTCGCCTCACTAACTATTATTAGGCTAGATGGACAAATACATCCAATTCTCCTTAACAATATTACAAAAAAAAAAGGACGGCAGTCACCATGAGCACAGCCCCAGCTCAGCTCCCAGGATGGCAGCCACCATGAGCACAGCCCTCCACCTCCTCCCAGAGAGGACTCAATTTGACCCCCTGCAGGGCACAGAATACCAAAACAAACCAAGCGGATGTGACGTAAATTACCGCTAAGATTCACGGGAGCAGGCGCTGCATGTGACGTCACATCCGCTGGCGAAAAACAATTGGTCGCCCGAGCACAGTGGGGCCGACACAGGGTCTGATGCGCATGCGCACCGGAAACACAGCGGCTTGAATACCTGGCGCTACGGTGTATGTGAGCCCCATATACCGGATATACCGCCAGCACCCGGGGTATGTGTTATATATTATACCGGGTATATGGCCAGCACCCGGGGTATGTGTTATATATTATACCGGGTATACGGCCAGCACCTGGGGTATGTGTTATATATTATGCCGGGTATACGGCCAGCACCCGGGGTATGTGTTATATATTATACCGGGTATACTTCCTGCACCCGGGGTATTTGTTATATATTATACCTGGTATACGGCCAGCACCCGGGGTATTTGTTATATATTATACCTGGTATACGGCCAGCACCCAGGGCATGTGTTATATATTATACCGGGTATACGGCCAGCACCCGGGGTATTTGTTATATATTATATCTGGTATACGGCCAGCACCCGGGGTACGTGTTATATATTATACCGGGTATACGGCCAGCACCCGGGGTGTGTGTTATATATTATACCGGGTATACGGCCAGCACCCGGGGTGTGTGTTATATATTATACCGGGTATACGGCCAGCACCCGGGGTATGTGTTATATATTATACCTGGTATACTTCCTGCACCCGGAGTATGTGTTATATATTATACCGGGTATACGGCCAGCACCTGGGGTATTTGTTATATATTATACCGGGTATACGGCCAGCACCCGGGGTATGTGTTATATATTATACCGGGTATACGGCCAGCACCCGGGGTATGTGTTATATGTTATGCCAGGTATACGGCCAGCACCCGGGTATGTGTTATATATTATACCGGGTATACGGCCAGCACCGGGGTATGTGTTATATATTATACCGGGTATACGGCCAGCACCCGGGGTATGTGTTATATATTATACCGGGTATACGGCCAGCACCCGGGGTATGTGTTATATATTATACCGGGTATACTTCCTGCACCCGGAGTATGTGTTATATATTATACCGGGTATACGGCCAGCACCTGGGGTATTTGTTATATATTATACCGGGTATACGGCCAGCACCCGGGGTATGTGTTATATATTATACCGGGTATACGGCCAGCACCCGGGGTATGTGTTATATATTATACCGGGTATACGGCCAGCACCCGGGGTATGTGTTATATATTATACCGGGTATACGGCCAGCACCCGGGGTGTGTGTTATATATTATACCGGGTATACGGCCAGCACCCGGGGTGTGTGTATATATATTATACCGGGTATACGGCCAGCACCCGGGGTGTTATGTGTATATATATTATACCGGGTATACGGCCAGCGGCCAGCACCGGGGTATGTGTTATATATTATACCGGGTATACGGCCAGCACCCGGGGTATGTGTTATATATTATACCGGGTATACGGCCAGCACCCGGGGTATGTGTTATATATTATACCGGGTATACGGCCAGCCCCCGGGGTATGTGTTATATATTATACCGGGTATACGGCCAGCACCCGGGGTATGTGTTATATATTATACCGGGTATACGGCCAGCACCCGGGGTATGTGTTATATATTATACCGGGTATACGGCCAGCACCCGGGGTATGTGTTATATGTTATATATACGGCCAGCACCCGGGGTATATATATTATACCGGGTATACGGCCAGCACCGGGGTATGTGTTATATATTATACCGGGTATACGTATGTGTTATATATTATACCGGGTATACGGCCAGCACCGGGGTATGTGTTATATATTATACCGGGTATACGGCCAGCACCCGGGGTGTGTTATATATTATACCGGGTATACGGCCAGCACCCGGGGTGTGTGTTATATATTATACCGGGTATACGGCTAGCACCCAGGGTATGTGTTATATATTATACCGGATATACGGCCAGCACCCGGTGTGTGTTATATATTATACCGGGTATACGACCAGCACCCGGGGTGTGTGTTATATATTATACCGGGTATACGACCAGCACCCGGGGTATGTGTTATATATTATACTGGGTATACGGCCAGCACCCGGGGTATGTGTTCTATGTTATACCGGGTATACAGCCATTCATATATTTTACATTGTACACTATGTTTTCTGTGTTATATGGCAGGATTTGGTGTGTATTCTATATTTTACACATTGTGCAGTGTTATATAGCAAGACTTGCTGTATTTTCTATATTGCACAATATGTGCCAGGAATCACTGCATATTGTATTGTTTTATTTGACAGGTCTCTCTGCATATTCTATATCGTACACCATGCATAATGTGTTATGTGGCAGGACTCTCTGTATATTCTATATGGTACACGATGCAGAGTGTGTTAGATGGCAGTACACTTTATTCCATACATTCAGAGAGTCACTGTATATGTGTTTGCTAGCAGAGTGTATATTCTATATGGTATGCAATATATAGCAGGGCTTTGTTTTCTGTGGTTAGAGGGCATTGCAGTGTATTATACACTAAATACACTCTGTGCTACATGTTATATATGTTTATGTGACAGTTCTAATTGCGTGTTCGGTATTGGAAAGTTACAATCTGTGTATTTACAATAACTCATTTGCACGTAGAATTCTCTAGCTGTGTTGTATATTTTTCATTTCAGCTACTTTGTTTTAAACTTGCAAAATCATTGTACATGTGACACAATTCCTGGTTTAGGGAGCCACCCCAAAAGTGTAAATACATTCTTGTCCTGTCTCTTTTGTAGTTTTTAAACAATCGTTCTATTTAGTAGTTTCGGCTTCTGAGAGTGGTAGTTCAATTTTCTGATTTCATTCGGAAGACCGCACATACCTGAAATACAGTTCCCAGAAAATAGTGAAATAATGCAGCATAACAAAGTTAAAAAAAAAAGTGTTAAAGACTAAAACAAACACATATCCAGCATAAGTGACTGTAACCTACCCTTCACAATGGTATGATTGTTTTTATATTGTCTTGGCTCCATCATATTGTCTTATTACCTCCATTCTTAATTTCTCAGGTCCTAATTATGGATTTCTGAAATATGAGCATTGTCCCGTGGATATATCTCAAATGCCATCACCCACTTCACAACGGCCACCAAGGGCAAGGTCTCCAAGCCCAATGCAACGACCTCCACGCATTCAACCTCCTGCCCCAATGCAGATTCCACTAACCTCCACGGAGAGTAGTGTTAGAGTTTCATCAGGGGCTCGGTTGCCAAGGCCTCCAAGGGCTGGGACTCCAGACAAAATACCAAGACCAGCCAGAACTGATCCCCCGGTTCCTCTGATGCGCACTGCTGATGTAGATTCCCTGGACACTGTGTTGAGACCAAACAGGACTGAACCCCCAACCTCAATTCAGAGGCCTCCTAGAACAGAACCACCACCTCCCAGATTGGATCTACATTCTACCATTCAAAGACCCTCCTGGCCAGAATTTCCATGTTCATTGCAGAGGCCACCAAGAATAAAACCTCCCCTTCCAATGGATAGGACACGTACATCAGAAACTCTAGTCATTAAGCAAAGACCTCCAAATACTGAAAATTCTCTGCCTCTGCAGAGACCCCCAAGGATAAAACCACCAGCTCCCCATGTAGATACTCAAGCACCTTTTTACAGCACTACAAAAAGAGTCCCTTTATCTCAGAGGCCTCCTAGAACAGATCATTTGTGTGCCATTCAAAGGACTAACATGACCGAAAATAAAGAGGTCTCTACCATAACTCCTTTAGATCTACGCACCTCAAATTCCAGTGTTCGTCACACAGGAGGAGGAATAACCGAACTCTCCTTAAAGAACCCAGATAGGAAATATGTGAGTGATCCTGAGATTGGCAATGAGGAAGCCAGTCCTAATCTTCAGTGTCCAGTAAAGAGTCTAGATGGGTCAGCTGCAGGTGAGCATACTGTTTGAAGTTGGCCACATAAGTCCTCATGTCACAGATTTATTGATTTAACTAGATGTAATATAATTGCTTATTCTTTTTCATACAATCATTTATCACATTTGTGACTCTTGTATTCTAAATCTGGCATTCATTTTAGAAGAACCCCTGCTTCCCTCAAGGATAGAAACGGAACCCTCTGGAGGGACACCTGTGGTTCAGCCATCTGGCCAGCCTGAAGACACTGCTCAGAGAGACCTGTGCGAGAGTGACGAACTGGAGGATGATATAGGGCTTTTTATAGGTAGGTCCAAACCCTTGTTTTTGACAAACATTCATGAAACCTATAGCATATGGACATTTGTAATCAAAATAGGAAGTTGTTTACAGTAACCTGCATGTGGTAGTTTGGCTTGAGCAACCCACCCAGTCCTCAAGGCACATCAGCAGTCTAGGTTTTGTCAATGGGCTTTAATGTCACTTGAGGATTTAAAGACGATGCACACATTGCAGACTTGTTATTGTAATTGTCCTCCAATTGAATTCTAGAAATGGCATGGTACTGCTACGATCATAAGTACTGCTGAGGTGTTTGGGAGAAGGTAGGTGTTTTGGGCGATGAAATAGGATATCAATAGACTGGTCGATGTGTATCTAAAGTGTATTCTCTTCCCTTGTACAGAGGACAATGACTGTGAGGATAGGGAGCAGAGGAGGAAGAAGGGAAGGATTGCTCTGAAGAGGAAACGTGAGAACTTGCAGGGTGAAGCGGAAGCTGCTGTGTCTTCAGACTTGAATAACTCACTAGATCAAAGTTTAGAGGACCGAGCGAAACTGCACAACCTGACAGCAGTGAATGTTAGAAACATTCTGCATGTGAGTTACCTAACGTAGCTTGGCATTGGTAATATTTAGAGATGTGTAGGTATTCCTGGGACAGGATGGTGTACAGTTAAAACACTAGGAATTCCCTGTGGTGGTGGTAGACTGATATGTCTTGTATTCTCATGTTCATTTTATGCTTTGCTCTTGTAGGAGGTTATCACAAATGAGCATGTGGTGGCAATGATGAAAGCTGCAATCACAGATACTCAAGAGTTGCCCGTCTTTGTAAGTTGCTTTCTATGTTTCCTTCATAAAGGATTGTGTTTAAATGAATTTTACATGGTAACTGCATTTGTATTTCAATAATACTCCTATTAATTGTTTTTTCTTGCTGCCACGCCTTTTCAGGAGCCAAAGATGACACGGTCCAAGTTGAAGGAAGTGGTGGAGAAAGGAGTGGTAAGTGTTGGCTTAGGTTACAAATTCTTTATAAGAGGTTTGTGCATGATGTAAAGAATTGTTGGTGGTTTGTGCAACTAAGCAAACATTCTGATCGATTTTAATTTCCTTATTTTTAGTGAGACCTTACATTTATTTTTCCATCCTACAGGTAATGCCTACATGGAATTTGTCCCCCATTAAGAAGGTCGGTGAGCAGAAGGTGAGTCTAGGGGAACTGTAAAAAATATGGTAACTTCAAATATTAACAAACCAAAAAAGAAATCCAATTAGTGAATCTTATCACAATTACTGCACCCATTTTATCTGGGCCGTTCCCCTGTTCTTTCTCCTCTCTGGGCTTTGTAAATGCCTTTCTTTGCCTATTCTCTCTGCTCTAACTTTTCTTCTTAGACCTTTGAGACCATTGAATATCAAGAATCGTTCCGACAACTTGTTTCTGTTTTGTTTCTCCAGGCTCCCCAGTTTGTAGATATTCCACTAGAAGAGGAAGATTCATCAGATGATGAAGAATATTGCCCTGAAGAGGAGGAAGAGGATGAGACGGCTGAAGAGGTCAGTGCAGAATTGATGCTCTATCATGGGGTGTCAGATCCCGATGTAGTGTCTGATTGCAGTATGTGGTCTGAGACCATGATGTAATCTAGAGTATAAGAAGTGTGTATGAAAATCTGGTTATTGGATAGTGTGACACATATTTAAAATTAAAAAATAGAACTGAAGGTCCAGTGCAAATCAAAACACTATTAGCGATGATCAAGCACAATATTAGCCACCTGCAAACATGCTTGACAGGCAGCCCATAAGTCCCTTAATCCTGTATTTAACGAAAAAAAAGAAAATGGCCAGACTTCATAATGAATGAAATTATGATTAAATTAGCAAAGTGAAAATAAATTCATTTACTCTGTTCATTCAAGTCAGCTTGGTAAAATATTGAAGCACTGGGTTGGACACTTGAACCCATTTTGTGGATGGGCAGCACTTCCTCAGAGACTGGAGAATTTCTGTTCAGAAACGAAATGCGTTGGCTTGTCCTATCCAGTACTCCACCCACCGTTGTACTGAACCATATATTCGTATGAAGTAATAAATAATTTTAAAAATTCGATTCTCAATTCTTTAATAATCAATTCCAGACATTCTTGGGGATTGATGAAGATATTACAAATTTTAGGCAACGTAAGTCTGGTGAATAACTTGCATGGTCTGTTCTTTAGGGTGGTATCCTCACAAAGATTTACAATTATTTTATGTTTCCTCAGAGTCTGTTGGAGAGCGATGTTGAGAGTACGGCATCCTCCCCACGTGGTCATAAACGACCTCGAGTCCATCATCTATCTGAACCCACAGAAGAGGCCATGGATTGCAATCCGGTAATGTACAGATTAGGCTTTGTCCTATCACATACTGGTTTACTTTTGTTATATGCATCTCTGTATCTGTTGGCCTTTCTTTCTATATTACGCCAAGCTCATCAGTTGGAAACCGCCTAGTTGATTAGTGTCCTGCAGTTGTAACTATAGCAAGCATCCTTTGTCACTTGTTAATAATTGATGTACCGTTATAAATATGGCAACCTCTGTGAAATGACCCCTGCTACTGTCCGTATGGCATAGCGCAAGAGGTACTCTAGTCAAAGGTTCTGGAAGCTGTGATCTAGTGTCTCCAATGTAGATTCATCTACAACACTAATTTGATCATTCTTAGTATTCTTTATTCCACGTTGAATGTTAGAGGACCATAGCCCTCTGTAATTATTAGGTTATTGTGTAGGTGTAATTCAGGGACATTTTGGATAGGGCAAAAGCCTTGTACAGGTCCAACATGTTTTAATATTTTCCCGTAACATACATAGGTCATAAAATGACAAATCTGTAGCTGCTATCCAAAACTCCATGTGTGAACAGCTTGGCATGAAGTTTCAGAGGGGTGGGAGTAGATCAATAGAGACATGCACATTGCATACTCTTGAAGTTGAATGAGCATTGTTGCTCATCTCTATCTGTAGTGAGGATGGAGACGATCTGAAGGTGCAACATCCGGGGGCTTTTGACCTCTTCGGACAGGGCATGAAACAGCATAGGGAGCACAGTTAGTATGAATCCTCCTAGCTGCTTTGTGACTTGTGCAGTGGTTAACTGGGAGGGAACTGCGTTCATTGATAACCGAAACACCGCTCCTCCTTGGCTGCTTTTTGTACATTCCTTAATCTCCAGGGAGCCACAGGCATAGCAATAGGTAATATTACTCTTTAACCCAGTACCGCTTGCCAAGGCTCTGTTTCTACTTGCTCATGTCAGGTAGAAGTTTTGTGCCCTTTTTAGCTGTCAAACTCCCATAGTTTTAGTCATTGCTCAACAGAACTGGGAAAACTTATAAACTTAGCATTACATTTACCGTGAACTACCTGCCCCCCAGTATTTTTAATGATAAATATCAGTCATATATTAGTTACCTTGTTTACATTACGATCCATCCTATTATTAATAAACCATCTGTCCTAAACAGCACCCCTCACACAGACTCTAATAATCTTGACCACTATGATACCTGCTGAATATTAAAAATGCAGCTATATCCAGCAATTTCTGAAATACAAGTTGTGACTTTTATATATTGTTCGGGCCATAGAACCTGCAACTCTTCACACAGCTACTGCATCTAATGCATCACTATTAATGCAGTGAGAGGACAACATTCACAAAATATGTAATAACAGCACGTTCACTTAACCAACTACTAGAGATTCTGTTAAGTGCACAAACCTGTAGCTAGCAATTTGTGAATGTACCACTTCTAAGAATGTCAGAAGTGCCAATTACTATGTAATAATTACCTTTTTTAGTAACTAGAACACATTCCTCTCTTGTCCACAGATTACAGATTTTTATTAAAAGCATCAATTCTTGAAATCTTTTTGTGTCTGCATACACCTCTCTAACAGCGAGACAAGTATTCATTTAGATAGATTTATAATCTAGCTGGTAGAACACTACCACCCTAAATTTTCTTTACATTAATCTATTTACTTCAAGCATTGTAAACACCAGAGTCTGTTTTAGTTATGTTTGTAGGAGTATCCTACCGCTGTTCCCCAGTAATGCAGCAGTTTGCCTCCTATCTGGGTCACGTGCATTAAGCTTCTGTAGAGCTGCAAAATCTGGATGCAAAATCTGGATGCCAATCCTGCCAGTCATTCATTGGCTGAGAGCATCGTTTGAGTGCTCTCAGCCAATGAATAACCCTCTGTGGAAAGAATATGCACAAAACTGACACCAGTCCTGAAATCACCTGGTATGATCTCTGCATGTGCAACGTTTCAAAATTTAAAAGTGGCGCGTACAGACTTCAAGCACCAAGATCACTTAAAAACACGGAAGAAGTTTGTAGTAACCTTTTTAAAATAATCTGTTTGTTTTAATTGTTACTCAATGTTTATGTTCAGAATTTTAGGAGTTTGCCAAATTTGAGGCCAATGTAGCCGAAAATGAAAGATTCTCCAAATAAACAGTGTTTAGAGCTTGGCTAGTTAGGCCTTAATTGTGCAAGTCTCTGGTGAATTTCTGACCATTCTCAAATTAGTGCATAGCCCGACTGGCATTTGCTGAGAGCATATGATGTCAGCGGCCAATCAGACCTTGTAATTCAAAGGAGGGATCTGTTTAACTCCCATAATTCACGTTTATGGGCAAGACAAAATGTTTGTTTTCCCTGTTTGATGAGTGCTGGTTAACAGATTTGCACATGTTAGTCAGTGTGTATGCAATATAATAGTGCAAATACATTTTCTGATGATCAAGACACTGGAAATATAATATGGAGCTGTGGGAAAGGCTGCCTCCATAAAAATCTATGGAAGAGGCTTTTAAATGGGCTCTCTAAGTGCCCTGACCAACACCGCCTGCTGTAATTTTTATGGTGAAAAAGTCCCCTGGCACCAATGCCTTATCACAATAATCACACTTGTTTTTTTTTTAGGTGGCGGAAATAGTGATAGAGCTTGGTGAACATGTTGAGTCAGAAGTTCCAGTGATGGGCCCTCCTCCTCCTCCTCTCAAAATGAAATGCATTCAAGATATTACTTTTATGGATGAGCTACATGCTGTAGACGAGGAATTGAATAGCAGCACAGTGTGCATGGATTCCTTCCAGGTGAGCGGGCTACCTCATTACTTGTCCCTCAACTCTCAGGCTGACTGTCCAAATGCTTCATTGGTCATTTGCATGGTTTATGTATAAGTTGTAGGTATTTTGTGTGACACTGGCAATCTTTGTGTTCCAGACAATCTGTCCTGACAGTCTGATTGCTTTACGTACCCGCTCCAAGAGACCTCTGAAGAATGTACCCATAGGGCAGCTGGAGGCCAAGCTCATGGCTCCAGATATCACACCTGATATGTATGACCCTAACACTGCAGATGACGAGGACTGGAAGATGTGGCTATGCAGCCTTATGCAAGATGACGTGGGAAACGAAGGTGTGACAGGAAATACTTGATCAGTGGAATCCATGTAATCCATGATAGTGTTCCACATCTCAATTCTTTGGTCCCTTTACATTCCACATTTATTTTTCCTCTATACTTTTTTGATTCCTGACAGCGGTGCTCCACATCCCTCATTTATTTGTACCCAAAGAATTCCAGCCATTCCTCTGTTCCCTGACACTGAAGCTCCATGTCTCCCACTCATAAACTCCAATGTGTGATAAACTCTCTTCACATTGCTTATTTATTCCCCAACACATGTCTGAAACTTGATATTTGCATGGTATCTGTCCTGCACATCCTACCATACACTTATATGGTGACTCGCCATCTAGTCTCCAAGCACTTTTCTGATGCTCTTCATTCCACAACCATATGTTCTCTATACACTCTCTTTCGATCTCTGATACTCGTGCTGTACTGTACTTGAGCTATTGATACTTGTCCGTCCCATATTTCTCTTACCTCTGCTTCTAGTGCTCCATGTCTCTCACCCATCGGTTTTCAAATAGGTCCTGGTTCTTGATACTAGTGTTCTATGGCCTTCACTTAGCAGCACTAAAGTTTGACCTTTTTGTATCGTTCCATAAGAGTTCTGAGCCCATTGGCTATTAAAACCATGTCTGAATGCTGGCAGTAATTATGGACTCATCCCCATAACTGTTTTTGTCATTTAAGATGAGGCTGATGATGACGATGATCCAGAATACAATATCCTGGACGATTTGGATGAACCAGATACAGAGGATCTCCGCAATGACAGAGCTGTGAGGATCACAAGTGAGTGTGGTTTTGTTTAATGAAATGATAGTACAATCAGATTATCAGTTGCATCGGCGTGCACTGTCCTAAGCTCATATATATATATATATATATATATATATATATATATATATATATATATATATATATATATATATATATACACACACACACACTTACATACATACATACACTAGGCAATGTCTAAGATCCGTTATCTTCTGTGTTACAGAGAAGGAAGTCAGTGAATTGATGGAAGAACTCTTCGATACGGTGAGAACTCCAGAGAGACATGCTGGACATCTATACAGTGTTGTCCATCTATGCACGGACACATCCAATGGAGGTAACCCTTTCTCTGCATTTGTTTAGTTCCAGGATGAATTGGGCTACTCCAATTTGGAAGAAGAGGAAGTTGAGGATGATGATAGTAACCAAGGAGCTGCTCACAACCGTTCTCATCTAGAAGAGGAAGAAGATGAGGACAATAAACAAGAACCCATTCCCAACTTCAATATCCCTCAAGCAATACGGTAATTAGTTAAAATAGTTGGATTGCATGCATTTGTGAGCAGGCTTTTTAAAAATTCTTTAACCCGTCAATCATCTGTGTAAGAACAACCACTTTGGTAGAATGTAGAATGTTCACAATTACCCCATTAAGAGTTTTACAAACCCGATGTCGGGGCCTCCTTATCTATGGGGCAGACCAGCTATAGACCAAGCTGTGCCTGTTTGGGAAGGGAGGTAAATTAGTCGGGTGTTGGTTGTCTCCCCTTTCAAATAAGCTCAGCTGATTGGGGGAAACCAAGCAGCCCGTACACAATGTTATGAACAACTTTTGTCACCTTGTCAAGGTATCATGTCTTTTCAGAAATTATTTGCTGTAACTAATAATATGGACAGGAGTTTTCTTTACACCATTGATTACTATGCAAAAATATATTCCATCATAAACATGTATATTGAATGGACGGACAAAACAATGGAAACACCATAACCCATTAACCATCTCCCTCCCAGCTAGAGTTGCATTGCCGCATGAATAAAATCCGCTAACTTATCAAAATTATTTTTCTTTCTGGGTGCATAGAAGTTATGTGCAGTTACAATAGTTTGCCACCCTTCAGCATGTATATGTGATGTGTGTCCAGGACAGCTTGGAATCCCCACACCAAGCCCGGGGCATACGCCTGTTAGAGATTATGAACCTACTTCAACACACCCACTTGTCAACATGAAGTCTGTTCAGTTGAATTTAACACTGGAGCCAGGCCCAATGGACTCACAAAGTAACAGGGAAAGGGTTTTATTAATTTTCCATTCTGAAATCCATGTGGAGTATACCTATATATCTTCTACGCATAAATATCTACATGTTGTTTCTATCAAAACCAAAGCTATACGCTTGACATCCCTTCCAGTAAGTGTGTGTGTTTTGATACATTTTCATGCTTTTTTCTGTTGGCACAGGTTTGAGGAGCCACTTGCTAATATCCTAACGGAGCAGCATCGCACCGTGAAGGCTCAGCTTCAGTGCCTAAGGATGAAGAAATCTGTTTTAAAACCTCCCACACAGGACCCTGCTGAGGATCCCAAGTCTCTCCACGCTCGCGAATATGAGGGCAGGCTTGTCATTGAGCCCAAGGCTCCTGTTGTGCTGACTCTTAATGCAGGGCAGAGGCAAAGACTTCAGCAGCAGATGCAGCAGGTTGGTTTGAGTTATTCATGGAGAACATCGCAAGAATGACCAATGGCACTTGTATTTCTGCACGACAAGCAGTGGAAGCCTATGGCATCTGTGGTTTTGTGATCTCTAGTCATGCATGCATCTACTTGTAAACATTAAGGTGACGTTACCTGGGAAGATCTTTGCAGAGATCCAATCAGTTCTGCTTTAGCAGTTGTTACGCAATATGCAGTAATTTCAGAAATTAAAATACTAGTAGTCCTGAACTGATGGGTAATAAACCATTCTCTGTTGCAGCACGTCCAGCTTCTGACCCAGCTAAATTTGCTTTCGAGTAAAAACCCTGGACTAAGCTTTGAGACCGACACTACTCGCTTGTTTCTGGTAAGACTGTCATTCTCAGCCAATTATCTTTCTTTTATTATGATGTCTTATCGTGGCGCCCTCATGTGTATGATGAGACCCTTTACTTCCTATTAACTTTGTGTTATATTTATTTATTTTTTGCCCAGGTTGAACTTTCTAGTTTTGCTGAAAATTCTGTCCTAACCCATCGGCCAAAGAACCCTGATTTTCAAAGTATGTTTCAAGCAAGTAACCTAAGAGATGCAATGCAACTGCACTCCAATTTTCACACTCAGGTTCCAGAGAACATTGAGCCTCCCAAGCTGATAAGAAAAAACGGTATGGATTCTGCAGAAACTAAATATATATACCATTACTAACGAAATCAATGTTCAGCCTGTCAGTGGCTTAGGGTGGGGTTACACATTGTATTATGTTAATTGATCTCTGTACTCTTTAGTGGGTAAAGTACAGTGAGCCCAAAAGGAATTAACTGTTTGTACACACACAGTCATTAAAGGGACACTGTAGGCACCCATACCACTTCAGCTCATTGAGGTGGTCTGGGTGCAGTGACCCTTTTGCATTTAGTGCTGCAATGTAAACATTTCAGTTCAAGAGAACTGCAATGTTTACATTGCAGTACTAAGTCTGCCCTCAGTGGCTGTCTACCAGACAGCCACTGTGGTCGCTTCCGGAATCCAAAGGGACTTTTTGTCCATTATCCAGCGTCAGATTTTCCCCATAGGAAAGGATTGAATAATGTTTTTCTATGGGGAGGTTTAATGCGGGCATGGCCATTGCCGTGCATGTTCATTAGGTCTCCCTGCCAGCTGACGTTGTCGGGAGAGGAGCATGGGCAGAGCCTGACCCAGCGCCGAGGAACATCGGGGGGGAGGGGGAGAGACACCCTATTAACCCTATAGTGTCAGGAAAACTGCTTTGTTTTCCTTGCACTATAGGATCCCTTTAAGGAAAATACTTGATTGACTTTTTTTTTTCTTTTTCTTTTCTTGCAGGCAGTGAAATTCCCAGCCTTCCTACAGACATTGCCTGGATTCTGGCCACACAGCCTGTTTTCATGTACCCGGAACTCCTGCCTACATGTGGCCTGAAAGTCAGAGGACCTCGCGATAAAGTGTATTTTACCAAGGGTGAAGACAGGTATGTTTAGAAATAATAAACGTTTTTTTACAATGATTGCAATGCTTTATCTTTCTCTAAATTACCTGTGAGAGTGTAACGTGATTATGTGTTTCTTATTCAACTGTACAGTGTGTGCTTGTGAAACTCCGTGATCAGCCAAAAATTAAAACCACTAATGGGTGAAGCGAATAACATTGATAATATTGTTACAATAGCACCTGTCAAGGGATGGGATATGGTTGAGATTAGATGCATGTGCATAGTTTTCTTGGGGAAAAGATGGCAGCAGGATGCCCTATGGGACGAAAGCAGGTAGGCAAAGGCAGTGTTATGTTCTTCTGGAAAATCTTGGGTCCTGGCATTCATGTGGATGTTACTTTGACACGCATCGCTTACCTAGAGACCATGTCCTTCATGGCAATGCTGTTGCCTGAGAACAGTGACCTCTTTCAGCAAGATAATGCACCCTGCCACACTGCAAAAATTGCTAAGTATGGTTTGAGGAACATAAGAAAGAGTTCAAAGTGTTGCCATGATCTCCAAATTCCACAGATCTTAATCTGACTGATCACCTGTGGGATGTGCTGCAGCAACAAATCAGATCCATGCAGTCACCACCTCGCAATTTGCAGGACTTAAAGGATCTACTGCTAATGTCTTGGTGCCAGATACCACAGGACGCGTTCAAAGGTCCTGTCGACTCCATGCCTCAATTCATCAGAGCTGTTTTGGTAGCACGATGCGGGACCTACACAATATTAGGAAGGTTGTTTTAATTCCCCTGTCTTTCATAGGATGAAAAAAACATTTTATTCTGTTCTCACATAAAAAAACAGATTAATGGACCACTATAGGCACCTAGACCACTTCAGCTCAATGAAGTGGTCTGGGTGCCAGGTCCCTCTAGTTTTAAGTATTACAAAGAAAAAAACCAAAAGGAAAAAAACAAATATGGTGCAAAACAATAAGCACAAGCAGGGGGTGAGAGGTGGTAGAAAACTCACTAGATAGTAGTAAATTCCTCATTATTAGGGTAATTGTCTAAATGCAGGGAATCTTACAGTCATAGAAATCTTGGTATAGAAGTATTTTCTTGAGTAGCTCAAAATATAAGGAGAGAAAAGTGAAAGTGCAGACTATATAAAAATATAACAAATTTATTTTACAAGTAGCACTTACAATGTGTCAAGACAAATACTTTCTAGTGCGTTTTCTACCACCCCTCACCCCCATGCTTGTGCTTATTATATTGCACCATATTTGTTGTTTTTTCCACCAGATATACGGTGCTTATGGTAGATTCTAACGACTACTATACAGTTTGTACCACTTGTTATCACTTCTGGTGATTTTACACACATTTTTTTCTTTGTAATACTTGTAACATTGAGTGTCTCTAGGGAACAATTTAACCTAAGGTGTCTTGTGTGTCTCAGAGCATATAGTGATCATTTTTTGTGTTTTTTTACCCTCTAGTTTTAACCCTGCAGCTATAAACATAGCAGTTTCAGAGAAAATGTTATGTTTACACTGAGGGTTAATCCAGCCTCTAGTGGCGGTCTCCCTGACAGCCGTTAGAGGCCGCTTCTGTGATTCTCAAAAATCACAGTGAGATGACACTGACATCCATAGGAAAGTGTTGAGTAATGCTTTCCTATGGGCGGTTTGAATGCGCTTGCGGCTCTGGCCGTGCATGCACATTCAGCACTAACGTTGGCGGGAGGAGGAGAGTTCCCCGGCGCTGGAGAGAGGTACGTGGCTAAAGGGGTTTTAATCCCTTCAGCCCAACGGGAGGCGGGCTATGAAGGTGGGGGGGACCTATGGACATTTTTTTTTTTGGGGGGGGGGTAATATTATACATCATATTTTTGCAATGCCTTCCTAATTGGATTTGTCTTAAGCATAGAGACAGAGCTCAGCCAATGAGAGATTGAGTTGCAAAATTAAGTTCTCCCCACAGCCATAAATAATCGTGGCAGGGTTTAACATTTGAAGTCTATGCTACTAACCAGCCTTAATAGTTACTCAGGACTGAAAAGCATAGCGGTGATTGTGCTATTGCCAGGGATACATTTTCACTCACAAATGGCTATTGGCAAGTGTAAATTTTGAGCATGGCTTATGAGCTTAAAGGAGTTGGTAATAAGAGTATAATGCTTGGCTGTGAGGTGGAGTCATGTCAGCTCATGCTGATCTCTCATTGGCTGAACTGAGTAAATGCGCTGCATATTTCAGGACAATGTTTTCTTAAAAAAAAAAAAAAAAAACCAGGGGGTGTAGCCAGTGTAGGGGTTAAGCTGGAAAAATATGAAAATTTCTATAGTAAATTAAAGCAAAATAAAAACATTTGAATATATCAAGATACACAGCATGATTTTGATTCTGAAAACCTCTTACATACACTTAGATGTGTTGGTACCCTTAGTATCCATTTAAGATTATTGTGACTGTATTTTCTGCAATGAATGTAATGTGTGGGTTTTTTTTTTTTTTTTTTAGTTTGCTGGCCCTGGGACTTAAGCATTTTGATGGAATGGAGTTTTATAAAACTCTTATCAGCAAGTATCTTATTCCGGCAAAGACTTCCCAGCAGCTGAATGCCCACATTAAAAATGTCACCATGCAGAAGAGTCAAGACAATATCATAAAGGTAAGCCACCTACTATATAGCAAGGAGGGCAAATTATGTATAGCATGGGGAGGTGTGCTGTGATTGTCTTACAATAGTTAGTGTGGGTGATGGTATATTTGTATTCAGTATGGTAGGGATGAGTGGCTATGTTTGGTGTGCAGCTGCAAAAGGGGGGCTGGCTTTGCATGCTGTGTGAGTCTGTTCTTCATAGTTAGACTAGACGGGTGAAGGACAGTGTGGTTGGAGGAGAGGAGTTTGGCTACATTGAAGCTGTGTATTGCATAGTGGTGGGTGTGTGGATAATCTGGTTACAGGGGAGGGTGGATATGAAGGGTAGGACCCTCTGTGGAGGGTAATTGATTCTGGGAGCCCTGTTGAACGACACTCTAATGAAATTATTGACCTTGTAGAAATTTGGGTGAACTGCAGCATGATGACTCTCCGGAAACGGCAATGGGTGTGCAGCAAGACCGAATAGGGAAAGGGAATATGCGCTGTAAGACCCACTGATTGGGTGGGGTTGGAGAACTAATGCCAGAATCTATTATGCTTCATGTGGACAATTTTGTATGTTTTCTTGGTCAGTATTTCAAGAGGAACAAATCACTGCCTGATCTTGTGAAATGCTGTGATATTATCCAGGCATACGATGGCAAACCGCCAGTGGACAGAGAGAAGCACAGACTGCCGTTCTGGCTGAAGGTAAGAGGAGCACGTGAAATGCCTGGATTTATTTTAGCTGCATCTAGATTTACCTATTCACAATTAAGGTGGCTGCCTTGCCTTCAGTATGCTAGAATCATACGTAACCTTTGCTTAAACCTGCATATTGATACAGAGGAGCACAGAACAGGCTTCCGTTGAGACCCTGGTAGGGTTTACAAACGTTGGATATTTTAGGGAGACTGCCAGTAGTTTGGAGAGGTCAGAGGATAGACCAGGATTTTAGGAAGAATGAAGCAGGAAGAATAACTATACTAACAAGAAATGTAATAATTGCAAAAACATACTAAGATCGTTTGTGTTGTTACTAAGAATCTGTTATGTAATCGATGCAGTAATGATTCCCGTACACTGTGGCAGTGACCTCACCAGTTAATGTATTTTGGTTTCCATGTAGCGTCCAGGTTGTAGGAGAGAGGGAATGGTTATGATGAGTCTCTGATGAGTGTTTATGTGCTTTAGTTTTAAAAGTTGGTTCATATCTCAGACATGTAAACTCAAATGGAAACCGTCACATTTTTAACATTGCACCATTGAATAAAACCTAGAAATCACCTGTAACTCGTGGTAATCTCTTTTTTTGGTTGATACTATATTATACTAAATATTTAGCAGTTGACATTGCAATCCAGCTCATTTCAGGCACCACTAATCTGTCTGCCAGATGCAAAGAGCACAGTTTATAACAATGAATGACAGGGAGCAAAGATGTAATTGCACAAGTCTAGGTTAAAAGGAAATAGACCCGTGCTAATAATTCCTATTTCATTTTCAGTCTTCACAAACTAATATTTCAAAAATATAATTACTGAATAACAAAAAATTTATAAATATAGGAATGTGTTCAGAAAAAATTAGTTCCTCTAAGTTTCAGATGCTTAGAATGTTTGAAATAGAGTGTTGGGATAAATTAGTTTATATTTTTTTTAAACATTTTCTTCTACTCTAGGCCAGCATGACCAGCATTGAGAAAGAAATGAAAAAAATAGATAAAGATTCACAGATATCGGGAACCGAGAGACTAACCACCAAATACCCTCTGGTAGCACCTCCAGAGCTCCAGCTCACACTCAAACCTCTACCGTCACGATTTGTCCGCAGATTCTTGCGACAGAGGAAACCCAATTTGAAGCCACTTCTTATCCGACCTACTAGCAGCACAAACAACAACAACAACACTCCAAATAAGCCATTACTCAAACAAGCCTCTGACATGCAGCCCTTGCCCATCACAATATTGGGTCAGATGCCTTCTCTTAATCAATCCACCAGACCTGTTCAGGGCATTGTAGGAGTAAATTCTGTATGTGTGCCTTCTGATATTACAAACTCCATCGTATCTTCTGCTCCACTCATTCATTCTGCTCCTGTCATATTTACTGTTCCTAATGGAGCATTAAAGCTGGTAAGTCTTGGTACATCCTGTGGTTTGATACAGTCAATTGGTACCAGACCAGGCATTCCAGTCACTACAGTTCTTCTGAATCCCTCCTCTGTAAAACAAACACTAATTACTTCGCCCTTTAATCAGACACTTTTTGACATGTCCCCAGGGCTTCATGAGGGCCAAAGTGGTGTGAATTTGGAGACTGTCTTATCAGACCCAGGGAAGATCAAAAAGGAACATGATTGGGGCTGTGTGTCCATCAACATAAAACACGAAGGTTCTTCTGTAAGTGAAGAGGGGAACCATGGAGAACCAAATGCAGGAGAGCAGCAGGAAAACTGTGTCCAGTCATGCTCTCCTGTGGCTGAGAAATTAAAATGTGATACAGAAGATAGGAAAGATTGTTTACTAGACAGCAAACCGTTGCACATAGGTTATTGTTCTGATAATTCAGTACTCCCCGATTTATCCTCAAATGACTGTAAACCTGAGATGGAATCTAAAGATAAAGCTGTACAGATTTCTCTAATGGTGGAGTTGCACAGTCTTCAGGAGTCGGATATTAAAAAGGAGGAACAGGAAGAGTTTGATGTAGGGACGTCTGACTCATCCAGTATCCACATTGTAAAAATAGAGCAAGAATGCCCTCCAGATGAAGGGAATTCTGCAGAGGCTGCAAATATTTCTCAAACTCTGGTACTGCGAAGTCCTCCATATCCAGAGATTAAAAAAGATGAGGATCAGTGGGATGTGGGTATTTGTGATTCATCAAGTAGTCAACTTATAAAGACAGAGCCAGCGGATGCCCCAATGTCCGACCCTCCTGCAGAGCCAGCGGATGCCCCAATGTCCGACCCTCCTGCAGAGCCAGCGGATGCCCCAATGTCCGACCCTCCTGCAGAGCCAGCGGGTGCCCCAATGTCCGACCCTCCTGCAGAGCCAGCGGATGCCCCAATGTCCGACCCTCCTGCAGAGCCAGTGGATGCCCCAATGTCCGACCCTCCTGCAGAGCTAGCGGATGCCCCAATGTCCGACCCACCTGCAGAGCCAGCGGATGCCCCAATGTCGGACCCACCTGCAGAGCCAGCGGATGCCCCAATGTCGGACCCACCTGCAAAGCCAGCGGATTCCCAAATGTCCTACCCTTCTGCAGAGCCAGCTGCTGCCCCGGTCCCTGACCCTCCTGCAGAGCCAGCGGCTGCCCCGGTCCCTGACCCTCCTGCAGAGCCAGCGGTTGCCCCGGTCCCTGACCCTCCTGCAGAGCCAGCGGTTGCCCCAGTCCCTGACCCTCCTGCAGAGCCAGCGGCTGCCTCGGTCCCTGACCCTCCTGCAGAGCCAGCGGCTGCCTCGGTCCCTGACCCTCCTGCAGAGCCAGCGGCTGCCTCGGTCCCTGACCCTCCTGCAGAGCCAGCAGCTGCCCCGGTCCCTGACCCTCCTGCAGAGCCAGCGGCTGCCCCGGTCCCTGACCCTCCTGCAGAGCCAGCGGCTGCCCCGGTCCCTGACCCTCCTGCAGAGCCAGCGGCTGCCCCGGTCCCTGACCCTCCTGCAGAGCCAGCGCCTGCCCCGGTACCTGACCCTCCTGCAGTGCCAGCGGCTGCCCCGGACCCTGACCCTCCTGCAGAGCCAGCGGCTCCCCCGGTCACTGACCCTCCTTCAGAGCCAGCGGCTGCCCCGATCACTGACCCTCCTGCAGAGCCAGCGGCTGCTCCGGTCCCTGACCCTCCTGCAGAGCCAGCGGCTGCTCCGGTCCCTGACCCTCCTGCAGAGCCAGCGGCTGCTCCGGTCCCTGACCCTCCTGCAGAGCCAGCGGCTGCTCCGGTCCCTGACCCTCCTGCAGAGCCAGCAGCTGCTCCGGCCCCTGACTCTCCTGCAGAGCCAGCGTGTGCCCCGGTCTCTGACCCTCCTACAGAGCCAGCGTGTGCCCCAGTCTCTGACCCTCCTGCAAAACCAGTGTGTGCCCCGGTCTCTGACCTTCCTGCAGAGCCAGCAGATGCCGCAATGTCCGACCCTCCTGCAGAGCCAGCGAGTGCCCGCAATGGCGCAATGTCCGACCCTCCTGCAGAGCCGGCAGATGGCGCAATGTCCGACCCTCCTGCAGAGCCGGCAGATGGCGCAATGTCCGACCCTCCTGCAGAGCCGGCAGATGGCGCAATGTCCGACCCTCCTGCAGAGCCGGCAGATGGCGCAATGTCCGACCCTCCTGCAGAGCCGGCAGATGGCGCAATGTCCGACCCTCCTGCAGAGCCGGCAGATGGCGCAATGTCCGACCCTCCTGCAGAGCCGGCAGATGGCGCAATGTCCGACCCTCCTGCAGAGCCGGCAGATGGCGCAATGTCCGACCCTCCTGCAGAGCCGGCAGATGGCGCAATGTCCGACCCTCCTGCAGAGCCGGCAGATGGCGCAATGTCCGACCCTCCTGCAGAGCCGGCAGATGGCGCAATGTCCGACCCTCCTGCAGAGCCGGCAGATGGCGCAATGTCCGACCCTCCTGCAGAGCCGGCAGATGGCGCAATGTCCGACCCTCCTGCAGAGCCGGCAGATGCTTTAGGGCCTGATATACAAGACTCAAACACCGAGAGGAGAAATGAACGGTATCCTCTTCTGAAGGAAAAGGAAGATGTTCTAAATGAGACTCAAGGTCAGGATTCCGCTGGTCAGGGAGAGTCCCCTCAAAATACACCACCCTGTATGGATGGTGATGTAGACATGAGCAGTCCATCTGAAATGCCCCAAGACCCCTCAAGTCCCCTGGGTCAGCAGGATGGGAGCAATGAAAAAGACCTACCAGAAGAGGAGGAGGAGGAAGATTTTGACGACTTAACGCAGGATGAAGATGAAGAAGAAATGTCTTCTGCTTCAGAGGAATCTGTGCTCTCTGTTCCTGAGCTGCAGGTATAATTTATTTTATTTTTTTAGTTTTATATAGATAATGCATTAACGCACAATAATGCAAAAAATACATTGAAAAGGTGATACAACACAGTTTAGAGATGCTTTGTGCAGCTACAAGCAGACTCCTTTCTGACCTGAAAGATACTCTCCAGTCTATAGTATCTCATTCTGGTCTGTGGGATCTGGTCTTATACCATATACTATGAGTAGTTTGCACACTCCAACTCTAGGCTCAGTATCTCTGAAGATGATCACCTTCGAAAAGGGGAGAGTTCTTGGACAGGTTCCTTGCACCTTAACCACTTAAACTACTTGAAGGGTGCTTAGAGCAGTGTTAATTTTGTTGACTGAAACAAAAACAATTCAGATAACTAAAATACGACTAAAACTAAAATGGCTTTTTAGTCAGAAGACTATGACCAAAACTAAATTGAAATTTACCAACAAAATTAACACTTGCTTAGAGCGATCACTTAATATTTCAGATGGTGTTGGTACATTAATGTGAAATTGTGAGTACTACAGGTTACATTTCCCAACATAATCTGGGTTAATTGATAGGAATTCCAGTGAATTTCATATTTTTAAGCTTGAAAAGTGAACTGGAAGAGTTCTCAAAGTCTGCTATGGTTCCAGTCCAGCTACTTTGACCTTAAATTTGAAATCTACTTTGAATTCCTGGCATTTTTCATTGTAGTAAATGATTTTTATTGGGGCTTACTTTCAGGTCACAGAGATCTTTTTTTCAAATATTTGTGGCTTTTGACTTGTTAAAAAGGAATATGCCCCAGAATTAACGTAATAAATACATGCATAAATTCAGCACTAGCATGAATTAATATATCCATTTATGACACATGAAGTATATTTAGGATACCGTATCTGTGTTTACCATGTGTATTCAGCCCACCAGAGCAAAGAGCATGGTGGGTAACTGTTATGGTTTCTTATTCCATGGGGACAGGAGACCATGGAGAAACTGACGTGGCTGGCATCAGAGAGGCGATTAAGTCAGGAGGGAGACTCTGAAGAGAACTCTCAGGAGGAGAACTCCGAGCCAGAGGATGAAGAGGAGGAGGTAGAAGGGGCGGAGAGCTCCACAAGGAAAGAGGAAGAAATGACTGATGAGGTGACTGCCGAGAGCACCACACCTGCACCCACTCATCCCCACATTCCTTCTCCTGTTCCCATGGAAAGCTCTGCAGCCCCAGCAGGTGAGCTCTACAGCCAAAGCTGCACATGAGATTTACATTGTGTGTGAGTATGCAGTATTCGGTTTTAATATTGTGCTTCATGTATGGGACATGCATGTGTGTACAGTCGGCTATGTTCTTCTTTGGGGCATGTGTAAGTACTGGGAAATGTTATAGATGAGACATGCATGTGTGATAGTCAGCTGCGTTATTTATTAAATATGAATCGGAGTGTGAATAGTTGGCTGTTTTTTAATTGCTAATCTTATAATTTTTATAATGACCTGTGAGAGTAACTTGTTTACTGAATTAAGTACACAACAAGCTTGTTTTGGTTGGGTTATGTATACATCAGTGTATATACACAGGGGGCTTGTAAGTGGTATCCATTAATGGCTGACGTTTGGTTATGTTTTTTTTCAGGTGAAGTGCGTAAAGGAGTAAGTAAGGGGAGGACGGTTCACAGAGTAAGGAGCAGGCGGGGTCGTGCGCGTACCAGTAAAGATGCGTCCAAACTTCTCCATCTGTACGATGAGAATATCCTGCTAAAAGATCCCCTTAGGGAACATAAGGATATGGCATTTGCAAAGGAGTATCTGAACAGGGTGAGAGGAATGGACTTATTATATATTGTCAGGGAATTTGAACTGGGTTCGGGTAGAGCCTTATGAACATGTACCTTGGATTAATTTTAAAAAGCAGTAGATGGAAAGGACTTATTACAGAGAATCAACTTTATAATAAGTGGCAGGTCATTTTATGAATAGGGAGATAACAGCCTTTTTACTGAGTGCTAGGAGATAATCTAAACATACACAGGGTTAATCACTAAAGTAATAATTCAAAGTGAGTTTTAAATTTAAAGGGGTCACCGCACACCCCTAAAGCACTTTAGCTTGCTGGAAAAAAAAGGAGTGTCTGCCTTTTTTTTTTTTTAAATAAAAAGAGCAGGTATTGATAGAAATTGACACTTTAATAAAGAGCAGAGATTGATAGAAATTGACACTTTAATAAATTAACTTACACCCCCTGGGTGACAATCAGACCGCCAGTCATGTTACTGTCTGGTTGTTTAGCTCAGTATAGCTACGCTAAAGAGGCAGCAATTGCTCAGAGTACTTGCCTTGCATTGGGAAACCTGTGATTGGACAGCCACAGAAATGCAAGAAAGTTTTCAGTGAGGGTATATCTACTAAACTGTGATTGTTTAATATTTATTTAGATAGTGTAGTGTCTTTTCACAGGGAAAAGTAGCCAAAATGGAATGGTTCTCTAAGTCAGCTATATTTCTAGTTGGGCTTATTTTTTGCCTTAAATCTGACATTTCTTTGAATTCTCATTGTAGTGGCTAACACTGACCCAGAGGAATGGCTGTATAATATATTCCCAGGGAATAATTTGAACAGGGAGAACGGAAGGCCTTATAATGGATTACAGATAAATGATCAGAACAAGGGAAAAGGAGGGGCCTTATGGATTGCAAGGAAGGGTAGTAGAAAGGCCTTATCGAGGATAGCTAGACAATAACCTGAAAGAGGGAAAACGAGAGGGCCTTGGGATAGATGCTGAACAGGGTGCATTACCCAGTGGGTAAAGCCATGCATTTATCTCATCATGTGCAGGTACGAGAAGCACTCAAGGTCGTGCCTGGTAAATATGAGCAGTTCTTGCACTTAATCTATCAGTTTGAGACCAACAAAGATACTAGGACAGCAGTGGACCTATATGAAAACCTAAGGGAAATTCTCTGTGATTGGCCCCAACTGCTAAAAGATTTTGCTGCTTTCTTATTACCAGAGCAAGCGCTGGAGTGTGGGCTGGTGAGTTTTTGACCAAAAGCATGTTACCTGCTGCTTTCTCTGTCCTCTGCCCACACTTGTTTATCCGATCTGGCCAATGCTTATTTCTTCCCAAAGCTACAAATACACTAGGCATGCTGCTGATTTTGCCATGCATGTATATTGGCCACTTAGACATTCCACTCAAGCTAACCCCTTGTATATTTTTGTACGGGGCTTTACAAATCCAAGGATACACAGAAATGGGCACTTAAGATATGTATAAGTGTGTGAATGACTAGTTATTTCTGTTTGTATGTGTTGCTAATAAGGTGGTGTGTGTGTGTGTTTAGCAGGTTAGGTATGGTTGTGATTGTGTTTTTAAGTTATTGTAGTTAACTAAGCTCGTGCTATTAAAGTACTTCCTATGTTCCTGGGAAACTGTTAGTAGCCCTTGTTAAAAACCCTCTGTAGAAATTGGTATTAAGATGTTGCATACATTGTTCATTTAAGATGATACAAATGTATTTTGGATTGAGAACATCTGTCTCTTTCATCAGTTTCAAGAGCAGCAAGCCTTCGAGAAAAGTCGCAAGTTTCTTCGACAGTTGGAGATTTGCTTCCTGGAAAACCCAGCTCAGCATCAGAAGATCATTAAACTGCTTCAGAGTTTTGCAGAATGTCCCCTCCAGGAGATTAGCAAGGTTGGTATCCCATTTCCTGCTCAGCTAAGATCTCCCCTTGATGGATCACATCCTTCTTGCGCAAATAGCATCTTCAACTGACTGTCCACTGATATTTTACGCTTTTTAAAAGTTTCCTTGACTAGCCTAGTTTTTCTTCTTCCTGACAACCCACATATTTTTGCCCTGTTAATGTATCCTGCAGACCCAGTTTCTCCTTGGCATGTCAGATTCTCCAAGATAGTCCCACTTTTTTTTTTTTCTTCTTGCTTTTATGGTTTACAGCAGCGTTTCTCAAACCTTTACGGAAAGGCCCCCTGCAGGTCTAAAAAAAAAATTCCTAAGAACCCCTGCATTAAGAAAGTCAATACTATGGGGTCAGAAATACAAATGTGTGTTCCTGACCTTGTAGTGTTAAAAATGTAGTTGAAGCCCCTTGCCCCTGATACGCCTCCTTGGTTGACATCATCAGAAATTGTTTTAGCCAATCCAATGCATTCCCATAGGAAATACCCTGGCCAATCAGCATCTCCTCGTAGAGATGCATTGAATTAATTTAAAGGTCAGCTTCTCCATGCAGAGCTGGGAGACGCTGAACATCAGTGCTGCGCAGCACTGACCCTGCAAGCACCTCTAGTGGCCGTATGAGTGACCACAACTGCAGGTGTCCCTAGGCTGTAATGTGTTTACATGAAAATGCCTGCAGTGATTGACTATACTCACCAGAACAACTACATTAAGCTGTAGTTGTTATGGTGACTATAGTGTCCCTTTAACCCCTTAAGGACACATGACATGTGTGACATGTCTTGATTCCCTTTTATTCCAGAAGTTTAGTCCTTAATGGGTTAAATTTAAAATAAAATGTGTAGACTCTGATATGTATATTAAATTTTATATTTTTATGGTAAACATGACATCATGTGAATATTGTGTACCTAAGAAGCAATGTATGAAGTATTAATCTGAAGTATGTCACAAAATGAAAGTATAATACATACTTAATAGTGACACACAGAGGACACTGACACATACACACATTTACACACAGGAAACTGACACTTAATGACACACACAGGAAACCGACAGACATAGTCACTGATTTGACACACACCTAATGATACATTAATTGACAGACATACACTGATTTTGAAAAACAGACATTCACTTACACACATTCAAATTATTTTTTAAAATTATTTTTATTTAAGCCCATCCAGTCTCCATACTTTTGAGAGAACTGGAGGGGATCCTTTACCCTGGGTCCAGTGTGGGGCTAGCATAATCTTCATGCTCTTCCAGCATTGCTCCTTCGCATGCTGTTTAGTGATACCAGGGCTGGGGTCATGTCATAACCGTCTCTTGGCATCACCGCGGGGCGTGAGGGAGCATTGCTGGTAGAACACAACACTCCTTCACCGCCTGCCTTCATTCAACCCTCCAGACATGGCACATATGGGGAGAGTAGGTACCTGGCATCCAAATAAGATGGTCCCTTCTTTGCCTTGATGCATATCCAGCCTCTTCCTGGCATACCCTCTGGAGTTAATGTACCACAAGTTAAGAACCTGTGGTTTACAGTGTGTTTTCCATTTGCAGCTAAAGGCTCAGATGTGGCAACTTTTGAAAGGCCACCATCATTTGCAAGAGGAGTTTTCTCTGTTTTTTGACCACCTCAGACCTCCAGCAAGCCGAATGGGAGAGTTTGAAGTTTTGAACTGGACTGAAGACAAAGATTACAAAGTTAGTATGTGTTGGTGGGTTAAGCAATGAGAAATGGGGGGGGAGGGGGTTGAAGAAATAATTGTGTGAGGGGGAGAAAGGGCTTTGTAGAAAGGGCTATTAGAACCTGTGAGACTGGTGTATCGGAGTAGAGGATTTAGTGAAGAATAGGTGGCAGTGGAAGTTATTGGGAGATGCAGATGGATGTGTGAAAGATAGTTATCGTAGAAGATGAAGTCATGTCACGTTCTAAATCAGGAGTGCCCAAAAGGTAGCTCCCCAGATGTTGTTGAACTGCAATTCCCATGATGCTTTGTATACCGTTGGAATGCTTTTAGAATGGCAAAGCATCGTGGAAGCTGTGGTTTTTAAAACATCTGTGGATCTGCCTTTTGGGCACCTCTGTTCTAGATGGTGCTGATTTAACATTGCAAACATACATTTTTTTGTTGTTGCGTAGTTTGATGGTTTTGAAGAGGTTTCATTGCCAGACATTGAGGAAGAGGAAGAAGGGAGTAAGGTTCAACCACCTCAGAGGAGCAAGAGGAAGAAGGATGTCAACCACGTACAGGTAAGCATGCAAAAGTCTGCACTCATCTTAACCAGCTACAGCCAAATAGCGGTCTGACTTCCTTACTGACCTGTAACGTTTATCTGTTTCTCTGTCTTTGTGTGCTTTGACTTTATCACTCTTTCTGTGTTTGAGTGCCATGCCTCTGTAGCAATCTCCGTGTTCATTGAGTTTATAGTTATCTCTCTTTGTGTGTCTTTTTTCTATGGCTGTGTGTCTTGTTGTATAGCTGTCTTTGTGTGTACTTTAGCAGTATAGAGGTCTCTGTTTCCCTCGCCTATGTTTTTTTTGTTTGTCTTTGCTGCTGCAGGATGTTGATTGGGTGGATGGAGGGAAAGATTGTCCTTGCTCTTGCCATGAAGTAGGAGGAGAACAAAGACTGAAGCGGTGTAAGAGGAGGATGTGTAATCAGTGTAGCAATAAGGTGAGTAGGTGTTACATGATAAGTAATGTCTGTTGACTTAGCATGTGTACATATGGATTATTGTCCATTTATGATACATAGGTATGCGAGAACCGAACTCAAAGAAGCAAGGAGATGCTAGAAGGAGTAAGTGGAGGGCCACAGGGTGCCGCACGCCATGCATCCTCCTTAAAGGAAGCTGGTAAGTAGCTGATCTGTCTTTTTTTTTTTTGCAGTGCATACAAGGGTAACATACAGGCATGTGGTACCCCAAAGGCATTCCACTTGCGTATTTCAGAACATAGGTAACAGTGGGGTACATAGGGACAGTGCACAATTTTTATATTTAAATACAAGAGGGTCTAGGCAAGATAACGTTCTATGCTTGTAGTCCATGCTTGACAACTTGTTGGTTTAACATTTATATATGATTAGTAATAAAGGTCATGCTAATTTATGATAGTCATACATTGGTAGTAATGCTTCAACTTTTAATTAGCTTATAAGATATATGTGTGTTAGCACAGAATTGGTATATGTTTGTATGGGTGTGCTTGGGTCATGCTTATCTTTGATAAGTGTAAGATAGGTGTTTCTCCGTGGGCGCTGTGAGGGTATGCATATTCGCATACCATGAAGGTAGGATGAGCACATGTTGCTGTAAAAGTGCGGCTTAACTGCGTGGGTACGGACATTGATGGGGTAAAAACATATATTGACTTCTGCGTGGTATGTCAGGTTATGCTTTGGTAGTGTCAGTATATGACTGGGCAGCGTTCATGGGTGAGCGTGGAGATGGGTGCCCACTCGCTGGTTGTTCACCCTATACCTTCAGACGGGAACCGCGTCTGCGGCTCATGTGGGTTGTTGGTCAGCCATGGGTCAACCGGTTGCTCCCTCCAGCTCCGGGCTTGTTGCGAGGCCAGCATCTTGTTGCCACGGACTCGGGGACTTTCAAAGGCCGGGTCCTTCCCTTTCAGGGTAGGTCGGGAGACCATGGTGTTGTACCGCTTTTGGCGGGGAGGTCTCCGCCTGCGTGGTCGATGCGCCGGGGTAATCCCCATGGTGGCCTTCGGCCCAGATGGGCAAATGTGCAGAGATTTTGGCTGCTTTATCCATTCTTTGCCCGAGGGTAGCTTAGGTCCACTCTGGCCGGTGCCGTTGTGTCTGCTTCTCGTGCTCCTGCTTTCTTGCATCCTCAGCTGTTCCGCTTCGCATCGGGCCTAGATCCGTGCCCAGAATGCTTCAAACAGTGCGTTTAGGCGGGTGGTAAGCGAATCTCTTGTGTCAGGTCTTCATTCCGGAGGACCAGTTCCTTCCCTGGGTTGCGCGTCCGCCATTTTAACATGGCGGCTTGCCTGCCGGCTTGGAACGTGGTGAAGGCTGGAGTCAATGATCGAGGTCCACGGAGGTGTACTGCTTGGGACCGGGATAACCCCCACCAGTCCTAAGGGGGCAGCTGTATTCCGTGGGTGCTGCTTGTCTGAGTGGGTTGAGAGCGCGGCCGCCCCTCTCATACCCTGCTTGGCGTAGGCCTCAGGTCCCGTCCCGGTCATTCCCGGAGGTTATGCTGGTCGTGTGATTCATCTCCCCGGTTCACCAGATTCTGCGGATCAGGTAGTGGTATGTTGCGGTGTGTGGTTCATTCGTTTTCAGCTGTTAATTGGGCCCAGGCCCGGGAGCTCATAACATAGCTGATCTGTCTTTGCATCCACCCTTCCAGTGATCTGAAAGAGATTTTATAAATACATATTTATATTCCCACCTTGCAAGGAGGTTTGTTACGGAAGGAGGATCCTTCTTCTTCATCGTCTGTTCATTCTGTAGCTCTAGAACAGGGGGTCCAAAAGGTAGATCCCCAGATGTTTTAAAACAACAACTTCCATGATGCCATGTCATTCTAAAGAGATGCAAAGCATCATGGGAGGAGTTGGCTCTGGGGATCTACCTTTTGGGCACCCTGCTCTTGAATATCATGGAATGAGGGTTCTGCGTTTTTTCCTTTGTTTCTTTTTGCCCTAGATAAGGGCATAATGATTCTAGCTAATGGACTACTTACCCTCTATTCTTTTTTTTTTTTTATTTAGTATCTTATGGATTGGTTTTTCCTTTCCTCCTTTTGTGTTAACTTGATAGTTTTAGTATCTTTTTCTATGTCTCATAGTCAGGAAAGAAGATTGTGAAGGAAGATTGGCTGGAGCTAAAGGAACGCCACTGGCAGACAGGCTGATGGCAGGAGAGAAAGGAACAGTTGGCGGTAGAGCATCATCCATTCCCGACAATGTGGTCACTACATCGAAGTCCCGGAATACTGGCTGTTCTGTTTACAGTAAACGGAAGCCTCCCACATTGGGTCACAAAAGTGGCAGGAAATCCTTGGCAGTTACGCTTCCAGATCCTGATCTACCATCACAGAAAGCTCTTGATAGTTTCTCCCATCTGCCCTCCTCTCCTCTTCTTCCCCCCACATGTACCTCTGTAACTGCTGCTGAAGACGACAAAGATAACACGGAAAGCATCCCAAGTTGTTCCACCTCCCAAAAATTGGATTCTACATCAGTTAGTAGCCAGGAGAGTAAAGATGTTTACACTCAACAAGAAAAGAAATGCAGCGAAAAAGAGGAACAGACTCTTACTGTATGCGCCCAAAACATTACGGTCAGCTCGAGTGGAGAAAAGGTCATCCTCTGGACCAGGTACGTGAAAGCATTAAAGGAACTCTCCATTAACATTTTATTTTTTAACAATTTAGGACATTATTCACTAGGAACATTCAGGTATGTTTTCCTGTATGATTTCTTGGTGAGGTGTGAAAAAAAAACTTTGCAAACCCTCCTTTTAATACTGTGCATGGGGAATGACCAATGATTTCGTATTGAAGCTTCTCAGTGAGCTGTAATACTGAGTTTGACAGCCAGGGAGGTGTTTCTCACCCTTCTGGCACTTTGATAATCTGTCAAAAATGACAGACTCCAGAAACACAGCACATCAGCACTGTGTTTGAAGTGTTCCTTTATGGATGACAGACGTTATTTGAGTAACCATAAGGTCTCTAATGGTACACTCTAAGCACCAAATTAACTTTAATGTAATGAAGCAGTTTTGGTGACTAGGTTATGCAGTATCGCTGCTCAATTCTCTGACATCTAGGAATCAAAAAATCACTTTTGTTTCTGTTTATGCAGCCCTAAACACACATTCCCTGGCTGTGACTGACACAGCCTCCATAAAAAAAATGGTTAGATTTTTAGATCAAATTTCACTGCATAGTGATTAAATTAGATGTTCTTATTTCCTACTCTGTTAATTGAACTTTAAAAACATACAAAATTAAACCCTGTGCTCAAACTACCACAATTCCTGGGCTGTACCAAGGAATATAGTACACATCATTCACAATATATAGAATAAAAACCGAGAAAAATTACATGTAAACTATCACAAATCCCAAAGCATATTTAAGTACATGGATGCATTTTTTTGTTTTTTTTTAGTTGTGTATAGATAATACAAAGAGGCTTGCAATGCCACAACAGCTAGAGCAAGCATTTTAATAGACATAGATTGACAACTGTATGGCATTTGATAACACTGCACATTTTTATGAAATAAAATAGAATAAGAGAAACAAGCTAGCCTACACGGAAAAGGATAAGTGATGCATTTGCAGATTACTCAGATGTGTCCTAACATTAGACTTAATAACAGTAATTTTACTTACCGTAAATTCCTTTTTTCTCTCGTATAGTGGCAGTACTTACAAGTGGGATGTTCCTTCTGTATTGGACAAGAAGCTCCCCCTTCTTTAAAAGAAAATGGAGTGCCCCGCCTCCTGCCCCTATATATCCTGTACCTTAGAGGAGAACTCCAGTAATACAAAATAACCGAGACAGAAAACTGCAAAAAGTTATTAAATTCATAAAAAGTGGAGGGAAAGACAGTACTGCCACTATACTTAAAAAAATTTACGGTAAGTAAAATTACTGTTTTTTTCTCTCGTATAGTGGCAGTACTTACAAGTGGGATATAGCAAGATCCCAGAAAATGAAGAAAGGGTGGGAACTTAGAAGGCTACCGCCTGTAGCATCTTATGCCCAAAGCAGTTTAAAAGGATGAGAATATGTCCAGCCTATAACATGAATGAAACGTATGCCATGAAGACCAAGTAGCCACTTTACAGATGTCTTCAGGCGAGGCAGCTGCCTTTTCTGCCCAGGAAGTTGCCATAGCCCAAGTGGAGTGGACCTTCAATGGTAATCCAATCGGAACCCTTTGGATTGGTAAGCCAGCTAAAGGTATCAATTAGCCCTCTGGACAAAGAATGTCTGGAGGCAGTACAACCTTTGTTAGCTCCCTGGAAGAAGACAAAGGGATGATCTGAAGGGTCCTAAAGCCTTGTGTTCTCTGAAGATATATTTTCAATGCTCTTCTAACATCAAGGAGATGCCACTTTCTTTCAAGATCCGACAAAGGAGATTGGCAGGAGGAAGGTAGAACCATAAGCTGGTTCATAAATGCAATTGAAAGAACGTCGGGCAAAAAATGAAGGCCTGGGGTGCAGGACCACTTTGTCTTGATGAAAAAAAAAAATAGAAAAAAAAAATTCAGGAGCTGAAGATAGAGCCTGAACTTCACCTATCTTTTAAATGAGTTGAAAGCCACCAGGAACGCCATCTAGAAAGACAGCAGTCTCAGGGGAACCACTAGGAATGGTTCAAAAGGGTTTGAAGAACCCAGGACAAATCCCAGGTAGGAAAGGGAGATAGCTTGGGAGGACGCTTTAGACGTATGGATTTAAAAAGCCTGCGGAAAGCCACTGTTGTGGTATTGCATAACTGCATCCTTACTGTCCGATTGGCGGTAACGGGACCGAAAGACATTGGTGCCTTCCATATAGGTCCTGTACAGCTATTTGCTTTTCACCCTCTGAAGTTGGAGAAAGCCTTTGCATTTATCCCGTTCCAAACACCTTGACAGAACTGAGAACCTAGATGGGCGCCCCAACCTGTCTGGGAAGCCTCTGTGGTAATCGTAATCAAACTTTTTAATGTAAAAGAGAGGTCTTTTGAAATGTTATTAGCCTTTCCACCAATTCAGTTGTTTCTTCACACCTTTGTCTGACCATTGGGAAAGAATATCCCATTGAAATGGTCTTAAATCCGCTTTTGCCCACGCCACTGCTGGGAATGCAGAACTGAGGAGTCCCGGTATACTCATTGCTTCCCTGATGGAGCTTGAGTCTTTCCGCAGACCTGTCACAGCTTTGGAAAAAGGTCTTTGTTTCGACCTTGGAAGGACAAGAGACAGGGACCTTGAGTCTACCCGAAGATTTTTTGGGTTTAGGAGCCAACCATGTTCTTTCCCAACTTGTAGTGATCTCGAGGAGTGATCTCAGCAGTAAAGATGTGAGGAGTAGATGACAGGCCAAATGGTAGCGCTTTGAACCGAAAGAGGATGCTTCCGGGAGGACTCGGATACCGGCACCTGGAGGTAGGCATCTTTAAGGTCTAATTTGCTTGAATTCTTCCTTGAAGGATGTGTGCAAGCGTTGCCCTTCTTGAGGTCTAGGATAGGCCGGAAGGATCCGTCTGTTTTTTTTTACTAAGAACAGGTGAATGTAGACTCCTCGACACTCCCATTTTTTTAGGCACCTTCTCAACCACATCCTTGCGTAAAAGGATAAGGGATACTGCCAGGAGTGCCTCAGATTTCTTTATCGACAGAGAACCTGACAGCAGGAAAGATGGTTGTGGTATTGCAGAAGACTTGATTCAGTAACCTTCTAAATGGTTGTTTGAATCCAACAGGTTGATGTTATATTCTTTCATTTGTTGGGATCACTTCACCCGGTTTCTGAAATTTACAAAAAATGTCCTTTCAGATACCCTCTGAGTAATGAAAGGAAACGCTGACCCCTGAACAGATAACTCATATTTTTGAGGTCTCGAATCTAGAGGTAGAGCCTTCTTTGTTGCAGACATTTGCTTAATGTCTTACATGGAGTAACAAAAAACAAGTACCCCTCGAAGGTAGATAACACAAGGTGGCTTTTGAGGCTGAATTAGCTGTCCATTTCTAAGCCATAGGGCTCTTCTAGCCTCTGAGGAAAAACCCATGATTCTGGCAGATGAACGTAGAATCTCATCAGAGGCATCCAAAAGCTCGTTAGATAGTTTCAGGAGGAACATAAGCTGGACAGGATCGTTATCAGATTTTCCCATAAGAGACTCTTCTAGGGCTTGGAGCCAAATGCTCTGTGCTCTAAGAACCGCTGAACCTGTATCTCGGCTTCAACAAGAAATCCCCATACAAGAACTAACCAGGACCGAGTCCGGATGGCTACTGAGACCTAACGAGCTCGGGCACTTTCAGACTGGTATGGTCATAGGCTCTTGCAGTTTGAAAAATAAGTTTGCCATTCTTCAAAATAAACGTCTATCAGGATCTTCCAAGCTCTTTGTAGGAGATCCATTAGTTTGGGAAGCAGTGGGAAGCATTTAACCTTACCCCTGGAAGGTTCAGGTTCCTGCACAGCTGTCACAACTTTTCTTTAAGAATATTTAGCTTGCGGCACTGAGGTTCTTAGTTGGACTTCCATACAAGTACTAACCAGGCCTGAGTCTGCATGGCTTTTGAGATCTGACAAGATCAGGCACTTTCAGACCGGTATGTCCGGAGGCTGCTGGTGGAAAACCTTCCTCCACACTTGAAGCCAAACTGGAAATGTCAGAAGGTGAGTAAGAACATTCCCCTGATGAGAGCTAAGACAGGGAAGGAGACACTCTCTCCTACGTTGTCTGAATCTATGAAAGATTCAAAAGTCTGGGACAAAAATTCCTGGAACCAGCACAGGAAGGACAACATATCAGATGCTCGGCTTTCTCTAGCAATACCATGGAGCACTGATAGCAGGTCTTTTAGGACATCCGTCCGGTAGAGGGACTGCACATCCCAGACAACATAGTGCTTAATAAGTATACTAATGGCCTTTATAGGGACAGAAGCTGACAACTGCTCTTTACCAGACTTATCTGGATTATATAAGCATGCAACAGTGACAGGTGTCAAATGGTAGTTTAAAGCGTTAAATCTCACCTCAAGCACCTCATAACCGTGTAAGAGGACTGGTGACACGGGGAACCAGACTGTACACCCACCCTTGGGGTCAGTCAGGTTCTGCACAGCTTTAAAAGCCAAATATCTTTTAAATTTTATAAAATTTTGCGCCAAATTCACTGACCCTGTTTTGCGCATGCGCAGTAGCGCGATTCAGTGTTCAGTGGAATGCACTACCTCCATGCGTGCGTTTCACTGGTGTGCGCATGCGTTTGAAAAAATTAGTGGGAGGTCCGCCTGGGATTTCTAGTGACCACAAATAGAATGATTTCCGGTCGCGTTCCGTAACGCAAATCCGTAAGTATGCCTGCCGCTCAGCTGCCACCTGGGGAGCTATCGGGCACTCACCTCCCCGATCAGCAGCCTGTGCTGACCGCACTATTCTCCACCTGGATCCTTGGAGGAGCTGTCCGTCCCGTTGCCGGGACTAGAAGAACTGGAGTTCTCCTTTAAGGTACAGGAGGCGGGGCACTCAATTATCTTTTAAAGAAGGGGAAGCTTCTTGTCCAATACAAAAGGAACATCCCACTTGTAAGCACTGCCACTATACGAGAGAAAAAAAAATCTATAACTGAGAAACGTAGCTTGAGTTTGGACACTGCTATAATAAACAAGAGTATGTGTACTCAAGGTGTCAAGCACATCTAAAGTATAAGGAGGAGTAAAAAAAAAAGCCACTGGAGCTTTTCTATAGTTATGTTAAAAGCCACCAAAGGACTAAAAGGTAGGAGAGGTAAGACTTTATCAAGCATACTGGCCACATGAAATTGTCCCCCAGCTTACACCAGCCACCAGGTCCCCAAAATCCAGCCAGTACTAGACCATCAGATCCAGGGCGCCACACAAACCCGCATCCTTGCCATCAGATTCAGTCTGTCCAGCAGCCGTAATCGGAGTACCCAGAGAGGTACTAATGACGTTGCTGTCGCTTGCGGACTTCCCTCCAGGGTATAGGGCCATTGTGAGGAGTCTCCATTAGGTTTGAACCCAGTGTAAGTAGCTGTAGCTGCCAAATTCAAGTGCTGGGCGCATGACGGCACAAGGACCATAGGAACCAAAAGCATTAAAGCCTCTGTCTCGTCGAGTGTGCCTCTCCGCAGGCTTATCGTTAAACTTTCATTAGGGTTCCAGGCTGCAGCCATCTTAGAAGAAGGTCACCCAGGCCCTTAGTGTGGTCTGCCAATGAATAGCCTCTGAGTGACTTATGAGTCCTCCAGCAGGGACTGGGATAACCCCCACCGGTCCAAAGGGGGGGATGGTACGGGACCAGTCATACAATGGAGCGACGTGTTAACACGCAGCTTCGGGTCGGAGAGCAAAACAGCGGGTATAAAGGTAGGCCACAATCCCAGGGATTACACACTCCGGGGCTCTTATTCTCCGGTTCCAGGTCAGATCCACATTACCGGTAGTCACAGTAATAATATGCTGCAGTTTTCCAGTGCAAGGTAGCCAGGTAGGTATGTTTTAATTGATTTTAGGCCAGAGCCCTCTGGAGCTGTTCTGACATGCAGCCAGCCAGCATGGCTGTAAGCCTCGTGTCAGGGCTTACCTTAGTTGGGAGTAAGGTAGGCAGAGATTTGTGCTCACCCTTGCAGATATACACAGTGCAAGGTGATAAGGTTAGAAACCACCAGGACTGTGAATCTGTGCACGGGGGCTGTGCATGAAAGGTGATACAATTCGCAGTACAGACAAAGGCAAATCCAGAAGAGTAGTCAGACACGGTTCCAAAGGTCAGGGAAGGCAATAAACAGGCAATTACGAAGATCCAGAAGCAGGGGTCACTAGCCAAGTCAATCTATAAGGAACAGGAAACAATGAACTGACAATGTTCTTAGGGAGGGGCAGTGTTTTATGCCCAGCTAATGAGTGAACTTAGATGGACAGGTAGGAGCCACTGCTGATGTCCAAACCCCTAGTGCTGCAGGCAATGCCAGGAAAACAAGATTAAAACCAAAGTTCAGAAGTGGCTCAGAGGCAGGAACTCTGGCTTAGGATGCAGAAGGCCCCAGGTTCAAATCTCCTGCACTTCTGTGGCGACCGCGCCTGGCTGTGTGGATGGCACGGTGAGAACCGTGACACCTCTCCCCCCAACTGGAGGTTTTTTAATGTCACTTCAATGGCCATTAAACTTCTTAGCTGAGTTCTACACTAACAATTAGCATTGCTGCTTAACATTGCAACATCTTTAATAAGACTGGGATATTTTTCTAAACCCCTGCGCAATAATTAACCTTGAATAGATTACACATGGGGTGGACGGCAGCACTATAACATGGCTGGGTAAATATAAACATACAAAATTAAGCCATGTGCTTAAACGCTCACTACTCCTGGGCAGCAGCAATGACTACAGTACCCATCAGCCCCAATACATAGAAAAAAAAATAGAATTAACTGCGCACTATCCCAAATTCTCATATTGAACTTGCACACAGGAGAGGCTCCTGCAGGCTTTAGCACAGGGGTAGGCAACCTTCAGCACTCCAGATGTTGTGGCCAAATCCCCCATAATTCTGACAAAGCATCATGGGAGGTGTAGTCCAAAACATCTGAAGTGCCAAATGTTGCTTATACCTGCTTTAGCAGATTATTGAGCATGACATAAGGTCTTTTGAATTAAAAGAAGAAAAAAAAATCTCTCAGCCAGAGAGGTGTGGTTAGATATGCACAAACAAAGTGATTTAAAGTGGATGTGTTACTGAACAGATCCCTTTTCCCTTCCATTTTGGGACCTGAGGCCATCTTTACGTTTTAGAAGATGGCAGCCCTCTGAAATAGTATTCTCTTCCCATTGCTGTGCACACTTTTCAGCTGACAGCCAAAGAAATAAGGAAACTGAGCATGTTCAAAATACAGGCTTTGTACATGCTGAATAGGGGATCACAGGCGCTTCCAGTGACCTCCATTTTCTCTCCCAATTACGTAGTTGACAAAGGCCATGGAGCTTGATTAAACGTCCACCATTCTGTCATCCTTCGAGTTAAACATAAGAAAATATAGTCCCTACTATTTCTTATGTTTAACTTAAGAATTAAAGGGATGCACTAAAACTACTTTGGTTTAATGAAGCAGATTTGATGTAGAGATCATGCCCCTGCAGTCTCACTGCTCAGTTGTCTGTCATTTAAGAGATTAATCACTTTTGTTTCTGTTTACACAGCCACACCTCCCTGAATCTGACACGTACAGACTTCCTTAACACGTCATATAAAGAGATCTAATGGTTATACTTCCTTTATTGCACATTCTGGCAAATCACTAAATGGCAGAGAATTTAGCAGGTGGAATGCAGGGGACTCCTTCTTTCTCTAATTCACTATTGTTTGAGATAAAGAATGAACAAGTAACTTACACCCTTAGTGCATGACTTTGCATGTATCTTCATTAAAGGGAAACAATCAGTTTTCCTGGGACTGCAGGTCCCCTCTCCCTCCCACCCCCCCAGTCCCCGGTAGCTGAAGGGGTGAAAACCCCTTCAGTAACTTACCAGAGGCAGCGACGATGTCCCAGGTCGCTGCTTCTTCCTCCACGCCGCTCCTACCTGTGATAGCGTTGGCCGATGGGCGAGACTGATCCCGCCCACCGGCCGGGGAGACCTAATGTGGTACGCATGCGCATTAGAGCTCCCCATAGGAAAGCATTGAAAAGCATGGGGAAATGAGCGACGCTGGAGGTCCTCACACAGCGTGAGGACGTCCAGCGACGCTGCTAGACACCAGGAAGTGCCCTCTAGTGGCTGTCTAGTCTAGTAGACAGCCACTAGAGGTGGAGTTAACCCTGCAATGTAATTATAAAAAAACTGCAATAATTACTCTTGCAGGGTTAAGAGTAGTGGGAGTTGGCACCCAGACCACTCCAATGGGCAGAAGTCGTCTGGGTGCCTGGAGTGTCCCTTTAAGTGTTATCTGCCATTTGAGTGCCCAGTCCCCGGTCTATCTAAATCGTTCTTCCAGCGAAGTAATGTCCTGCTTACACCATATTACTTTAGAGTTTTGTGTCTGAAACATAACTTTCAGTGCCTATTTGTTTTTTCAATTTATATTTTTATTGAATGTTTGCATTTAAGCATTCATTCTTGTCAGAGTATCACAGTGGAAAATAAACATTAGAAACTTAACAGTACATTTCTGTTGTGGGTAAGCAAGCATTTTGTGGATGCTTTTCCCTCTTTAGAACGTGGGTGAGTATGTGCCTGGTTCCTCCGGTCTCCTCCAACGCAGGGACTCAGATCTCGTTGTGTGTTATTGTTCTTGCCAGGGGGTCTGGGTTGTGTGCACAGAGCCTAGGATGGTAGTATTGTCTCGGGAGGGCTGGAGTATAGGAGGGAATGGACCCATGCAACTGGTTCGTGTGCACTGCCCTATATATTTGGTTCAATGCCCATTTCAAGATCATTTATAGTCATGTTGAATTGTAGCAGTTCCAGAATAGAACCACGAGGGACACGACTTACCACTTTTGTCCAGTTTGAAAATTTACCTTTAATGACAACTCTCTGTATTCTGTCTTTCAGTCAATATTATACCCAAAAACAAAAAGTTTCATCTAGACCAAGCCTATTGTGTGGAACTGTATTGAATGCTTTAGCAAAATTCAAGCAGATCAAATCCACTGCAACATCCTGATCCATACTTCCACTTACTTCATCATAGAATGCGATAACAATGGTTTTCCCCAATGAATTTCTGAAAATTAATTATCCCTTGATAACCCTTCAAATACTTTAACAGATACAGACGTTAAGCTCACAGGTATTTAATTGCCAGGCAAATTTAAACATCTTTAGTTTAGAAAAGCGTCACCTCATAGGGGATATAACAGTATACAAATATATCCGCGGCCAATACAAACCATTGTGTGGGGGGGCGTGTCCGGCGGCCGAGGAAAATGGACGCCTAAAGCAGAAGCTCCTTGTGGCGCCCGCAACAAAAGAGCCAGAACAGCGCATACCGCTCGACCACGCACAAAATATGGGTCGCACACGGAAGCCCGCAGACCCCAGCAGCACCCCGAGGTCGTCAGGCAGGGAGGGGGAGCAATCCATCCGCTCCTACCTTCAAGCCACGGCCCGCCCGCGGTCACCGCAACGGGAGATGGAGGAGGTGAGCCAGGGTATAGAGTCCTTCCCCTCCACACCGGCCAGACTGTCACCCACACCCTCATTCAGCTCTGAGCCACAATTAACGCAGGAGGGTGAGTGGAGGGCCATACTGCCAAATCTCCTCACTAAAGCGGACTTTGAGGCCCTGTCAGACCGCCTAGGCAGAGTGGTGAGGGAGGAGGTGGCCCAGCTACGCGCAGACCTGGCTAATGTGGAGGCCCGCATGTCAGTAGCGGAGTCAGAGACCAGAGCGCTCCGTACAGACCTGGAACACACCAACTCCACAGTCACCAGCCAGGAAGCAGACCTAGCCAGTCCCACCACATGGGTAGACGATCTGGACAACCGCGGCCGCAGACTGAACCTGCGCATCCGCGGGATGAGGGAGGGTGACCCAGCGGAACACATACCCGACACCCTAAAGAGGCTGTTCGCTCAGGTACTGGGGGGCCAGCAAATACCCAGACTTGGCATAGTAAGGGCACACAGGGCACTGCGACCAATGCCGCCACCAGAAGAACAACCAAGAGATATCATATGCTGCCTAGAAAATTACCAATTGAAAGAAGACATCCTGCGCACGGCCCGACGCATGGGAACCATACGCTTCGAGAATCAAACCATATCGATTTATCAAGACCTATCTAGATACACCCTACAAGCCAGAAGAGCGCTACGCCCAGTAACATCCACCCTGCAACAAGCTGGAATACCATACCGCTGGGGTTACCCATTCTCACTCTCAGCTAGACACGGCCAGGTTCAACATACGGTGAAGAAACCAAGCGATCTCCCAGGTTTCCTTCGAGCCATGGGCATCCCACCGATCCAAGTACCAGACTGGCTGGCAAGCTCCTTTCTCCAACCACCGCCCGGACCACAACAGCCGCGCAGACCAGACCAGGGTCCCCCAAGACTCCAGCAACAGCGACGCAGAGACTGGAACCCAGGCCCGGCACGACAGGAGCAGGAGAACTAACAGAGCACCACGCTGAGAGGAGGGGCTGACGATCCAGAGATCAACTCGAAACAGGACACAAAGGGCAAACTGTGAGTACTATTTGGGGTCACACGCGAAACTATAACAGCCACACAGACCACGATGGGGAGGGGGATGGTGGCATGGGGGAACAGGAGCGAAGCACACACTGAAGGGACTGTCAACGGCAAGAGCTCCTTGTGGAGGAAACGCCTTGCCCGCTGTCAGGGCCATGGGGAGGACAAAACAGGACGATTTGGGTGGGATACGGGATCCAGCTCCTGCACCGGCACGATAAACCCCGGACGGACAACGCAACTTGGCGGTGTTATGACATGGGACACAATACTGGCCGAAAGACGCCAACAAAGACACAACGCAACGGAGGGAGGGAGGGTCAGAAGGGGAAATGTCCACTGAAAGGGGGGAAGAAGGGGAGGGGGTGGGGAAGGAATGGGGGAACACACGCACACAGGGGAAAGGGGGGGAAAGGAAACAACAACAAAAAAAAAACCCAAACACGGGGGAAAGAAACAGACACAGCACACGAGCAAGGAAATAGGGGAGAGGGGACCAACGAGACAGACGAGTGGGACAAGCCAACAGGAGCTAGGGGTAAACAGAAGGGGACCCGTGACAATAACCTATAGGCATAATCCATAGGCACAACCCCCGACAGAATCACTTCCCAAGCAAACCACGGATACACATTAAGCATAGGCACCAAAGGAACCATTGGCAGAGGGGCCACAGTGGAAAGCACCCGAGATGACCCAACAGGAACCCAACACGAGACCGCCCCAAGGAAACCCCACCCATCATATTAGCGCACAGACGACATACCACATACGACGCGCACCACACACACGTTATCGTCAGGCAGCCCACAGACACAACAGGTGACCTAAACACCAAACAGAAGCCAGAGATGGAGTAGGAAATAGAACAACTAGTCACGCTGGAACCATGGGAAATAGGAAAATACAGGGACTGAAACCCAGACACGCCGGACCCATACCCACATCATGCCCACATCATCGGTGTGGCACAGGCAGGAAGGTAGCGCCACCAGTCAAGTTACCCCACTAGAATGACACCACTCACAGGCCCGGATAATAGGACGGCCCCGACCCCACAAGACCCGGAACTGCAACGAACACACGCCTAGATAGGAACACGCGAAGCGAGATAACATGTGAGACAAAGACATGCACAAGCTAGGAAGCACCACCGCGGCAGACAGTAACACGCATGCTACCTGAAAGATGACCCATGCAAGCACAATACCGAAGAGAGGGAGCGGATGCTCCAATATCATAGCCACTAAGGAGACATGCGACCACACCCTACATACCGAACCAGGTAACACACCCCTCACCTACATAGCACGGACCGGCTTCACAAGGCATAAAGCCCGACACCCCAATAGGCATAGGACACGACTATCCCCACTCCAAAGGGGACGTACTACACCCGGCACCGACGTAGGCACACCACTTGGTGAGACCTATAGGCCGAACAACCGGGACACTTGTCCATTACCCTACACACCCTCAAAACAACCAACAGCAAGTACCCACTAAGCCGTAGCCCAAACGACAATAAGACAGCACTGAACCGCACACATACACACACCCCCGCACCCAGACCCCGCCTGCCCTGCCCCCGTTGCCCCTCCGGGCCGCTGCGAGGATGCAGGCACAAGAACCCAACGGATTCGCAAGGGAGGACATATGCATCGTTTCCTACAATGTGCGAGGCCTAAATGTTAGGGAGAAACGAACAAGACTGCTAAGGGACCTAAAACACTACAAAGCAACAATAGCGTTCATCCAAGAAACGCACTTCCAGGAGGGCAGAGCACCGGCTCTAAAAGACCGCAACTACCCAACGGGATACTTCAGCCACAACCAAGATAGACGCACACTGGGAGTCTGCATCCTCTTCTCACGACGAGTCCCGTCCGAGGAGCAAGTCACCGTTCGATGCAAGCATGGCAGATATATTTTTACAAAAGGCAAAATAATGGACCAAATATACACATTCGCCAACATATACGCCCCAAATACGAAACAACACCACTTCCTCCGAAGCACACTAACCACGCTGATGAAATTCATGGAAGGCACCCTGATCATAGGAGGAGACCTCAACCTGGCGATACACCCGGGCCAGGACTCCACCTCAGCACTCGGACACATATCGATCAACAGACACGCCAACACACTCTGCCTTTTCCACCTCCACCAGCTGGCAGACTGCTGGCGAGCACTGCACCCAACTGCACGAGATTATACTTTTTATTCTACGACACACTCGACATATACAAGACTTGATTATTTCCTAGTACCTCACCGCGACCTAGCTCTGCTCACCGCGGCAGAAATCCTGCCAATTACTTGGTCAGACCACAACCCAATCCGCATACGGATTAAGTCGCCACTATACAAACCCAGACAAATGTCGTGGCGACTGAACGAATCGATCCTTTCAGACGTCTCGGTCGTAGACCAAATCAACCACCACATACAGGACTACTTCAAAGACAACGAGACAGACGACGTCACCCCACTGACAAGCTGGGAAGCTCACAAAACAGTCATCAGAGGTAGATTCATCACGATATGCGCGACCCGCAAAAAGAAGGCGACACAGACGATACAAGTACTCAGTAAGGAGATCAGGGAACTGGAGGCTAGACACAAACGCACCATGGACATGACGATATACGAGGAACTCACGACTAAACAGAACCAACTCACCGCGCACTTGAACCGAGCAATCCAACGCTCATACCAACACTACAAACATATGATCCATGAACACGGGGACAAGTGTGGGAGACTACTGGCGAACCTCCTGAAGCAACGCCGCAACCAACTGTACATTCCGAAGATTAAAGACGCACACCAACAACTCAGACACCTGCCAGACCAGATCTCGACAGCGTTCCACGATTACTACCAGGACTTATATCGCTTCCGTGAACCAGATCAAGAACTTCAGAGGCCTCAAAGAGCCGAGGACATACGCAGATACCTAGACACGGCAAATATACCAGGAATAGAGGAGGTGGACCAGGAAGCCTTAGAGGCCCCCATAACACCCGAGGAATTGGCATACGCCATCAAAAAAGCGAAAACGGGCAGGGCTCCGGGCCCAGACAGCCTACCCCTGCAATACTATAAAACCTTCGCAGCGGACCTCTTACCGAAACTACTGAAAGCCCTGAACTCAATCCAAGACGGAGCCACACCAACAGCCCAATTCACCTCGGCAAACATCACCCTTCTCCCAAAGGAAGACAAAGACAAGACGCTGTGTCCAAGCTATCGCCCGATATCCGTACTGAATACGGACCTCAAACTTCTGGCAAGCATACTGGCAGCACGCCTGGCACCACTCCTGCCGACCATAATCCATTCAGATCAAACAGGTTTTATCCCAGGGAGGGAGGTGAAGGACAACACAATCAGAGCCTTAAACCTCATAGCACATGCAAGAGGGCAGAAGACCCCAGTCCTGCTCCTGTCCACAGACGCAGAGAAGGCGTTCGACAGGGTGGACTGGGATCTGATGTTCGAAACACTCCGCCACCTGGGCATAGGCCCACACTACATGACCTGGGTACAGGCGCTCTACACGGACCCAACGGCCCGAATTCGGATAAACGGGGCACTGACAGACCCATTCCAGATTCACAACGGAACCAGACAGGGCTGCCCGCTTTCACCCATACTCTTTACGCTGACGCTGGAGCCCTTCCTGAGCAGGATCCGACAGAACACTGACGTCCGAGGGTTAACAGTCGGGAACACGCACCACAAAACCTTGGCATATGCAGACGATATGCTGTTCGTGGTTACTGACCCGGAAAAATCGCTACAAGCGATACAGACGGAATTCGACATATACGGCCGCATCTCGAACCTCCGAATCAACTACTCAAAATCGGAAATACTGAACATAAATATCAGCAACACACTTAAACAAACAATTCAGAGGCAACAACCATACCGCTGGTGCGACCGCCGAATGAAATACTTAGGGGTCTGGCTCACACCAGACGCAGGGGATCTCTACACCCATAACTACCTCCCGATACTGCGAAAGGCTAAGGAGGAACTGCGTAGATGGGGTTCTTACTACATGTCTTGGCTGGGCAGAGTGAACGCAGTGAAAATGACCCTATTACCGAAGCTACTTTTCATATTCCAAACGATACCGATAAGAGCCCCGCAAACATTCTTCGCGACACTTAAGACAGAAGTTCGCACTTTTATCTGGAAGGGCAAATCCCCACGCATAGCACATACCCAACTGATCCTGCCCAAGCTCAAGGGGGGCCTGGCACTTCCCGACTTTGAAAAGTACTATCATGCGGCACACATCGCCAGAGTAGTCTGCTGGTCGGTAGCCAGCGGCGCAAAACCATGGACACAACTAGAAGCAGACACGACCGGATGCGACCTCAGAACCCTACCATGGATCCCCAAAACAACATACGGGAGCAAACATATCACCAACCCGTTTGTGGCGGCAACCATGCGAATATGGCACGGACAAGGCACAAAACACTACCTGACAACGGACCCAAGCCCGCTCCTGCCCCTGAAGGGAAACCCAGATTTCCCGGCAGGGGATTATGGCCCCACACCAGGCCTGCCGGGACACACGGGGGTACCCCGCATGAAAGATGTCCTCCGCCACCCGTTTGAAATCAGACCATTGACGGACATATGCCCAGGCAGACCACACACATTTGCCCACACCCTAGCAAGAGCCCAAATCACCAAATATGCCAGATCCATCCCGCAGCGACCGGCAATCACGAGGGAACCAACACAATTCGAGAACTTATGTACACAGGACAAGGAACCACCACGAGCCATCTCACAAATATACAATATTCTGATAACGAGCAGGTACCTCTTAGCACCACCGTGCATCAGAAAGTGGGAAGAAGACTTGGAGGAGCAGATGACGGAAGCAGAGTGGGATAAAAGCATGACCCTGATTCAGAAAACACCGAGCTCGCACACAAGAAAACTCGTATAAGATATTTACCAGATGGTACCTAACACCGACAGCACTTCACGCCAGAAACCCAGAAATCCCAGATACGTGCTAGAGATGTTGGGAGGAGACCGGAACGTTCACGCACATATGGTGGACATGCGCCCGTATTAGACCATTCTGGGACAGAATCCGGTCGATAATACAGGAGGTCACGGATGAGCACCTGCCACAATCCCCAGCCTCCTTCCTACTACACCACACAACTATGGCGACACCAACATACAAGAGATCGGTTATCCCCAGACTCCTAAATGCGGCCAAAGTGACTATCCCTATATACTGGAAGCAAACCAACATACCACCCATATCAAAGTGGATAGAGGAGGTGGAAGCCACAAGGATATTCGAGGACATGAAAGCAGAAACCCCGAACCTCAGAGACCACCACACCAAACGCTGGTTCCACTGGACGAGACTGATCACGTCGGACTCATTCAGACGTCACATAATCGCGCCATGAAAGTCGACGGGAAGACGAGAAAGAAAACACTACGAGAAGCGAATCAAAGACGGTGAGATGCGGCGGACCGGACGGGCACGGGAGGCGGACTACCCCAACCATCCCACCCTAACCCGCACCCAGACAGCACCACATTAAGACATTCACCGACGCTACCTGAGACGAACACTCTATACACAGACAGGATAACAACCACGAAGCAGGCACACCCACAAAGACATACTCAGGAACAAAGACGGTCAGGACAGTAACAACAGAACCCCCCCCACACCTCATCCACGGCAGGCCAGGCACCCACGGGGACAAACACTAGCCCAAACACAATCACGTATACCCAAAGAACCTCGCTGTCAAACAAATAACCACACTCCGAGTAAAATCGATGTATACACACTGAAACACGGACCTCCAGGCAGGCTACACCACAATAAGATAGGGAGATATACCATAGTTGAAACACATGAACCACTGAGATGTACTAGATTACTCAAATGCTCCTTAGCACGCCAAGCAGAACACCACACTGAATACGCGGACAAAAGCTACACGGGGCCAGTCGCACACGGCAACGAAACATTAAACTACACAGCGCAACAGACACGCAGACACGTGAGCAGACAGCAGCCACACACATACATGGTAAGATATTGCACAATGTCAGATGATTTCCATTCTAATATGGAGACACAAACAGGAAATCAATAGGCCAAACACTGCCAGCAGGAAAGCGAGATACACCTAGCACGGGACCAGAGCAACCAGAGACCAGATACGACAGGGCCCGCAGACACAACTTACACAGGTAACACACGATACAAAACTCCCGAAACCAGACAAGCCTGAGCGAACGCAACAAAGGCACACCATAAGTCACGCAGATAGACACGGCAAGCAAACAAATCGATACCTATGTACTGTATCAAGCAGGCAATAACCAACCAGCCTCTGCGTAGGCGACAAAAAACTCACAAATGTCTGTATGGAAAACGTATGCCCCTGCGCGGGCAAACAATGCCTCAATACTCGCACCGATGTCACCTGCAAATGCATTACGATAACAATGGAGAAAATTGACACAGTCAATAACACATGCAGACTCTAACAGACACAACAGAAAGTCGAAAACTTCTAACAGACGCAAAACATGCAGGGACCTGCCGAGCACAACATCTACATGATGAGGTCCAAACACATATTATATATTAATGCACAGAAGCCTAAAAACTAACATGCTCCATATGTTATGATTAAAGCTGGGAATGCTCCTGTACTTTCGATTATGGCTTAATGACCGCATCTAACCAGCAAGCAGATTAACCTGCATCAGCACAGGCGACAATTTTGCATCCACTCACCAGCAAACACACAACACTTGCACACACCAGCCAACTCAAAACACCTATTTAACACTCTAACTGAACTACAAAGGCTACACAGTACATAAAAGTATAGAGCACAAAACAACCGACTGTGAATCAATATTAATAATAATAATAATAATAAAAAAAAAAAAAAAGTTAAGATAAACAGGCTAAGATGGATCCGCCTCTGCGCAGGCACCGAAGATATATACTGTGTTAACCAATGCTTAAGCCCCTGCGTGGGCACTCACTTGCTTTATTACAAAACAGTTTGACGTGTGAACTTATGTTATGCATACAATAAAAATATTCAACACAAACCATTGTGTGTAAATCTATTCACAAGCAGGACTTTACATAGGAGGTACTATACACAGAGGGACTTCCACGTTCTTAGAACCCGAAAAGTGTTTTAAGCAACGCTAGACGTCCTCACGCTATGCGAGGAACTCCAGCGTTGTCGAAATCCCCATAGGTCTAATGTGCGGCCATTGCCGGGCATGCGCATTAGGTCTCCCCTGCTGGCTGACGTCGGCGGGGGAGGAGAGTAGGGACATTGGCGCTGGACTCGGGTAAGTCACTAAAAGGGTTTCAACCTGTTCTGCAACTTGGGGTGGGGGGTGAGAGGGAGATGGGCACTGCAGGGTCCTGCAGTGCCAGGATAACTGTTTTCCTGGCCCTGGAGTGTCCCTTTAACAATTTATCACCGTTTTCTATTTAGTGAATAACCTGTGTTGTAAGAGATGGTTATATTATGGTTATACAGCAAAAACCGTGTAGTGACAGGCTATACTCACCAGAACTACTACATTAAGCTGTAGTTGTTGTGCTGGTGACTATAGTGTCCCTTTAAGTGAAAGTTCAGTTATTCACCCTGCTAACATGATGGCTATTCTGGGAGGAAGCAGGTTGTGTCCTGTTTTAATGAGAGGTTTATTTTGATGGGTTAGAGGAATTGCCATTATATGATACATTGACTCAATGATTGGATTTCCTTGCAGGGAAGCAGACCGTGTTATCCTTACGATGTGTAAGGAGAAAGGAGCTCAGGATGAAACATTTGATGCAATCTCTTCAAAACTTGGAAACAAGACTCCAGCTGAGGTGGGTAAACACTCTGCACTCCTGCTTTGAGATTAAAGGAACATTATAGTCTCAGGAATATAGATGTGTATTCCTGACACTATAGTTGTAATAACCCTATTTATGCTTATAAAGGCTTTAAAGGCTGAGATCAGTTACCTTTATTCCAGCATCTCTCCAGTCCACCTTTTTGGCTGAGATAAACGATTTTGATTATCTCAGCCAATCCAACGCTTTCCCATAGGAAAGTATTGAGAGACTAGTGTGCATGCTCAGCAAAACACTGCACCAATCCGAAGTTCCTCATCGAGATGCATTGAATTAATGCATCTCTCTGGCGAGCATTCAGCATCTCCATGCAGAGCAAGAAGACACTGACCATCTGAGTGACTGCTGCTGGAGGTGTTCCTAGGGAGCACTGTAAACACTGCATTTTCTCTGAAAACCCTGCAGGGACAGGTTAGACCAAACAGAACCACTACATTAATGCAACAGCTCATTAGATTCCTAATGGGGAGAGTGTATAGGGTTTCCATCAATTCTATTCATAGAGTATATACCTGTATATTCACAATGTGAAATGGGTACATTGTGTATAACCGTGCAAAGCATCCACTTTCTCTATGGTTATCTTCATCTTGCTGATTTTATGTGCCCATGACCAGACCGCGGTGGCCATGGGCCAAGGCCGTCAGGGAGATCACAATATCTCCCCTGCAGGGCCAATGCTATCCGAGCGCCGGCCCTGCAGTAGTCCATGGCGGGCCGGTGGTGAGATCAAAGATCTTCCTCACCGGCCCACATACAGTATACTGCGGCCGCCGGGGGAGAGAGTGAGGGACCAAGAGAGGAACCCGGGGGAGCTCTAACTTACAGCTCCGCCGGGTTCCTCTCGCGAGATTCAGGGCGTTGCCATGGAGTTCACTCACCACTAGGGATGGATGCCAGCAGCAGCAGCAGGATCCCCCCTCCCAGGCATAAGGAAAGCAGGGAGGGGGGAAATAATCACCCATGTCACATCTCACACACTTAACCCCATGACATTGATAGCATCCACACACCGGACCCCTGACACTCACATACAGCTTCCTCACACGCACCCAGCACGCACAAATTTCAAGCAAACACAGTGCAAGCATGTGATTAAATGGCTTGCGCCGTGCAGAACAAATACAGGGTCTTTTTCTAATGCTAGAGCTCTTCAGCAGTGCTCTGCGCATGATCTACCCTGGAAGAGCATTGAACCAACATGCTCACTTTGTGATGACAAAGCACACCCTATCTGGCCCTGCCCCCTTTTTAGTGGGCTGCTGTAATTAAAAAATGCCCGGGACGAATTTTCTTCCCAGTCTGGCCCTGCCTATGACGGCTTCATTTCAATGTAGTTATAGGGGTTGGGTCACTAGTGCCCTCTTATTTTTAGAGGTTATACAGTTATACTAAGGTTGGCACCCTTGGATACTCATCCTCCCGGCGCTATAGGCAAGTTTGTTTTGACGACTGGTGCTAAGCTAAAAGTAGGTGGTTTAATTGACTCCAGGTCCTATAGCCACCTCAATAAGTGGCCAAGAGTGGCCCTTTAATAAAATAAACTCACACCAAATATACTGCATGTGCAAGCAGCACAGAATTGACAAACTACATTTATGTAACATGGCAAAGTAATATGTATTGTCATCTCTACATAGGTTCCCTTCAGAGACTGACAAGCCTTTAGTTGTTCATATTTGTACAATGTATATAAAACAGCCATATTTGAACATATATACACTCTATAATAATATACAAATGTGCTGAATCTGACAGTCATATTGTTATAGCAGAATTTGTTTGTGGGTAGTAAAACTGATGACGGAGGGAGAAGAGAGAATGTTTTTATTAATTTATGATTCCTTTTTCTCAGGTCTGTCAACGTTTCAGAGAGCTTGTCAATCTTTTCCTGGCAGCATGTGTTACTAGCTCCGATGAAGAAGAGGAAGTGGCCGAGCAGATATCTGAGGAGGAGGATTAGTGTTGGGCTGGAGCGATGGACTTGTGTAGATAAGAATTTGTATAAATATGTATTATTTGTTTTAGGATGTTTACTTGTGACATTAAATTTAAATTAATGTTACTGAGTTCTGTCCTTGTGTCGATAAGACAGCTCACGGTAAGGAAAACACGTGCCTGATTTAATCATCCTCCTCCATTTCGTCCTCTGTACTGCTGTAACACTGGGCGAGATCCCTGATTTGGTGCAGGGCCTCTTCAAAATCATCCATTTCTACACCAGAACTGAAGAAGGTGGAAAAACGGCGGACATCCACCTTCCGTAATTCTTCATACAGACCACGCAGCATGTGGTATACATTTTTGGATGTCTGGAGAGCAGTGAACATAGGAACACAGTCCACACCTGAAAAATAAGAATGGGCCCATACAACGATTTATTATGCAGAGACAGCTCCTAAATGGCAACTGTAGAAACTCTTAAAGAAGGCTAGGAATGATCATGCATCAAGGAGAATCCATCTGTCACGTAAGGTGAAATCTCAGAAGGTGTACACACTTGGAAGTAGTGAAATTGTTTTAGAATGGTTTGACTTCTTCCCTGGTGTCCACTACACCCTAGATGGAGCCACAAGTTCTGACTTAAAAGCCCACTCCTGCACTACCACACTTATTTCAAATAGAAAACCCTTATCTTTCAATATTGGAGGTGGAAACCCCTGATACAAAGTTAATTACCTTAAGCACTTGAATTTGCAGTTTAAAGAAATTATGCCTTCAAGTCTTCTTTGGTTTCTCCATCCCTTATGGCGTAGATAGATCTCCACCTATAGTGGCTGCATTGTTGCAACATGGAATTGACCGCAAGCTTGATATGTGTATTGCACAAAGACCGGGGTTTATCCAGCTAACTGTATATGGATTATAAAACACCCCCAACCCTAAGCCAATTGATTTCTACAGAACTAAAGATAAGCAGGGTACTTAACCATTTTATGCCCCATTTCCACTGAATGGGTCAGTACGCTATTTTGAGTGTTTCCATTATGAAAATGGCCCATACAACCGCACCATTCCCTGTGCTCCCTTCAGCTGTAGGTCTATAGGAAATGGTACGGTTAGAGCGGAGCTACTGGCATCACTCTATACAATCCATTGGTTGGCGGACAAGAAAACTTCAGTGCTCGCGACAAATGACATGCTAGGCATTTGGTCTAAACCCTGCATGGCCCCTGGAGGTCCGACTTGCAGTGGAAACGCGCACCAGAATAGGCTGGACCATTCTAACCCTACCAAAACTTACCACTCAGTGGAAACGAGTCATTATTTATCCCCTGAATTGTCACAAATGTGGCAAGAGATTACTGCAAACTGGAGCCTGCAATATCATCCCTAAAACTTTATTCTTTTTAACCATTTCTATAGAAAAATAAAATGTTTAATTGTGTATTGATGGGATGGGAATTATTGAATAGATCAGGCTCCTGTAGTTACCTTGTGGCTGTTCACATTGCATGCTCTGTGTGAATCCTTCTCTGGTCACCACTGGAGAAAAGAACTGTGGAAATGATGGTCCTAATCTGCAGGGATCTTGGAACACATGGGGTATGCTGGGAGAGAAGAGGCAAACAAAATCTTACATAATATCCTCCTCCATCCAGCATCAATTGCTATATCGTTCCCACTTCTTTGAAAATGTTATCAAAACTTTCACAAACATATTTTAACATCTCTGCCTTGGAACCCTTAAACCTCATCACTACATTTAAATTATTTTTTTTCCCTCTCTCTCTCTCCTTTGCAAAAAAACAAACCCAAAGTCCTGTGACAATGGATTGGCTATGCCGTTCTATTAATAAATTAAAACTCACCTGACAGTGTATGCTGGATACAAAGCTTGTAAGTAACATTGCAAGACATCTTTCCCGTTGCTTTGTGCATGTAACGCAGAAGACGATCTAATCCCAGAGGAGAGATTACTAAGAGAAAAAGTTATACAACAATTAGCAACTGCACTCATTGACCAATGTGGCCTAGTATTGTGCACAGGGGAAGGTTTAAAACGATCTTGTGTGTTCTGCAATTGTATTTGGTTCCATGAATCTGTAGGAACCTTGAAATTAAGGCTGTGCTCATCAGGAACATAAGAGTAATGGGTACAGAACTCCATCTGTTACCTGTTCTGTTTGTCCTTACTGATTCCTCGCAGAACCACCGACTGGGAGAAGCACTCTGTTGTGCCACACGAGCCTCTGGTACCACATGGTGAGATAGAACGCCAGGGAGCAGCAGCCAAGTGAGAGGAAAGAGCATCCGGAAGGCTGGAACCAACTTCAATAGGAAAGGGGAGCGATGCAGTTGCTGAAACTACCTAGGTACATACAATAGGCATGTTCTAGAGAGATCATTTTATGGTAAGCAAAGGGCATTGAAATGTGAGGTCGAAAGGCTGGAAAGTGAGTTTTAGCAGTGATGACATCTATACATTTATTAAATTGATAATGATAAAACAATATTTTATCTTGTTTTGCATCAAAGGAGTATTTCTAAAATGCCAAAGGATAAGCAGGGAATTAATTAAACACACTAGTGGTTTCATCATCTACTTGTAATGTACACATTCAGAGGCAAGTGTGAGACTAAAGAACTTTATTTACATTCCAACTTTGCCTAACCCCCTTCTACTCCACACCATTTGACCCTACAGCTAAAACACCCATAAGACAAATGTCCCCTTATGCCTAATTCCAATCTGTGTGATTATGGGCCATCCCTATTATGCTCCAGTTGGTGCACACTTTAAGTATGCCACACAGTTTACAGGAACAGAACACAATGCCAAGTGTACTTTGGAAAATTAAGTAAAATTAGAGATGTACAGGCACTGGTTAACTAAACGCTGATTTTAGAATCTACTTATGAGGTCACTTTTTGGGAGTATAAATTGTGCAGCCTAACTGGTCAACATAAATTAGGTTATTGGATTTGTTACACAAAGAAGCCCACACAAACTCACCTTTCTTCCGCAGAAGTTGAGGGACTCGGCCATGTCTTGCATGGACAAGTGAGAGGCTGGCACTCTGTAGGGAGCAGTTATTGTTTCCAGGGCAATAGCCAATATGGAGCTGCTGTGATACTGTAATGCTGGCTGAAAGAACACTATCATTATAAACGACTGATTCATAAACAACGGTTCAAAGTGTGCAAAAGTAGGATAGCAAGTGAGAGAAGTTGGAAAATCAGGCACATAGGTCAATCGGTAACTATACTCACATTGTACAACAGATGCGGGAAAGAGCTGGGTGGGCCTGGTCTCCGTCCTAAACTGGAATTCAGAGAAAGGGGACAGAACAGGGAGCTCAGGCTGGACATCTTGACGAGTCCCATGATCACGTTCATCACCTGGAACATAGCCTTATGCATATTCTGCCAGCATAAGAGAATAACGCAATCACTCAAAAAATAAGCACCAAATGCAATCCATTGTATACACCTGGTAAATCCAGAGAAACCCTGGCAGTAACATTCAGTAAAAGACTGCTCTATTAGAGTCCTGTACTCACTCTCTCTCCAGACTGCACAGGACAAGTGCCCCAGGTAAGTATCCCACGCCCAGGGTACTCGTCATGCAAGAACTCCGCCATCTGGGCGCCAAGTCCAGAGAAGCCATTGTGTAGATCACAAAGCAACTGGAAACCCTAATGTTGGAGACATTGTACTAGTAAGTCCCTTTCCTGCTGTAGATGTATTCCCATTGTATGTTTGAGATTCATCTTACCTGTAAATAATCACTTTCCTCTATGAAGAAATGCAAACGATCTTCAATATCATCCAGGTAAGAAGCGTCTTTTAGAATGGACTGCCCTTGGCTGAATGATTCCAGTCCCTCTGTCTCTCTGCAGATTACATTCAAAGTGTTCTGTTAAACCTACTCCTTTCATACACTGTCATTTCTATACCATCTGCCGCCAACTCTATTCTTTTCATAATTCCGGACTGTTGTGCTCACTTATGGAAGGGTATGTGTGGATGTGGACACTGAATGTTTTCAAAACATGTTTATACACTAAATGCCAGTAATGTCTGCTATTTATGCTTCCATTGTGCAATTTAGTGTTCAATTCACTAAAATTAGGTATTTGGTGCATTAGCCCTCAGAACAAACAATGTTGACACTGTAGGCTGCGGAAGTGAAATCACTGGCTTTCCATGACATTTATTTAATGGGACACTAGGTTGGAAGTGGACCCTATCACTTAATGTTTTATGTAAATACATTTAAATAATCTTTAAGTTCCTGCACCTGCTCCCAATCCACAGTCTAGGAGAAGAGTGCCTCCTAAGACCAGGAAGTGGTGGCTGGTCTTAATTTATGTCCAGCATGTGTTTTTAGGATACATAGTTCAGCTATAGACACAATTACCTCCATTATATTTGATGAGTTGATTTGCTAAATAAACTTAAAACCGCCCTTACAGTTTCACTAATGTGTCCTTCCCAGATTAATCAATTTAATTAACATTACCACCATCTTGTCCCCCCCCTCCCCGCTTACGGTTATTATATTAATAAGAGGATTACTCACCCTCCATGGTTGTACTGGTTAACGACACACACTGATTTTGGATGAAGGTCTGTTTGGAGAAAGTCAGACCAAACATTCACACTTTTCTCCAGATTGTGGCTCTTCATGGAGCTAAGCGTTGACCGTCCACTACATACATCTGTGCCAGAATTAAATACACAAATGATTTATACACTGAATGTAATCTGGAAATCTTGAAGCTAGGGTGCCTGTATACATACAAAAAGATATGGAAGGGCTGCGCCAAATAAGGGTAGATAGTCCAGTCAAGTATTGCTAGGGTGCCAATAGATGGTCTAGGATACTTGATAGAGTTCCCCTGTGGATGCGTCTAGTGTAGACTGTTCCGTATATGTAAATACAAGAGAGGTAGAGGTGACTAATGGTATAGTATGAAAGTTTATGGGAAAGCGGGGATTATACCGCTGTACGCAATCCACACCAGAGCTGGCCATAGCTCTCTTGAATGTGAGTTCTTTACTTTTTGTTACCTATCACACCCTGAACTTTCATACTATACCATTAGTCGCCTCTACCTCTCTTGTGTTTACATATACGGAACGGTCTACACTAGACGCATCCAGAGAGGAACTCTATCAAGTATCCTAGACCATCTACTGGCACCCTAGCAATACTTTACTGGACTATCTACCCTTATTTGGCGAAGCCCTTCCATATCTTTTTGTATTTATCCACCGAAGGACCCGAGGGGTTTTCCTTCATTTGGGTTGCTGCCTACCTTGACTAATTTTGTGATTACTAGCGCTGAATTCTTTTTGTGTTTGCCTGTATACATGCTTGTATGTTTTGGTGAATAACACATACCTGATGACATACCGCTTACACAGCTTTCTGAAAATGTTTCACCCTAAGAAAGATTAAAATAAAAGTGAGCAATATGAAAACTGTAATCTAATATAATTCATGTCTTAACCACATACATCTATCTATACACCCTGATCTGCACCACACATTTATTTTGATAATTTACAACTAATGTCTTATCACTGACACCCCATCATTCTACACCATTAGCCATTTTGGATTAATGCCTACCCCTCTTTACCAATGCAACAAGCCTACTGTTATATCAGACCCCTTAGCACTGGTAACTTCCTTCGTTTTTGTTATTCAAACCTTTACCTTCTGTCTCTGTGGCTTCATCCCCATATCTTCCAGAAAAGGCTTCTGTACAGGGGGATCCTCTAAGTGTGTAGTTAGACACCCTCTCCTGGGAAAAGAGGGGGAAAAAAATTAAAGGAACATTATAGTGTCAGGAACACCAACATTTATTCCTAACCATATAGAGTTAAAACCACCATGTAGCCTCCCCTGGCGCCTCTAAATATAGTAAAATCTTACTTGTATTTAAGCCTGCAGATACTGCCTCTGCCCCTGATCTGCCTGCTGGCTGACATCATCAGAAGCGATTCTGTGAGCCAGTCACAAAAGCTTTCACATAGGATTGGCTGAGAATGTCAAGGAGTCAGATCAAGGGCAGAGCCACCACAAGTCAAACATAGCCCTGGCCAATCAGCATCTCCCCATAGACATGTATTGAATCAATGCAGCTCTATGAGGAAAGTTCAGTGTCTGCATGCAGAGGGTGGAGACACTAAATGTCAGTCACACTGTGCAGCACTGCGCCAGGAAGTACCTCTAATAGCCATCTGAAGGTAATGATTCTACTCACAGAACAAATACAATAAGCTGTAATTGTTCTGCTGACTATAATGTCCCTTTAAGGATTCGTTTGGAGACAACTAGTTTGATCCTACCTAAAGAGGAAAATGTGGCCTCATTAATTTTATATATTTCTATGAATTCCTTTATTACAGAAAGTCCGATATCACTGTTTACCGCACCATTCACTGTTCCTCTACTCTATGCTACAGATGGTGCTGCAGAGAATTTTGATCCAGGGAGTGGGTGAATAAATGCCAGAACAATTTACAAAGCCTTGCAATCAGTGGGTATTCTTTTTACCAACCAGATGACGCTGTGATAAAAAGCCAATTCTGTATCAAGTCAGACTCCTTCAACAGATTATTTTATAACCATGATTGGTAAGTGTGACCATTCTATACATTATTCAGAGAAATCATGTGATCACAATGGAACTGTGTGACATTGTTCGCAAAGGAATCCTCACCAAGCTGGCGTTGAGCTCCTTGTGTCTTTGTCTTCATATAAATACCCTTCTTCTCTCAATGAACTGAGACTCCCTAGAAGAAGGACAGAACAAATATGGTGAAGACATCGCAAGTTTGTAATGAAATAGGATGGGGTTTGGGTTCATAAAAGATTATGGATCAATGTGTCTCAAGAACACAAATAGTGCAACTAAGACAGAGGTAGTCAATGTATAGATGTGATAATTTATACAATTCCAGCAAAAGAAAACGTATTTGTGTCACAGGTGAAGAGGTAACAAGTACAATTGTGTTCAATTACCTTTATAACACTGGAGATCTATTTTTTGGTGTACAAACTTGGGAAAATATGATCATATATCTTAATTTATTATGTTCTAATTTATGAAACCAGAAATCTATCAAATTGCCAAAGGATTATTGGTGGCCATTCTTACAGGGAAATTATAGTGCTAGGAAAAGTTAAGTGTTAAAAACCCCTTCTATCACTTGCCTTACTACGGCACCGATGTCTCTCGGCGCTGGCTCCGCCTCCACCTGCTTTCCTTTGAGATTTAGGGTGACACTGGATGTCCCCATGCATAGCGTGAGGACGTCAGGAGACCAAAAGTCTAATAAGGACCTGGAAGTCCCTCTAGTGGCTGTCTGATAGACAGCCACCAAAGGTGGAGTTAACCCTGTAATGCAATTATTGCAGTTTATCAAAAAGTGCAATATTTGCCACTGCAGGGTTAGGGACCTGGGACACTGCACCCAGACCTGTTCAATAAGCTGAAGTGGTCTGGGCGCCTCTAGTGTACCTGTAAGTCCTTCACAACACATAATGTGCCAGGACTAATCATGATCTGATAGAGTTCCCTAATTATTTCTTATGAAGCAATATACATCAACAACTACTCACCTTTAAGATCCATGATAATGAGACGTGGGGTGTAGGTATCCATTCTTTTCAGTGTTAGCCCATGTCTGAACAGGACTTTACTGCAAATCTCAGGTGCCACATTACAGCCAAGAGGGTTAGAAAACGTAGAATTCTTCAAAATAAAGTAAGACCGTGTAAGAGAAAGGTCCGTCAATTACAGTTTTAATAAATATGCAGTCATTCAGCCTATCCCAACACAAAACACAAGAACCCCCATTTCCTGTACCTCACTCTTCACTTACTTCCATAACCTTACAGCGATCTCACACTGCACATAAATCTGTAACCATTTTTACTATAGACTCTCTAATACCCTCTCTGGAACCACCCCATCCTCTCACTGCAGACACTCTGCATCCCCTGTTCTCCATCCTCTCACTGCAGACCCTTTACATCCCCTGCCCTCCATCCTCTCACTGCAGAGGCTCTGCACCCCCTGCCCTCCATCCTCTCACTGCAGAAACTCTGCACCCCCTGCCCTCCATCCTCTCACTGCACTCTGCCCTCCATCCTCTCACTGCAGAAACTCTGCACCCCCTTGCCCTCCATCCTCTCACTGCAGAAACTCTGCACCCCCTTGCCCTCCATCCTCTCACTGCAGAAACTCTGCACCCCCTTGCCCTCCATCCTCTCACTGCAGAAACTCTGCACCCCCTTGCCCTCCATCCTCTCACTGCAGAAACTCTGCACCCCCTTGCCCTCCATCCTCTCACTGCAGAAACTCTGCACCCCCTTGCCCTCCATCCTCTCACTGCAGAAACTCTGCACCCCCTGCCCTCCATCCTCTCACTGCAGAGGCTCTGCCCTCCATCCTCTCACTGCAGAGGCTCTGCCCTCCATCCTCTCACTGCAGAGGCTCTGCCCTCCATCCTCTCACTGCAGAAGCTCTGCCCTCCATCCTCTCACTGCAGAAACTCTGCCCTCCATCCTCTCACTGCAGAAACTCTGCCCTCCATCCTCTCACTGCAGAAACTCTGCCCTCCATCCTCTCACTGCAGAAACTCTGCCCTCCATCCTCTCACTGCAGAGGCTCTGCCCTCCATCCTCTCACTGCAGAGGCTCTGCCCTCCATCCTCTCACTGCAGAGGCTCTGCACCCCTGCCCTCCATCCTCTCTCACTGCAGAAACTCTGCCCTCCATCCTCTCACTGCAGAAACTCTGCCTCCATCCTCTCACTGCAGAGGCTCTGCCCTCCATCCTCTCACTGCAGAGGCTCTGCACCCCCTGCCCTCCATCCTCTCACTGCAGAAACTCTGCCCTCCATCCTCTCACTGCAGAAACTCTGCCCTCCATCCTCTCACTGCAGAAACTCTGCCCTCCATCCTCTCACTGCAGAAACTCTGCCCTCCATCCTCTCACTGCAGAAACTCTGCCCTCCATCCTCTCACTGCAGAAGCTCTGCCCTCCATCCTCTCACTGCAGAAGCTCTGCCCTCCATCCTCTCACTGCAGAAGCTCTGCCCTCCATCCTCTCACTGCAGAGGCTCTGCCCTCCATCCTCTCACTGCAGAGGCTCTGCCTCCATCCTCCTCACTGCAGAGGCTCTACCCTCCATCCTTCACCGCAGAGTGCCTCCTGCCTCCATCCTCTCACTGCAGAGGCTCTGCCCTCCATCCTCTCATCACTGCAGAGGCTCTGCCTCATCCTCTCACACGCAGAGGCTCTGCACCCCGCCTCCATCCTCTCACTGCAGAAACTCTGCACCCCTGCCTCCATCCTCTCTCACTGCAGATGCTCTGCCCTCCATCCTCTCACTGCAGATGCTCTGCCCTCCATCCTTCCTCACTGCAGAGGCTCTGCACCCCTGCCCTCCATCCTTCACTGCAGAGGCTCTGCACCCCAGCCCTCCATCCTCCTCACTGCAGAGGCTCTGCACCCCCTCGCCCATCCTCTCCCTGCAGACGCTCCGCACCTGCAGACGCTCCGCACCCCCTGCCCTCCATCCTCTCACTGCAGAGGCTCTGCACCCCCTGCCCTCCATCCTCTCACTGGAGAGGCTCTGCACCCCCTGCCCTCATCCTCTCACTGCAGAAATTCTGCACCCCCTGCCCTCCATCCTCTCACTGCAGACGCTCTGCACCCCCTGCCCTCCATCCTCTCACTGCAAACCCCATTACCAAAAATAATCCCTGCACCCACCGTACACCCCTCAACTGCCTCCCTAACTTTCCAAAGCCATCTCTGTAACCAACTCTCTGTAGCACGCCCCTCCACGACTCTCTGTAGCACCCCTACCCTCCACGGACTCTCGTGGCACCCTCCACGACTCTCTGTAGCACCTCCACGACTGTAGCACCTCACCCTCCACGACTTCTGTAGCACTCCCCACTCTATGACTTTCTGTTGTAGGCACTCCTCTGACTTCTGTAGCACCTCTCCACGACTCCCCTCTCTAAAAGTACCCTCCACGACTCTGTAGCACCCTCCACGACTCTCTGTAGCACCCCTCCACGACTCTCTGTGTGTATTTCACGACTTCTGTAGCACTCCCTCCACGACTTTCTTGCAGTACCTCCACGGCTCTCTGTAGTACTTCCACGATTTCTGTAGCTCTTACTCTCTGTAGTACCTCTCTACGACTTTCTGTAGTACTCTCTCATTTACCTTTGTAGTACCTCTCATTTACTTTCAGTACCTCCCCATTTACTTTCTGTAAAGTACCTCCACGACTTTTCTGTGTGCCATGACTCTGTATTCACCCAGTGAGCACGGCTGACTGTGGACTCCCCCTGTACTGACACTCACAGTAACACAGGGTCTCCTGCCATTACCTGTGAGTTCCACCAGTGGGTGCCCACAAAGCTGGCATAGTGTCCGAGCTGGAGAGTCAGCACCTCCCCGCACTGCTCCCCCATGCTGGCTGACAAGGAACTCTGCGGGATTAGAGCTCAGCTAGGCCTCATCCGGTAACCATGACAGCTACACAGCCTCGCCTCTGACTGGTTCACGGTGCTGCCAATCACACTGCTCCAACTCACTGATTGGATGGCACTGTCAGGCTCATTAATTACTCGACACGTGCGTCCTGAACTGTGCGCGCAGCTCAAAGTGTCGCCGCAGCGGAGTCCCCGCCGCCATCTTTGTTGGTGGAAGTATGACAGGGGTGGATTTTAAAGCAGGACTGGGGATGATAGGAGTTGGTAGGGCAGAGTTTGGGAGCCGAGCACTGGGGATGATAGGAGTTGTGGTCCAGAAACAATGCTTTTCCAGAGACTAATAATGATTGGAGTGCTGGGCTGATACTAGCTGTGCTCCAAAAGGACCTGAGGGTGTGGGTGATGGGAGTTGTGGTTTAAAAGTGCTTGGTGCAAAAAGCTGGAGATGACTGGAGCTATGGTTCATCATTTCAGTGACTGATGATGCTGGGAGTTGTAGTACAAACATTAAATTAAAGTATTATTATTGTTATTACTACTGTCATTTATTAAGCGCCAACATATTATGCAGTGCTATATTATTATTTATCAAGCACCAACAAATTCCGTAGCGCTGTACAATGGGTGGACTAATAGACACATAATTGTAACCAGACAAGTTGGAGGCACAGGAACAGAGGGTGTTGAGAGCCCTGCTCAATGAGCTTACATGTTAGAGCGGGGATAGGCAACCTTCGGCACTGCAGATGTTTTGGACTACACCTCCCATGATGCTTTGCCAGCATTGTAGGTGTAAGCGCATTATGGGGGATGTAGTCCACAACATCTGGAGTGCCGAAGGTTTCCTACCCCTGTATCTAGAGCAAGGGTGTCCAACCCGCTGGCCCGGTTGCAGTCCGGGAGGCAATGAAGCCCTTTGCATACTGTGCTCCTCCTGGACAGCTCCCTTGCCGCCCGCCAGTGAGACAGTATATAACGTCATCCCAGCTTCGGGATCACTTTAAGTGTGTGTATACCTGTGATTGTGTGTGTGTATAAAAGTTTGTGTCCTGATGAAAGCTCCACTGAGAAGCTGAAACATTGACTGGGTTATGGAATAAAGAAGATTTCTTAAGATCCAAATCCTTGGAGTGCCGGTATTTTTTCACTTTTTATATCTATGCGACCAGGTATTTTCATTCATATAAGTTGGAGTGCAAGAGCTATCTGCAATTATATATATATATATATATATATATATATATGCGATTCTGTGTATGTATGTGATTGTTGAATGTATTTGTGCGTATAGGAGTGTGTGTGTGTGCGCGTATAGGAGTGCGTGTGTGCGTATATATATCTCTGTGGTTATGTGTGTAGAAGCTCCATAATTTGGTATCCTTAAATATGCCAATCCCACATAAAGATAACAAATAAGGGAATTATCTACTAAACAACTGAAATATCAAAATGAAGAAAAGGGCTTTTAAAGTTATTACCTATATACATTATCTATATTATATATTTGATGTGTGGCCCAAGATAATTCCTCTGCGCTCAATGCGGCCCAGGAAAGCCAATTGGTGAAATAATGGTTAAGGGTAGGATGTATTTCATATACGAGCGAAAAGTAGGTTACTAGAATAGCTTACACCGAAGGGTTAATTTTGTTGGGGTATGATGCAGGAGTGGAAGCAGGGTGGGTTACCAAAGTGCGGGGAGGGAAAGCTATTAAGTTTAATTGATATGCTTTCCTAAAGAAATTCGTTTTTAATGACATTTTGAAGGAACTGAGAATAAGAAAGTCTAACGGAGCCCTACAGAAGTCTTGAAGACGGGTGTCAGAGGTGTGAGGGGGAGATAGGAACTTTGTACTTGAAGTTGACTACTGGAGCCTACGGTCTAATTAGGGTAATAATTGTGATGTCATTGCATGAATTAACTTCTATTATTGATCGTTTACTATACAAGTTGCTTATGTGGCACATGTATCTATGAAAATGTATTGAGGAATATCTAGCTAAAGGGTAAACTGCTTTTTAGGTTACTAAACCTTTACAGAAATGAGAATTTAAAAGGAATTTCAAATGGGAGGCCAGAGTAGCTGAATTTTTCCAGTTCAGCTATTTTGAAGTTAAATTTGAAACTCACCTTAAATTCTAAATTAAATGATCAATAAAGCTGAGGGTTTTAGACTAAATTGTGAATTTTTATGAATTAAAAGTGAATTTCTAAAGTTAAGTAATAGTTGATAAAAAAAAAAAAAATACTAAAAATTACTATTTAAGTGTTTATGGTGCATAAATGATGTCCCCTGCACCTTGCTATTGTAAGCTGTGCAGTTTGTGAAAAACACAAGACTAATTTTGAACTACATGAGCATATCTCGTGTACTCACACTGTCCAAGTGTTTGGCTTGCTCACCAAGGTAATCTATGAGCAAGTAGTGGAGCATGTCTTACTATAAAAATCAGTCAGACTCTAGACACTAAAACAATTATAGCCCACTGCAGTAGTTATGGTGCTAAGAGGCCATAGTGCTGTCCCATGGTAAATGGTCAAACAGTTTGACACTTTTCTAAGTCCTCTGAGTGTCTCATGAATGCCCTGCTTTTATTAAACAGTTAATGCAGAAAGCGATCACCAATTATCTAAGCAAATATGTTAACTTTTACTTTACATTTATCCAAAGAGGAGGCACCTGTGAGACCAAAATAGGTGTCAAGACATTTGAAAAAACTGCTTATTTTCTTACAGTGAAACAGCACTACGGGACCCCTGGCACCATAACCACTACAGTGGACTGCTGTGATGCCTAGACTATCCATTTAATATGAGCACTTCGTAGCTGAACAATAAGACAAACTAAAAATTTAGGAAATCGTTTTAATTGTAAAGTCTATTAAATAAGTACATAGATGTGCTCTGTAAAGTACAGGTAGCTGAAAAGGTCTTTGCCAGAGTGATATCAGCAACGATGAACGATAAGTAAAGGTGTTCATTCACCTTTATTGGACAGGCTCTGTAGAGCGGTCTGAGATGGTTGCATTCTTAGTCTATTTAGCCCAAAAAAGCAAGTCAAGTCAAATTTACTGTACTTTTCCCCTGGTAGAGTGACCATTAATTGCTGATGGATGGACTGGTGATGGACTCTTGGTTGCGTTCAGCGTTTCTCTTGTATTTGTAGAACGTAAAGCCAGTTTACTGGACTTTTGAGATTGGTTCATGTTACGAATAGGTCACACATTCCTCAAATCATTACACCTAAACAGATAAGGACATCATCCAATTCCTTATGCCCAAACTCCCGAGTGTACTTCATATCAGATGATAATGGTTTTGCCAATGGCATGAAACATAGAAGTCATTAGATCTGCAGGACGTTCAGGTCAAGGTATCAGAGGAAAGCACAGATCTTTTCCAGTTCCCGAGGGCTGGAATTACTCATAAAAAGTAGTTCTTTCTTCCCCTCTTCTGTACGAACTAAAATAGACAAAATACATTTACTGTTTAGCATGAATACCATCAATGAGAGGGTTGTTTATCTATTCATGGGTTCTTTTCCTTAGCTAGCTAGTTTGGGGTGCTCAAGCTACAGTCCAATCAAATGAAATAGTGGGAGTCCTCCTAGTCTGGGGGGGGGTTGGGGGATATAATCATTTTCCAGTTTTTTCATCTCTGGATACTAAAGAACGTCCCCCTAATCTCACAGTGACTTGCCCCTCTGGTTTTATATACTGGAAAATATAATGCAGCAAGTCTACATATATTAAAATCCCATTATGTTTTGAATTGTGACTTTTTTTAATATAAATAAGAAGACATTATATTGTTCCCTTTCCATGGATAATTTTTCTAAATAACAATATTATTTTTAGCATCGCACCTTTCTCATGCTGGATCCAATTCCTCTCAATATAGTACTGGTAACAGCTCTCAAACTCCTTCTCACTGTAGTTTGGGACTTGAATAGGAACAAAAGGATCCAAAGCGTCAAACCCATCCTATGGGGAAAAGATTTACCAGTAAATGTGTACATTTCTAAACCAGTGCATGTACACAGATCGGCCACAACATTAAAACCACTGAACAGTAATTTCTTGAATTTCATTTGTTGGAATCAGGAAAAACGGGCAAGTGAAAAGATCTGAGTGACTTTGAGAAGAGCCAAATAGTGAAGGCTAGACAACTGTGTCAGAGCATCTCCAAAACGGCAAGTCTTGTGGAGTGTTCCCAGTTTGCAGGAGTTCGTTCCTACCAAAAGTGGTGCAAGAAAAGACAAGCGGTGAACCGGCATCAGGGTCATGGGCACCCAAGGCTCACTGATGCATGGGGGTTAGCCCATCTGGTATCCGATCACACAAGAGCTACTATAGCTCAAATTGATAAAAAAACCCAATGCTGCCCATTAAATAAAGGTGTCAGAACACCTAGTGGATCACAGTTTGCTGCGTATGCGGCTGTGTAGCCGTAAACATGTCAGAGTGCCCACGATCACCCCCTTCGAAAAGGACTTCAATGGGGATGCATCACTAATGGACCACGGAACAATGAATGTCAATTTTGTTTTTGGATCATGTGGCTGGCCGGGTGCATGTGCGTCATTTACTTGGGGAAGAGATGGCAGCAGGATGCACTATGGGAAGAAAGCAGGCTGGGGGAGGGAGTGTTATGCTCTGGACAATGTTCTGCTGGAAAAACTTGGGGCCTGGCATTCATGTGGATGTTAGTTTGATATGTGCCACCTACCTGGAGATTGTTGCATACCAAATACACCCCTCCCTGGCAGTTGTCTTCCCCGATTACAGTGACCTCTTTCAGCAGGATAATGCACCCTGCCACACTGCAAAAATGTTCAGGAATGGTTGGAGGAACATGACAAACAGTTCAACATGTTGCCTTGGACTCCAAGTTTCCCAAATCTCAATCCTTTTGAGCATCTGTGGGATGTGCGGGAACAACAGATCCGACCTATGGAGGCCTCACCTCGCAACTTGCAGGACTTAAAGGATCTACTGCTAATGTCTTGGTGCCAGATACCACAAAACATGTTCAGAGGTTTTGCGGAGTTCATGCCTCAATGCATCAGCTATTTTGGCAGCACGAGGGGGACCTACATTATATTAAGTAGGTGGTTTTTATGTTGTGGCTGATCAGTGTATGATACAACAAAATAGAAAAGCCCAGATTTCCAGTGTTCTGCTGTTGCATGGTCTTACCTTCCCAAGCAGCTCATGCGGCAAATAAACACGTTTTGGCTGGAACAGAGAGCCCGTTTGTGTCACACTCGTGATAATTGCACCTCCGTTCTACAAAAGAACAAATATCATGTTAAAATTTCACACTTGAGCACCAGTTCGTCACACTTTCAAATTTAAATTGAGTCCAGCTTGACAATTACCTAAATATGTCCCGATGCTTAGTGAACTTGGTTCGAAGTGGATGCAGAATTTGAAGTCATTGTGTTTGATATGAGTGTGTGCCCAGGGGAATCATGTTAACGCCAGAAAAAGGCTTAATTAAGTCCTCTTTCCCTAGATAAGGGGTGGGGAACCTTTGGCCCTCCAGATGGTCTGCCCTACATTTCCCATAATGCTCTCACAGCCATAATGCAGGCAAAGCATCAATGGAAATGTAGTGCAGAACATCTGGAGGGCCGAAGGTTCCCCACCCCTGCTCTAGATAGTCATGTTCCACCAGGAGGCAGATCTGAATGTAACCTAACAATGACACATTCACCCACATGCAGCTTTTAAAAGATGCCTTTATGAATGTGAGAGTACTCAATGTAATGGTGAATATTCAGGTCCCACTTACCCAATCATTCTTTAGCATCTTTCTAAGATTATGGATAAGTGTTAGCTCCTCCGGAGACACCTACAACAGGAGAAAGGGTTTAAAACAATATTTTTTATATGGGCTATAGAATGGAGATGCATTCATTCATTTCCCAGTGCAGTAGATCTCACGGTGTGGATCTTAAAGACCAGAGCACGAGTTACAATATGCGAATAAATCTAGGTAGTACTTGCACTCACTCACACATAAGGTGCAGGTATCTGGGTCACCTCTAGCGACCCAAAATTATATAATACCAAAAGGATACCACACTCAAAGTAGTAGAAAAGAGAATTAAATGATAATGTATTAACACAGCTTAATACAATTAGATAGAGTATTCGTCTATCCCATACAATGTTAAATATACTTTGCAATGATTTCTCCACCAAAATAGTAAGGCAAAGGAAAACTAAAGTGCTAAGTGCCTAATTACCATAAATACAATCCATTATTACAAATGTCTAAAGTCACCACAATACAGAACATACAACAACCTGCTTGCTAATGTTACTCTGTAGGAAGCTAGATTTTTTTGGGAAAAATGGTAGGCACACAGAAATCAGTAATCTGTGCAATCAAAGTTCATGAAGAGTGATCTAGAAGTCTATTAAATTTTCCCAATCTGTTATATGTAACTGTAGATCCCAAGAAAAATTGGATTAAAAAAAAAAATAAAAAAATAAAAAAAAAGGAAAAAAAATAAGACAAAATAAGCAAAAACGTTGTGTTTTGGGTTTGCTCAGATCTCACCCATAAAGAATCAAGGATGCCTCCTGATAAATTAGCAATGAAACATAAATTCTTCAGAGTCTTCAAAAACCAGGAAAGGGACCAAATGTTTCCACAGTAGCTCTTTACTGTTACGTCTTTAGGTAGTATGATCTTGTCATAGCAGGATGGAGAGAGGCAGATCCGGCTGTGCGCTCGGGACTCAACTTCCCTTCAAAAATCCTGCTATGCTAATACCTGACCCAGCATACTACAAATCACGGCACCAATAAAGCCAATATGGCCACGCACAGCATAACCCAGTTTGTCCTCTTCCCCCGCCCCCCCAACATCACGTACCATGCTCTTATTCTCTTTCTTTATGGTGGTTCTCCCCCATAAAGCGTTCACCCCATCCACCGATACTAAGAGACGAAAAGCACCGCCCCCACTCTGCCTCTTAAGCTCTTTCAAGACCACACCCACTGCGTCGCTGGCACTTTTTACTCTGGTCAGTCCCTAGGAGGAGAAAGAGGAGGTTTCCATTGCTGTGCACATAAAAACAATATCTATACATGATGAACAATTTGTATACAGGCAACTAGGGTTACTTTTTCTTAGATCACATCATTCAGCGTTTGGTCTTATATTATCACTTATGTTTTATGCAAAACAAACACTCACTGCTTAATTCCCACTAAAGCCTAGTTAGTTGTAGATTATGCCTGAACCTACTTCCGTCCCTAATTTATTCCAATAATGCCCGTGCCCACTCAGTAGCTACTCTATTCCTTCTGTCTAGAAAACTTCAAAACTTGATCTTCTTTTGTCCCCTTTTTTAACCCTAAATATCACTTTAAAAATTTTCCATTACCTGATCAACCACCTCCCCTAATGGTCTCCCTTCCTCAGTAGCCTCTCGTTTGCTCCAAACATACCTCTGCTGTGTCTGAATCTGAAATAGGGAGCACAGAATATGAGATTGTGGTTAAAGTAATAATGGAAATCGTTTCAATACGGTTTAACACAAATATAAATGAATAGAAATACTTTTTATTTTGTTTGTTTTTTAAATCCACCCTGGGGTATAACTTTCATTCCATCCCCCTCACCTGTTTCAGGAAGGGCTCATTGGAGGCTTTAAAGTTCTTCAGCCAGTTAGAAGCCTCCAAGGGCTGGTCAAAGCGATCCTTGTTGTAGGAAGACGTCATAAGTTCCTTACAGTTCTTTACTAAAATGTGAGCTAAATGAGAAGTATAAAAGTAAGTCACCACTTTGTGGCTAAAGTTTAAATTTCGGCACGCCCTTACATATCAGGAATCCACACACATTGTTGCTTGGTGCATCTACCCCCTTAAAAACACAATGTTTTGATTGAATCCGACTTCTCGCTCTAGCCTCCAGTATATCAAACACACAATCACTTCTCTGACTCAGTAGGATGGCATCCTTGCTCCAAGATGCATACAGTTTGTGTAAGTAACTTGGGATGCCCACCTTTGTCTGTGGCTTGACCGCTCCATACAGTACACATCACATGTTTTTTCATAACTTACCATCTGGAACGTTAAGTATCAGCCATCCTTGTTTATGGCAGTAATGCAGAACGTGGCACAAGGTCAGACTTTTACCGCTTCCTTTCTTCCCATCTAACGTCAAACTGTTAGGGAAAAAGCCTCTCATAGCATAGAGATACAAACTGAAACTATACCCTACATTTTAAGTTTCTGCACCACATATCCCACACTACACCCAAAGAAAGCAAGCACAAACCCATTATCTCAGCTGTGCCAGCGCTGTACCTGGCACAAGGAAAGGATACACAACACATAACGGAGAGCTGGATGGGAATAGTTGGCGTTCCGTAGGTAGTTGATAAGTTCTAGCGCAGGTTTGCGAACCATCAAGCAGGATTCATTGAATGTCTTACACTGGGAGCGGAGAGATATTGGATCATGAAACATCAGCCTGTTTGTAATGGAGAGAACTACAATGAAATTACGCTCACCTGCAGCTGGTAGCGATTTGGAAGACCCTGAGGGAATACCAGCTTAACATCCTGGGCTGAGATGGGGTAATACTGCCCTTCATGTTGTTCCGTATGGAGATCCTGCAAATAAACACACGTTGACCAGAATTCCAATTAATACGGCTCTGTGGCGAAAGTGACCTCGCCACTGGTTTTTGTAGGGGCCTGTTTGCCAGCCTCTTGCCCCAGGACTATGGCCCCTGGGGGTATTGCCCTTTGGAAACGATTATTTGTGCTGATTGGATTTTTGGACACTTTTTCTGCCCCTTTGAAGCCCTGGGAAGGTGTGCCTCTTCCTCTTCCCCTCCCCCATTTCCTGTCCCATTATTCTCCAGCAGAGCGTTGTCCCAGAGACACTGCCAGACCAGTTGGAACTGGCTGCTTTGTCCCTCCTCTGTCTCTCATCAGCCCTTGCCATGGTTTAACCCCATGGCGATTTGACTGTGTTCGTGGGATCTGAGCGCTGTTTGGCTATAGTGAGTGCTCAAATCCAAGCTATCTGGGGATAGGTCAAATGTGGGGGTTCAGTGTTATAGAATATTAGTTATGTATTTTAATGTGTTTTGTTGCAGTTGTGACTTAGTGATATTTTGTGTACCTGGAGATAATTGAGTTTACTACGGTTACTTAAGCCAATTATCTCCAGGATAGAGGAGCAGATCAACCGGCTGCACAGACTGAATCTGTGGAACAGTTTTGGGCAGGAAAGCCATGCTGGCAGTCGGTCAAAAAGTACTTCCAACTAACTTTTTAACCACTGAAGGGAATTGTCTGATTTTTGGATATGTGTATATTGAAGTGTGTATCTTTTCTTTCTTATTGAATTTATAGATCTACTAAACAGTGATTAAAATAAATTAATTTTGGCAGTGGAGTGTCACTTTAAAGGGTCTAAAAATAAAGTATATCTAACATACTTCTATAGAACTTCCCGTGACTGAATCCGGACACGTCTAGCTTCCATACAATACCTAAGGAAAAGTAGGTTCTGTTTCAATTCCAGCACGCGATAATAAATAAATATAAATGAAGGCAAGGGGAGAGCATAAGCATTAATATACGTTAAAAGGTATAAGGCAAGGAAAACCAAAAAAAATTAAATGTCAGGGTCGCTTTAAGAGATTATTCTATTGGAGCATTAGACAACTGATTGTTATCTCACTGTCTGAATTTATGTTAGTGTGTTCAGCACAGTCTACCATCTGTGACTCACTGGGTCAGTTTCTTTGGTCCTGAAGATTTCTCTGGAGAGAGTGTCAGTTTGCTGAGACACAGAAGTGATCCATGCTTTGCCAAGCGCTCGGTGAGCAGGAACGAGCTAAAACAAAATACAACAAACTTTGGGATAATGGATTTAACAGGTAAAACTAAAATATATTTCAAAACAGGATGGTGGGAAACAATTGATCAGCAAGGTGATTATGGTCTAAACTAGGGGCAGGAATTTGCTGGCTCCAGATGTTGTGAACTACATTTCACACTATGCTCTTACAGCAATAATGCTGGCAAAGCATCAGTGGAGTTGTAGTTCACAACTTCTGGAGTGCTGAAGGCTACATACTCCCAGGACTCCCTGGATGAATATTGAGATGCAGCAGCACAGATTACTTGCATGTATCAAATAAACCTGCCAAGCTGCCAAAACAAAGCCATTTTTCTAAAACATACATAGCAACGTTTGAAGGTTTTTAGAACTTACCTGTTGAGTTGTCCATCTGTGTAACTGTTTGAACAACATATCTAGAAAAGGCCAAGTGGGAATTAATGTTTATATGGCTAATCTGACATTTAAACAAATTGTATTAACTCTAATGAAAACATTCACAGGGAAGCTGACCACATAATAATCAATAAAACAGGCTTATGTGCAAGCTTACACGTGTTGTAATACACTGTACTGGTCCTGAGCTATGTAGCATGAAGGATATATTACTATACATTACAGGATTCATGGAGGATAGCCTGTCGTACACCCCAGCATGATTAACTCAACATAAAGGAGACTGTATTTCTTCCAAAGAACTTGGTAAAACTATGCTTTACACCACAGTGAGTATCTGCACCCCAACATATAAAGCCCTGACTTATAGCTTAGAAGGTAACAGCATCCTAGCATAAGTAGGGACTCGGACTAACACATTAATATGTATCATCACCCTAACATAGAATGGGTAGACTCTGCCTTATACCCCAATAAGTATCAACACCCTAACATAGAAGGGGGAAACTCTGCCTTATACCCCAATAAGTATCAATTTGTATGATCACCCCTAACATATAATGGGCAAACTCTGCCTTATACCCCAATAAGTATTAATTTGTATTATCACCCCTAACATAGAAGGCGGAGACTCTGCCTTATACCCCAATAAGTATCAATTTGTATCATCACCCCTAACATAGAATGAGCAGACTCTGCCTTATACCCCAATAAGTATTAATTTGTATTATCACCCCTAACATAGAATGCGGAGACTCTGCCTTATACCCCAATAAGTATCAATTTGTATCATCACTCCTAACATATAACGGGGAGACTCTGCCTTATACCCCAATCAGTATTAATCTGTATCATCACCCCTAACATATAATGGGGAGACTCTGCCTTATACCTCAATAAGGATCAATTTGTATCATCACCCCTAACATATAATGGGGAGACTCTGCCTTATACCTCAATAAGGATCAATTTGTATCATCACTCCTAACATATAACGGGGAGACTCTGCCTTATACCCCAATCAGTATTAATCTGTATCATCACCCCTAACATATAATGGGGAGACTCTGCCTTATACCTCAATAAGGATCAATTTGTATCATCACCCCTAACATATAATGGGGAGACTCTGCCTTATACCTCAATAAGGATCAATTTGTATCATCACTCCTAACATATAACGGGGAGACTCTGCCTTATACCCCAATCAGTATTAATCTGTATCATCACCCCTAACATATAATGGGGAGACTCTGCCTTATACCTCAATAAGGATCAATTTGTATCATCACCCCTAACATAGAATGGGGAGACTCTGCCTTATATCCCAATAAGGATCAATTTGTATCATCACCCTAACATATAATGGGGAGACTCTGCCCTATACCCCAATAAGTATCACCCCTAACATGTAATGGGGAGACTCTGCCTTATACCGCAATACCAGTGAGAATGATTTAGTTAAGGCACTCGGGCTTGATATCAGGCAGAGTCAGAATGACCAGCTGGGCTGACAGTTTATAACTATTCACCTTCTCTCCTTGCTGGACACACGCCTGTAGGTCTCAGTGTTTTTGCGTCATCAGTTTGCACCCACAGAGTACTAATCACTAGAGACGGAGCTGCAATATTGGTGTATTCCATATCCGCGCCATTTTTGTGTAGCCGGTTACATGGAGTACAATGTTTTATGGACTCCAGGTGCTGGAATGTCTGTATGGAGACATGTTAAGTGGCAGTCAGACAGAATAAAACCCAGGGCAGCCATCTTTATTACTGGTATAAGGGCTCAGTGGGCTTGTTTGTAAATGGGTTACTGAGTAAATAACACTGCTAGCTGAGAAAGTATTTCTAATTTCCAGTTGACAGTAATATTTTAGCTCTCCATGTATTATTTACTCAATGATTCACATAAAATATAAATACAGTGTGGTATATCAAAATATATCTGTTTAAAATATGTAAAAGCTTTATTTGCAGCTGATGTGCATGGGGGTAATAACATCTTATCTTAACCTTAAAGAGACTAGACATCTAGCTGACCACTCTAGCCAATCAGTGGCGCCCCTGCCCAGCGACACTCCGCGCTTCCTGACATTAAACTTGAGAGGGCGGTTGCTGCTGGGGGAATTGGAGATCTGGCACTGGAGGCAACCTTTGGAGTTGAACCGTTCTCTAATGGTTTAACTCTTTAAGGCAAGAAAGTGCCCAGGGGACCTCCTGGCACCATAACAACTTCATTTCAATGAAGTTGTTATGGTTCTCAGTTTTGACCGGCTCAGTGCGCGTGCATGTATGCGCTTTGAGCCAAGGACAAGATTTAATGGAAAAAACAACATTGGCTATGAAGAGGGGTGAGAGCCTCCCCTTGCTGTTGTTCTGACACTGGTGTAATTTATGCAGAGATTTATGAGTCACGTGTGCTGGGGTGTAACTCCCCCCCCCCCCCGGCACAAAAGTATTTATATCTTGCTGCACATGTAGATTCAAATCACTAAAGTAGTCCTGGTGGTTGGAATAACCCTTTAATGTGTCTGTAAAGAGAGAACAATGTTTTATAGACTCCAGGAGCTGGAATGTCTGTATGAACACTGTCCTTTATGAAAAATACCTTGTTGTGCTCTTGCAAACACTGCAGGACAGATGTTTGGTGTCTCCATGCTCTGCGAGGAGATGCCAAACACTCCATATGGAGATGCATTGAGTCAGTGCATCTATATGAGGAGATGCTTATTGGCGCATCATGATGATTGCCGCACATACGGACTAGCCTTCCAATGCGTTTTTATGCGGAGGAGGAGCAGCAAGCGTGGCAACATCAGCTGTGCATCATTCCGGTGGCCGTTCTGAAATAGACCTCTCCACTTTCATCGCGACTTATATTCATGAATACTTTTTTTTAAACTGAGAAACACTGCGTCAGTGTGGCATCATTAGCCACGCACTTTTTGGCGTCGCAAACGAGGCGCTGGCGAATGGTGTTTCTATGGTGGCTATATAACATAACTGTTCACTCTGATTCGTTGAACTGTCGTGTATACCCGACGGTGCATTCATTCATGGTTATTTACTAGAGTGTGAATTCAAATTTGCCATTTCTTACACAGAATTGACATGAGCAGCCCTGAACTCTCATTACACCTTTGGCAGCAACAGTAAATCTGTATATGCAGTTATCATACTGAAAAAGGCTCCAAGCACCATGACCACTTCAAACCACTTAAATGGCCGTGGTTCTTAAAGGAACACTTTTCATTTTTCCAAACTGTATACCTACTGACAATGAAAGGTATGAAATCAGACAGTTGGTTTGCAGGATTATGAGGGTGTGCGAAAATGGACCACCGTGTCTGGAAAATGAAAAAAATACACTCTGCACTCAGTGGTGAATTGCATTCATACGAAACAAAATAGGTGGACTCAGCAACATTTCAGAACTACAAGTGTCTCATGTTGTGAACATTCATTGACTCAAAGGCACAAGCCCTAATTTCAGCAACACAAAATTAAGTTAGTGACTTCCCATGTATTGCATTTTATTGTCTGGATAAAAAAAGGATCCTGGCTGCCCGCAGAAAGAGCGTAAATACTTAAAAGCCAACTGACAGCTGGACTGGCCGGACCCAGTCAGGACAGCACATGTTTAGAATGCCTTTGAAGTGTTCTGGGCAGGGGCTTAATCCCCTCTTAATTCCCTGATGGCATTTTATATAGTGCGAGAGTATCTTTTGATACACTTGCACTATGCTAATTAGGAACATTTCCCTAGTTTCCTTAGATGCATGGAACTAACCCAGGTCAGAGCAGGAGCCTGAATTCAGGATGGGTGCACTGCACCCGTGCAATAGGGATGTAAGAATCAGGGCAACCAGCTGGGAGCACTGATTGTTGGTTAGCCCATGCCTGTAAATCTGACAGGAGTGTCTGGGGTTGGTATGAGAGCATGTCCGTGATGCAGTTAGCACTATGGACAATGTGCCTGCATATAATGGGGGCATTATGTTACCAGATGTGCAGGTGCCAATTAGCTTTGCCCACATGCTGAGCGCTTGCTAGACCATTCCTCATGGGCTAAATGTGTTTTTCCAGATACGTTCACACTGCTTTTTACAGCAGCGGGCCTTTCAACCATCCCATCCCAACCCAACCCAAGTTTTGTGGATGCCAGGGAACTGTCCCCAACAAGCATTGCATGAGCGCATCATTAGACGTGGTCACAAAATGCTCATGGCAATAGGACCACGCAGAGGGCACTGAAACAGTGCTTCTAGCAGGGTCTGCCCTTTATGGGGCGGCCTGGATGATGAACAGGCAGCCTGGCTTGCATTCACACCAGTCTGACCTGCCAATACATGGAGGGTATTCGTTCACATTCTAGTCTGGCCCACCCCATTCGTGTGGCACCAGAAGCACTTTCCTGCTGGCTTGTCTCTCTTTCCAATTCACAGGACTCCTGAGTTGGGAAATATGCAAGAGTCCTCCTGACTCCAGGTGACAGAGATGGTATGTTGGGTGATTGGTAGGACTCAAGTCACACAATCAAATCACATGACTTGTAGATCTGCCAACTATGGCTGGTCTGCTAACGGGAAATTATTTATATATTGATAGGCAGGGTTAGCATCACGTACAGAGTCATCACATCTTATTGTTCATGTGCCCCATGATTACAGGCTAAAGAAGAGAGCAGCAATTCAGAGCATCCCATACACAGTGCTTGTGTTTGGACTTAAAATGCCTTGAATTGCTATAGAATTGTAGCTTGAGCACAATTAAAGTAACACTCCAGGCACCATAACAACTTAATATCAATGAACTTGTTATGGCGCGTGTAGGTTCTGGGTGTCATTTTTACTTATGGGGATCAACTGTTTATGAACAATTTAACCCCAAAGTGATGTAGATGGTGCCCATCCGCTCTGTCGCTCTTCTTCCAGTGTAGTCAAGACATTAATGAGAAAGCCTCACACCGGGAGTCAGCGATATGATGAGAACGTCAGGCCAAGATTGTCGCTAACTTCTCACTGAGAAAGTTATGCACCTATCAGCCTATCACCGGCTCCCAGTCCAAGGCTTTCTCACTGACGTTTCGGACTTTACCGGAGAAGAGGGGCAGAACGGATGTTCTATATATAATTGGGGTTAAACCTTTTGTAAATAAGATAAGATGGCACCCAGGCCGTCCAAGCACTATAACAACTTAATTGAGAGGAGCTGGTATATTTTTCCGAGTGGTCTTTTAAAGAAGTTTTCACGCGCCAAGGGTGTCGAAAATACTGAAAGCCAATCACATCATATGACAAAATATCTGATTTTAAAGAAATCCTACAAGTGTGAGGATGTTCCTCCAAGATGCCCTGTTCAAACTGCATTCCTGAATCAAGAAACTAATATAAAGTTTATCTTCATCTGAGGTGTTAGAGCTTTATAAACGTTTAGTTCTGACAGATAGCTAAGGGCAGTGAGGCCACTGCGAAAAGGATTTGCCAGGTGCAAAGATGGCTGACGGGGCGTCATGCTACGTCACGCCACGTCACGTGGGCGGCGCTTCAGCTCAGCCCGCAGCTCTGTGGTCACAGCAGCTGGCGCGTCACGCGCGGGAAGGAGCCCCGGTGCGCGCGGAAGGTCACGTGTCGGTCTCGGTCTGGTGACGCGGCGACACCGAGAGCCGCCATCTTGCGTGACCGGCTAAAGGGGGGAGGGGTGGGAGGAGCACCCCGAAACCCGGTGAGTGAGGCTTCCCAACATGCTCCACGCGGGGCCTGGCCCACAGAGCGCGCACTCTGTTTATATCTGTCTGCATCGCTTTCTTTATAGTGACTGACACCGTGCGGGGTATGGGGGGGGCTGTATGTATCGGTCAGTGACTGGGTATGGGGGGGCTGTATGTATCGGTCAGTGACTGGGTATGGGGGGGCTGTATGTATCGGTCAGTGACTGGGTATGGGGGGGTTGTATGTATCGGTCAGTGACTGGGTATTGGGGGGTGGGGGGAGCTGTATGTATCGGCCAGTGACGGAGTATTGGGAGGGCTGTATGTATCGGCCAGTGACAGGGTATTGGGTTTACAGGTGTAGACCAATTTGTCTTCTATGCTGCAATCATAGCTTGGCTTTTGCTGCCTATATTTTGCTGTTTGAATTAACATTCACTAAAGCAGGGGAAGGCAACCTTCGGCACTCCAGATGTTATGGACTACATCTCCCTAAATACTCTTACAGACGTCCACAGCATCTGGAGTGCCAAAGGTTGCCTAACCCTTCATTGTGACTAAAATATATACCAATTTGCCCTAAGTTGTGGTAGAGTAGTATGTTTTTATTATGATGCAATGGGTGGAACTCAGAATACCGGCCTGTGACACGTAATCGAAGGACATTGTAACTATCTTATGATCGGCAGATTGATGACTCTGTGAAAAGTTCCTGGATGTGTTGGGTATAGTCTTTCTGTACTGTACCTTGCGCGTTTTAGGTATGGGCTGCTAGAAAGATCTATGGTGACTGTGTAACATACAGGTGTGCCATTTGGTCTTGTTTAATATACTTGGATTGTGTTACACTGGTTTACGTTTTCAATGAACAGAGATTTATGCAGAATCAGTCAAGAACATTGCAAATTTTAGGAAATAATAGCCTGGCTAGAAATGCATATTTCAGTAATTCTGGAAATGAAATTCCTAAAGGTTGTACTCTTGGTCTTGGTTCTGGACTTGA